TCCATGTCATAAAGGCTTAGTCATGTCTCTTGACCAAGCAATGAGCTGGTGCCCTGACAATATACATGCCAGAGGAAACAAAAGAAAGCAATAGACTGTGGCTGAGAAACTGTAGTTGTCCATCTTATCTCAGGGCAGACCTTGTGACTGAAGGTCTCCTGATCATGAGCAAAGTCTCCCAATCTCCACACCAGGGTTCACCCCTACTTCTTGATTGTCAGCTGAAGCCTGGCCGAAACATGCTTTGAGATCTGATCTGATCCTGATCACCTATACTTGAGTCATAGACACTTTGAGTAGGTAGCCAAAGTTGCCGAAAGGTGGCTACTTGTCTTTGATCTGTTGAAAGCCTTGCTGAGGCCCATGACCAAAGCCTGCGAAGAGTCGAACATGATTGATAGGCTGGTCCAAAAGGTGTCTGAACCCCGACCCCCTATGCCTTAGGCCCCAAAGTCCTTTGGGTGTCCTAGCAACTTGACAAAGGGGTCAAAACTCTAGTCAACATAACCAACAGTCTTGAGCAAATGTGTGACTTGAGTGTTCAGTCCTTGTGAAAGGTGAATGATCACTGATTGCCTTGCCATCTATCCCAGATGGGGAGAGAGGCCTGTCAGAAGGGGCTTCTCATATCCAATAGCCTCAACTGAGGGGTCAAATGTGTCAAAATGGTGATATTTGGGCTGAATCAGAGTTTGCATAGGAGTTTGCAGAGGTCATACCCTGATAGGCCTGACTGCTGGGTGCCTGACGAAGCCCTGGAGCTGATGCCATGGCAAGTTCATCTCTTGGCATGACCATGATGCTGACTGTGGTCACATTAATCTCATCATTGTACATCCTCCTCTTTCCTAGAACTGCGACAGAGGTCTCTAACATACATTTGTGCATGGAAGATGATATAATGAAGGGTGTGGCTCCGTCAGTCCCAGCCAAACTTTATCAATGTCCTGGCGTTACTGACCTCTGTGTGCCTCATCTGCCAGTGTGTGTCACCCTCTCACTGGCATGAATGGTGCATGTGCCCTTTTGTCAACATTGATACAGCCAATCATGGGCATGACCTCATGCAAGTAGGGTGGAGAGCTCAAGAACAGACTGCTCTTCATTCTGACAACCCCTGTTTGGAAAGGATGGATAGGCATGTTTCTTATGTGCAAGTTAATTTTCCTCCCCCATCAAATCACAACAATTTCCAGATGATCAACCTGGCAATTGTATCCTTCTGACCCCATTTTGTAATGTGATCTCGACACGGGAGCAGTCTTGCCCCACTTGACCCTGATGGTGACCCCAGGACCATTATCTCTTCCTTCCACATTGACCCCTCTAAGACTCAGCTCCAGCAAAGCACTGTGATGCTTGCAGTCAGTCATACTGCTCATGCCAAGTCCAATCCTTCTCTTGTCCTCTCCCCAACATGCATCATCTCCTCTCTCAGCACATCATCCTGCACCAGCACCTCCTCACCCTCCACCAACAAAGCTGCCCAGACCACACTCCCTCCCATGGCCAAGACAGCCATCCTCCCACCCACATACACCCAGATGAGCACTAACAACCCTGTGAGAGCCATCCCAAACACTTTGAGGAACAGCGCTATGGGCATAGGGGTGCACAAGGCAGAGAGTGCAAAGGTGAGGTGCATATGTACACCAAGAGGGGAAGTGAGTCCCCACCTGTTGCAAGTCAGCTCATGATCTACAAGGGGTATTGTGTTAAGCTGAGAATAGAGAAAGGTGACCAGACCTGGAGGATGAACAGGAAGAGCAGAGAATGGGGAGAGCAAGGGAAGAAGACACACACCATCCCAACAAAAACTCTAACTTCCTCCTGCTCAGCACAGCATCCACAAATGTCATGCCCACCAACCCGACCCAGAGCCACAAAGCCCCAGAGCAAGCACCTGCCAATCACACCAACCACATACACAACATCTGCCATGATGCTCACACCAAGGATGCTGTTCAGTGGGATGCTGGATGGGCCAAGAGAGGTGGAAGGAGGGAGGAGGACTTGCTGTGCCAGCTCCCTGAGCATGATGAGCACTAGCCTGCTCTGCCCTATGGGACCAAGGGGCAGGACAACAGAGCAGATGACATTGTGAGGAGGAGTACTGTGCAGCACCAGACTGAGCATTGTACTCTACACCTCCCAATGAGGTGTCAGGAGAAGGTCCGCTGGAGGGGGAGTCAACAGTGGTGGCCTGTATGTTGGAGTAGGTAGTAATAGACAAAATCTGACCTAATTGAATTGTGGCCTCCTAAGGTAGAGCCACTCTAATGCCAATCCGAAGGGTCTTGTGTGAGTTCAGAGACCTGTTGCAGCAGTCCAAAGGGAGTCCAAATGAGGAATCAAAGGGGAATGAGCCATGTGAGGTGAATGAGGGTGGCTTCCAAATGTTGAGCAGTCAAATCAAGGCTCAGATCAGTCTAAGAGGGAGCTAGAGCAAGGAGTGACTTTAAGGTAAAGCAGTAGTATTAGTTGTAAGTTAAGAAATCACCTGTCTTGAATGAGTGAGGTATGGTGTAAGTGAGAGAGGAGTCTGAGAGTCCCTATCTGAAGTACCTGAATCCGCCTATATACATTTCGAGTGGTTTGGACCTTCAGACTACTACTAATCTATATCTAATCTACATTACCTAATGCTATGTCTAGGGTCCACTTCTTGCTTCCAATAGTCCGGTCCGGCTGAGTTTGAGGTGTCATTTGAAGAGGCTTTTGAAGGTTGGATTTGAGCTCGAAACTCAAATGTGCAGCACAGTGTGTATGCTGCAAGCACAAGCATTGCAATGGGGAACCCCAGGCTGAGTGAGGTGTAGGATGCAAAGAGCATGAGCTGGGTGTGCACAGGTTGGGTGGGTGCGAGGGCCATGCCTAGCTGTGTGCTGAGGGTGGAGGCAATGATGGGTGCGATGAAGGGTGGCAGAGAGCTGGTCAAGCATCTGGCGATGCTTGCCAGACCTGTGCAGGACATTAGTTGAGGTATTTGCAGAGGAGAGGGAGAGCAGGGCACATGATATGCATCATCCCCACACACACCAGGGCACTAGCAGCCAGGTCCACCCAGAATGCCACCCACAGAAAGGTCAACAGTCCAGGACCACCATATCCCATTTTGACCAACAGAGTTGTAGCAGCATCAATGGCAGTGGTGAATCCCATTGGGATTGTGCCAAGGTAGAGTGACTCCTGGGCATGTCAGAGCATGGGCCAGAATAGGCTGGGGTAGATGACATAGTGGGTGATGATGAGTGTCAAGAAGAGCAGGAGGTGGATGCAGTTCAGCCCTAGGAGGATGAGGGAGGGCCAGTAGAGAGGGCAGTGGAGAGGCCATAGGGGAGTTGATGGAAGACAATGGGGAGGGCGGCATTGCCTGCTAAGTGTGAGCAGAGAACAGAGACTGAGAGAGTGGGTGCACCCATTGTCTCTGCAAACCAGCTGGGAGTAAAGTGTCATATTCACTCCCTCAATGACTTGCATTCCCTCTTTGCCCTGCCCTCTCATCTGGCTGGCAAGTGGATGTGGCCAGCCCAAGATGTACATTGGCCCTGAGTCATCAAACAACTGCCAAATTGGTGTGTGCCCCAGTCGAGGATATGCTGAGAAACCTTTGACCATGTCAGTAACCTGTAACCTGAGTGGTGCGCTGCACTGACAATGCAGAATTTTGCTGATTGGCTGACCATGCAGCGAAAGACAAGAGAACAGATTGCCACACTGAAGAAGCACCCCACTTTTGGGGATCAATATCCTGACGGAGGCATTTCATCAATATTTTAGGTCAGCAAACAGTCGCTCTGGCAAATCCCTCCCATGCTAATCAACAATCACAAAGAACAAGCTAAAACATCGGCAAGATGATCCCATCCACATCTAATTCTCCTCCTTGTTATCACATCGTTACGTAGTCAAGTGTGAAAACTTTTACATCGGCGATTAGGGCATTGGTGCACCCTGAGTGGCCGTGACTGCTGTGACAAGCAAGATTTTGGCGCGCGTGCGAGTCACGCTTCGAGGACACTTTCAATGGACGACCAACTAGAAGCACCCTCTTCACTCGCGCCTAATATTCCCAAATCAACACCTGGAGAAGGCGAAGATGAGCTCTCATCAGGGGAGGACGATGCCCCCAACTGGCTACAGCTCGTCCAGCCCTTAAAGGCAAAGAAACAGGTCATCCCTCAAAGGGGGGATAAAGAGTTTGAGCCTAATGAGGCAGGAGAGACGAAGTTGCAGAGTTTTGCACTTGAGAGAGCGAGGGGGGCGATGCTAGAGGCTTTGAGTGCGGAGAGGGGGAGCTCGAGGTGCGTTTGATACTTGCGTGTGCAGGGGTGAAGGCTGACTCCGAGTAGCAAGAACCTTACGCATATGCTGTGGCACCCGTCTATTTGTAGGGCCGAAGTACCGCAGACTAAAGGGAATCTTTTGACTACTATGGGACACTTCCTTACCGTACCCTCGGGGGTGACTGGGAAGATGGGAAAACAGCTGATGTTGCTCCCTGAGGAAGCGCTGTACCTCGTCGAGCGAGGGTCTGGGTACTGCTGGAGAGCTTATGCGAAAAACATACGAGATGAGGCTGGGGTGCAGTCGGATGAGGGCGACGAATGGTCCAGGTGGGAAAAGCTTGGTTCGCCAATGAGCGTACAGCAAGCGTACGCAGAGATGCTAGGGAAGGATACCATGACACTGGAGAAATACCAGGTGCGATCTATACCACTTCCTCACACTCTGCTTGTATCAGCACTGACTGTAGGACAGGTGTATGCGTACCTTCGCCGCTTGGGATACACCGTCGTCCGCGCGCAGCCCCCGTTGAACACAATGCTCTTTCCCCGTCCTCGGCCTCTCCCAGCCCCACCGTTCTTCTCCCACCTCTGGTCAGGCCTATCCCATTGGACTGCGGGCTGGACGAGGTGGTGGGTAGCGTGGAGGAGGAACTGGTGGAGCCCGTTAAGGACCGGTTGGAGGACCACGTATCGTCTGTCGCCCTTCCTGGCTGTACCAGAAACCCACTGAATGTCTTGTATAGACGACATATTCGTTTCCCTCCGTCTCATCCCCTCCGGCCACCAGCTGCCCTTGTATATCAAATCCCATCCTCCAGCCGGCTCACAGGCTGGTGGCACTCTCCCACCTGGCATTAACGACCTCTCCTCCACACCCCCATCGGCATACGAGATCTTTTACCACGTCTGGCGCCCCTCTACAGCGTGGAAGAAGACCTCCGTCCCACCCGCAGACTTTGAGCTTGTTGTGGTCGAGTACGTTCCCCTCCCTTCCCTTGTGTCACAACTGATGTTTTGGATGATAGTGCGAGGACAACGCGACTGCCGACGCTCGCTGACCTTACGCGGCTGTTTGGCGAGCTCCCAGTCCAGCCGCCACCACAACCCCGTCGACGGGCTCCCCCTGCACCCACTTCATCCACCGCATCCAACTCAAAGTCTACACCCAAGCCCCCAGCCCCACCTCTACCGCCCACGCTCTTCTCCCGTCTCTCCCAGCTTCTCGGCCTCCTTCCCAAGACCCCACCCAACCCCAAGCCCAGAGTCCAGCCTTTCCCCGCACTGAAAGCGGGCCGGAAGAGCGTCATTATCGCTGCTGTCGATGGGGGGAACGTGAGCTTTGTAAAGTTTGGAGAGGGGGTGTTCGAGGACTATCCTATGGCTTGAGTTTAATTTGTTGGTCGAATTCTATGTTACGTTTCGTACAATGATGAACATGATGCCAGGTAAATACTATACAACATGCTGGGTATAGTGCAATAAAACAATCGTACACATCCAGACTAGATCTACCTGTGATCCCTCCTCCCTACGTCAACCTCCCGCTCCTCCCTTCTTTCGCGATCCCAATACCTCCTCTCCCTCTCCCTATCTCTCTCCCACTCCACCTCCCTATCTCTTTCCCTCTCCCGATCCCACCGTTCCACCCTCTCCCTTCTCTCCCTCTTCGCAGCCTCAACTTCGCGCATCGCTTCCACATTGAAGACGTCCCCATACCCTGCCCGGGGCGTACTAGCCACGCTGGAAGGATAAGAACCAGCAGCAGCCTCGCGTCTCTTGCGCTGCAAAAGCGCTTCAGCGCGCTGTCGTTCTCCCGCCTCTCGAGCTAAACGGGCCGCGACCGCGGGATCCGATGACAGTGACAGTACCCCTCCCGTCCCGGTCGAGCTAGACGAATGCAACTTCCTGCCTCCTGTCCAGCTCTTCCCCCTCTCCCTCTCCCGCTTCGCCAGCTCCTGCTCCACCCCTCGCATAGGGTCCCTACTCGCTTTGGAACTCAAATCCTTAGCCCTTCTCTCCTCCCTCTCCCTCTCCCCCTCTCGGTCCTTCGCGCTCCGCAGGTGTTCGTCAACGTACCACGGTTTGAGGTCCAACTTGGAGGGAGCGAGAGCAACACCTTCCTCTTCTGTTGATTTCTTTTTGTCGATCGGGTGCCGTTTGGCTTGTTCTCGAACAAGGGCTTCGGCGGTGTGAGCCGCTGCGGCAGCTTCGAGCGGCGCGAAGAGGTTTATATGCCCTTCCTGTGTAACAAGGGAGTCGGGAACACTAGCAGCATTCTCTGCAGCCGGTTGCGGCACATCAAATTCATCCTGCTCCTTCATCCGTTTCTGTTTCTGTTTGGCCCCAGCTCTCTCTCTCAGCAAGTCGATCCTCGCCTCTGCATCAGCCATGCGCATCCTCCCTTCTTCCTTTTCCTCTTTCAACCGCGCTTCTTCCTCATCTTTTCGTACTCGCTCGATGTTGTCCCTCCTGTAGGGGTGGTATGACTTGTGGTGTGCGATGTTCAGTTTGGCCATGGTTGTGTTGTGTGAACTTGGGAAACGGAATGAGGGTTGTGGTTAGTGTAATCCAGTGGCGGTGCTGATGACTAGATCATGAAATATATTTTTTCGGTTTGATTCATGAACTCATATGAGAAATGTTGTTTGATGTAACAGGCCCATCAATACATGGCAAATTTGCAGGTTGCTCAGCCTGCAGAATTATAAGCAGTAGACTGAAAATAATGTTCTCCGCACGGAACTAAGTCGTCCCTAACTCCGACGCATGGCGTCCACCTCGACTGGTACATGCCCTCCTTGAAATAGTTGCCGGTGTGTTCGGCTGGTCTATGAGTGGACATGAAAGATGATAGGAAAAAAACCCTGGTCTTTGGGGCAGTTTCCTCTTCTGCGTGACTTGATCGGACGGACTTTTCTACCTTCCTTTACATGAAATTGCTCCGTACGACAACAATACACTGGTTTGAAGTCGTTGCCTTACCGAAGATCGGTCTGACGTGCGGATATGAAATAGATTGATACAGGAACCACGTACAGCCAATCATCTTCACAGAAGGAGTCCAGAAGCAAAAGTGATCAAATCGACGTCGCATACAACCATTTCTGCCTAAGCAGCCTCAACCTCAGGTTTGATGTTCTCCCGCCCAACCCGCTTCTTCGGCGTTTCTCTCTCCCTCAAACGCCTAGGGCTATCTTCTCCCAGTTTATGCCCATATAGCACGGTCTGCTCTATCTCTTCCAAGCGGTCCTCCAAGGTCCGCCGTGCGCGTTGCAGAGCGCCTCGTTCTGCTTCTGCTTCGTCTAGCACTGCTCTCAGCTCTCGGATCTGCGATAATTGACTGACAATCTGCGTCTGTTGATCTGTTTGCTGCCGCACCGAGGCGTCGTACCGTTCAGTGAGGTTGGCGATCTTCGCTTCCAGCCGCTCCTTGTCTGTCTTCCACGCGCTGTTATTGGACACCTCGTCGTCGTACCGCAGTTTGAGGGTATCTTGCTCCGCTCGCAGTTTGCGACCTTCTTCTCTCAGACGAGTCATAGCATCTCGCTGAGTCTGGAGCTCCTTGTTAAGCTGTGCGACTTCGGCTAAACACATTATCAGAGTGCAAACAGCGGGGCAGGGCCGGATCCATTTACCTTGATGTTTCTTTCGGATCTGGTCAGCGAGCAGATCCTTCCCTGTGAGGTCCTTCTGATGCTGCTCCTTGACGTCCTGCATTTCTTCCGCTAGGCGCTGTCGGAAAATCTTCATGTCGGACGCTTGCCGAGAATCAGCATCAAGCCTAGCCTTCAGGTCCCGAATCTCCTGTTCGGCAGCGAGGAATCTCTCTTCTGCAACTCTGCGCTCGCTTTGTGCTAGAGCAAGCGCTTTCTCTTTTGCTCGGATTTCCTGTCTCTCGCGCTCTGTCTGGAACGTGAGGTCCTCCGCATCACCCACGAGACGCTGTTTTGCCCTCTCGAGCGAGCGGACATAAAGCTGCAAATTCTGCATTTCGATCTGCGCTTCAGAAAGTTGTCGATCCGTGACACGTTTGGCCTCCTCGAGAACATGAACATGTTCAATGATAGTGATGTCCTGCTTTGAACGCACTTGTCCAAGTTCCTGATCCCGAGCGGCGATGTCTGCCTTGGCTTGTTTCAGTTCCTTCTCAAGTGCAGAATAGCGATCCTTGAACTTGTTCGATTCCTTTTCTCGGGACAGGTTGCTCTGTTCAAGCTGCTCTCGTTTGGCGATCTCAGCAGCTAACTGCTTCCGAGTTGACTCCATTTGACGAGCCCAACTGGCTTTCTCCCGCTCAATCTGTAGGACGGCATCCTCAAAGTCCTGATGCTTAGCATGTGCGGTGGCAAGCTGCCGTTCAAGACTCTATAACATTGTGAGGCACAGTCTATATCCAAGAGATGGCTCACGCACCTCCTTTGCCTTCTGTAATGAGGCGAGTTGACCATCGGAATCGATATGTTTGGTGCGCAAGGATTGTAATTCGGATTCTGCCGCCCGCTTCTGCTTCTCTGCCTGGATGACAGCAAGTTCAGCCTCTCGTAAGTTCTGAGAGTGAGCTTTCGTTTGCTGTTGCATTTCCTGAGAGGCCTTCGTTGCCGCAACTTGCTCTCGCTTGGCTGCGTCGAGGTCAACCCGCAACTTGTTCTGATCCTCCAATGCCCGTCGTCGAACTTCGCTCATCTCGGACTGGAGTTTGCTGACTTGAGCGCGGAGCTCAGAGCGCTCTTGCTCCTTGCTTCGCTCGACCTCGGTACGTTTGTCGTCCTCCGATGTTTTAGCATCCATCAGTTTTCGGAGCTCGTCCAACTCAGCTTGTAGCTTGGCCCGTAATCGCGCATCTTTCTTGCTATCATCCTTTTGTGCGTCGAGTTGCTTGCGGATTGTCTCCAGTTGCCCCTTCAATTCGGCAACTTCCTTTAGGGATGATTCATGTTGCCGTTCCGAATGTGCCAGCTCAGATGCCAACACTTCCATCTCTGCATCCTTCTTCTTGATGAGAGTTTCGTAGTCTGCGACAGTCCGCGTAAGGTTCGAAAGGTTCTCCTTAGCCTGTCTGGCCTCTTTCTCCAGCGTATCGGCCTTCGCTTTGCCAGCATCCCTGATTAAGAGCATTCAAGCTGGATCCAGATAATATAGGGCATGACTTACCGGGTCTGAATCTCAGCGGCCAGCTTTTTCGCCATCTCCGTAGCTGCCGTCTCCATGCGCTCCTTTAAGCGGACCACATCTTCCTCTTTCTCGCGAAGTTTGTTCTTCAGTTCTTCGACTGACTTCTCCAGCTCATCTCTTCGCTTCTCGAGGCTTGTCCACTCTGTTGACCGTTTGCGGACATCTTCCACTAAGCCACTCTCTTTCTTCCTCCATTCTCGCTGTTGCTCTTCGTACGCAGCAAGACGGATCTTAGCATCTTCATGAGCTAAAGACAGACTTTCGAGGTTATCCTCCGATGTCTTCTTCGCCGCGACCATCCGAGCTAACTCAGCTTCTACCGTCTCGAGGTCGATCTGAAGGGCGGCGACATCATCTTCGAGTTCGGCTTCCCTAGCCTTTGAACGAGCTAACTGCTGGTGCTTGTCGAGACCCAGTTGCCGCTCACTCTCCAGCTCTTCCTCGACTTTCCTCTTCTCAGCATGAAGCTGAAGTCTCGCGGTCTCGACTGCAGCCTTCTCCCGTTTCTCCCTGTCTGCTTTCTCACGAATTGCAGCCAATTCAGCGTCCTTCTTCCGCAGCTCCTCGTCGTTTCGAGTTGCAGCCAGTAGTGGTCGGACCTTGGTATATAACTGCCACCAAGGCCATTCTCGAAGTTGGATGTATACTCGGGCATTGCGCTGAATCGTGCGAATGGCATTGGCACGATTCAAGATCTTGCGCATCTGTCGTCTGGCAGTGGACATTCGCGCAGCCGCTTGGAACCGCGAGAAGATATCAAACAGATGGGCATCGCGCTTCTCTTCCAGCTCTGCAAGGACACCAGCCTTGAAGAACACCTTCGACATGCCGATCTTGTATGCCACAGGATCCAGCTCTAGGGCATCGATCATTCTGGTGGAGGCCTTGCGGCCGTCCATGTATCCTCGAGGGATGACACCAGGTGTGAGGACTTCGTACCGCTGCCTGAATTCTGCGAAGGGAAGCCTGTTGGGATAGCCAAGACGGGCAATCCGGATGCCTTCAAGCACACCGTTGCACCGAAGCTGATCTAGGACAAGGGGGATATCGAGTTTTCCGGGCTTCTTGAGAGCATTGGGGACGATACACCTGACAAAGTGTGGTTGCGTCGCCTGCAGCTGTGTCATAAGCTGTGAGAGCTGCTCCTTGTGTCGTTGTCCAACAGTGCGGAATGCACCCTTCTTCACTCGTTTCTTGACAACGGACGTAACAGCCGGGTCTTCAGCATATTCCGCAAACAGGGTAGCGATGAACTTTTCGCTTGAAGTAGCCAGCACCCGAGTGAGGTTATCGTTCAGTGGGTCCTTGTTCTTCTCCAGCCATCCGTCGGTACGGTACTCGACCTTGCCAGCATAATGCTGGATGACAAAGCCCTGTTCAAACCGGGTTGGTGCGTATTTCTCCGATCCTGGATGCCCGGTTTCACACCACAGCGCATGTAGCTTGCTGGTAAAGGTACCATCCGTCGCCTTAGGCATAATACATTCCTCATCGAGGCAGGTGAGGATACCGATAGGGTCGCGGGATTCGATGAGGTCGATTGTGGGTTGAAGGTCGAGGCCGAAGTTGACAAAGTCCCATTCGATCGACTCGCGCGAGTACTCTTCTTGCTCTAAGACGAACATGTGGTGGTTGAAGAACTGCTGGAGCTTCTCGTTCGTGTAGTTGATGCATAGCTGTTCAAATGAGTTGGCTAGTTAAAAGGTCAGAGTACGTGCAGGTGTGCAGGCGAATGCTCACTTTCAAAGATCTCAAACCCGGCAATATCCAACACACCTATGAACGTGCTCTTCGCGCTCGGCCGATCGAGTGCCCTGTTGATCCTCTCGACCAGACTCCCGAAACATCTCTCGTAGAGTGTCTTGCTCAGACTTGCAAGCTCATCCCTCACCTGATCAGCCGTGCGCTGCTGCGTGACCCATTCCCTGCCGGCCTTCGTCCGTGGTCGCAGGACAGCTTTCTGGAATTCTTGGGAGGGGAGACCTAGGAGATGACATATCTTCTCCAGGAGAGGCTGGGATTCCGGGGTGAATGCTGTCTGCTCCACAGAGCGGGATTGGATCATAGTGAGGTTGCCGAGGTGCAAAATGGCAGCGACGATCCGAAAGAGGTCGAGTTGCTCACTGTTCGTGAATCCAACAATGTCCAGTGCCGTCTATCTCCAGATCAACAACTACATATCACCCCCAGCTGGAAACACACCTTAAGCTGCCTCCATTCCTCTCGATCATCCACCCCATCCACGAAAGTCCGCCCCTTGTTTAAATACTCATAATGCTCCGGACCTCCCTCCAGCAAGAGCGTTTCCCGCAGAGCATCGCCTCCCTCCAACAGCTGGTAAAAGACGTGGAACGACCGCTCGCCCTCGTGCCGGAAAGTGACACGGGATTTTTCCAGGAGATACCAGTCGATCTCCGCCCCCGAGATAGATGAATCGGAGGAGAAGGATATGCGGACGAATTTGCCCTGTATGCAACCAGGCGTCAGTCCCGACGTATTTGGCAGGGTGGGGAGAACGTACGAAACGCGAGGAGTTGTTATTCCTCAACGTCTGAGCATTACCGAACGCCTCGAGAATGGGGTTAGCCTGCAAGATCTGCCTCTCCAGCAAACCGAGTCTTCCACTCCTCGACGGTCTTGGCTGATGTCCCTTCACCCCACTGGGTCTTCCCCCGCTGCCCGACGCGGTAGGAAAGGCAATAGAAGCAATTGAAGAGTTGGAAGAGTGCGAGCGGGGTAGAGGTGACCCCTGCCCTGGGCCTGGGGTGGAGGTGGTGCGGTTGTGTGTTGGTGTTGAGGGTGAGGGATAGGATTCGGAAGCGATAGAAGCAAGGTATTGGATGACTTTCTTTGTGTTTTCTGTTTTTCCAGCGCCAGATTCTCCGCTACATTATCCTCGATGAGCACATTGTATACATGAAGGGAAAGGGACGGACGTGATGAGCACACTCTGACATTCGCGTTCCTCGTTCATGTGCACCCATGCACGCTCCGCGATCGCAAATATGTGCGGTGCGACCTCGTCCCGCCGCCTATGGCGGTACTGGTCAATGATCGCGTCGGTATAAAGCGGGAGGGTCTGATAAGGGTTAATAGCGACGAGGAAGAGGCCGGAGTATGTCTGCGGGGGGTAAGCTCGCGCATGGGACAGGGGGGGAGGCACACACATAGATGGCGTTCGAACCATATCGCAGGCGAAGGTTGTGTACCACCGAAGCTTCATTAAGGTATGTAAGGTCGGCAATATCGTCTACCCTGTCGAACTTTGGTGGGTTCATCTTCGATAGCATGTATAATGGAAGCGTGCGGTGCTGTCATGTTCGTCAGTTAGAGATCAACGCCGAGTATGAATGAGACTAGGGAAAGGCGAGGACATCTCAGTAATCTTTAGTGATTAAAACCTCACAGTCCTAGGAAGTCAGCGGTTGAAGACAAGTTCATCATCTTCCACACCAGCGAACTCCAACATCCATTATAACAAGAAACGGCACACACCTCTCCCCCAGCAGCAAGCACGACCTGTCCCATCTCCTCCCCTTGTTCTTCCTTAACCACCCACCCCGCCAGATACCCCTCGCGCTCATCTGGCACCCATACCCATTTCTTCTCGTTGAACTCTGCTGTGCGGGCTGCTTCTTCGTGCGAGGCACGGACAGGGACAGGCATGGCCTCTCAGGTACGTTGAATGATGTTGATGTCTATTTCTTAATCGAGTTCAATGATTCCAAGTCGAAGTATAGGCTAAGAGTATCCAAGTAATGAGAAAGAGAGATAAACAGCCAAAGGACTGCAGGCTAGCAGTGTTCAACCAGTCGATGTTCGGCCCCTTGCGTGCCAGCGCGTCGCGTCCGCGTCCGTGTCACGCCGCTCCTTTGGTTCCGGTACCTTTAGGGGCACGTGATCCGGTGGGTGGTAGAGGAGTGAAGATTGCAACTAACTGACTAAGGAGGAAATGGGAAGCAACGATGCAAAGTACGAATTCCAGACGGATTACGGTCGTCTTGGTCATGTGTTTTTATATATTAACATGGACTAGTACTTACTACCCGCCCACGCAAACATTTCACAGCCCTTCTAAGTGGGAACATGAAGCCACACCGAGTTCATTGCACTACAGCAGGCAAATACCTATCTTCAATACATACCCCCTCCCACTTCCACCGACCCCTCTGCCTACCCTACGCAAAGTCCATAGCCCTTCCACAGAGCTCATAAATAAATACATACGCCTCTTTCCGTCCCCTCCCCTCCCCCCCAAGCTCCCCGGTCGCAGCCCGTTCTCGTCACAAACTGGTCGTGCAAGATCATACATACATAATACATCCCAGCCCCTACTAGTACTGCTAGAGTCCGAGTGGCTTGTGTAGCTTCTTGTAGGGATGGGGCATTAGGGGTGTTAAATACGTCAAACGTGATTGGAGTGTCGCGCGATAGACGCCGAAGTGTGATGTTGATGATCATGCGCGAGCGCCGGTGCGAGGTTGAGGGACACATATAGGGAGGACAGGGATGGTCGAAAGGGAGGGCAGCGACAGAACGAGAGAGGGTCAACGCATTCAAGAGGTTCGGTGATCCTCTTGAATGCGGCAGACACCCTCTCAGCGGATCAAACGCTCGCGGGAGGGCTAACAGGCACGCTTCCCCACCCCTTTCCCAACTCCAGCCCCAGCCCTTCCCAATCCCCTACCTCCCGCATCAGGTCCCCCTCTTCCTCCCATCCCCAGCCCTGTATCACCTCCCCTTGTTCATCCAGCACTCCCCAAGCCGGATAGAGGGGGGCTAGCAACCCCGTTGGATCTTCCGGTTCCGGTGAATCCCTCAGGAGCAGGATCGGCCCTCGATCTTGGACGACCAAGAGACGGAAAAGAGCGCTGAACTTCGGATTGGGAGAGGTGCCCGAGGTGAAGCTGTCCCCCTCTTTCAAACCTCGGGCGTGCCAGGACGTGCCGTCATAACCCAAGCACAAGTCCCCTCCGGCAGGGCCGCTCATATATCGCGCGTACTTGGAGCACTGTACGACTTCGGAGACGAGGTGCTTTCCCTGTAACCCAGGCTCGGAGAGAAGAGATTTGAGCTGCGTCTTTTGGGGGATTGAGAGTGTTCTAGAGTCGAGGGTGACAAGGACGGCTCCTCGATCGGAGAGGAACGAGACGTGCCCTTTCCTTTTGAATTTCTGGATCTGGGCATCGGGTCTGTGCACGAGCAAAACATCAGCACAGGTCCATCAGAGAAGGGCATTGGGAGGCGTACACACGACAGTCCTTCCCATAAGCAAGTGCCCGCGCGTTCTTGCTTATCGTCCAGCTCTCCTTCTCCACTTCTCCCTCTACGACCTCGGGCTGCTTGATCCCCCACCGCCTTGCGATCCCTTCGTCGTAGATGTTCCCTTCTCGCTTAAAAGCGCCTGTTTCGGGGGAGAGAAACCCGTAGTCTCCGCATTGGACTTGAGAGGAAGGGGCAGAGGGGTAGAAGGGTGACCATTGGAGCCTTGACCCGGTGAATATCAGGTCGGCGTATTTGCGTAGTGCGTGCGGAGGGAGGGACATCTTTGCTTGAGTGGTGATGCCGTTACAGAACAAAGGTGGGGAAAATCCTGCGACGGGGAAAGGAGAGTAATACTCGGTTAGCTGCTGCTGCTGGCAAGATATGCCTCGCTGCGTGGGTGAGAAGAACAAAGTTGACGGATGAATGTCGGAAGTCGTAACTGTTCCGATCAATGATGGACCTTGGCGTGCAGTACGTGCTGGAAACGGGCCCCGTGGATTGATGCGGGATTTCCGGAGCTAATAATTCTGTTGCGGATTTGATGCGATGATTTAAGGATTTTTGGTGGATTTTCGATGTGAGAAGATAGGGATAGAAGTGTGTTGCGCAGGTGAGGAGGGTTGCTGGAAGACAGTAGGAAGAGTCCCACGCAGAGGATGCTTCTGTATGCTTCGTAGCAGGAAAGGAAGAGGCGTTACCTAAGTGAGCGATTCGCTGTTATTTCAGTGAAAATTCCACGAGTGCCCTCTCCGCGCTGGAAGCCTAAGTGTAATAGACATGTGTGCTGCCGAATGGACGGTGTTAATGACAATAATTCAATAATTGAAGTTATCCCTTTGTACACGTCATGTGTCCTGCCGTCATCATTCGGCGTCTCCCTCCCCGCCCTCTCATCTGTACATGTGGCACTGCTCGGTCAACAGGCACGGGCTGAATAATACCTTCTGTAAACCATATAATCCTTCTTTTTCCTCCCCTCCCCGACTGAATACCTCCCTCCTCCAACACGGGTCAGCCCCTACCGGCGCTCTACAACCTCCGATTCAAAGGGACGACGATGGGACTGCAAGCGTAAGACACCGGCAAGCGTATCAATGGCCTCCACCAAGCACATATCGACGGCGAGCGAGAGAGGGCGCAGGCCGACGGCCTGCGCACCACCGCCCTCCCCTCACTCTGCGACAGGTGAATATATCCTCCACGCGGCGCCCTGGGAATAGCCTCCCCACTCCGAAGTTGCGCCTATTGATGTAAACCGGAAACCGATGTTCGAAACACAGAACATACAAACGAAACGTATGCTAAAGATACGTCCGATACACGGAAGGCAAGCAAAGCAAAGCATTCAGGAGCGATTTCAGGAGTCTGAGGTAAGCTCACCTAAATGCACGAAACAGCAGCGATACAGCTTCGTCTGATACACACCTTTGAAAGCGACAGCCACTTCACATTGAACAATAACATAGAACAATGGGATAGAACTAGGATACCGGCTACCAGGCAACCGGTTGATCCTGCATCTCCTGATTATTTCAAACTGGCTCTCAGCCCCTTCTCGGCCTGCGCGTCAGCCTTGATCGAAGCGACCGATCTCCCCGATGTGTAGGATTTACGTATAATTCCAACTCAACATTTTCCGCTTCCGGGAAAAAAAAAATCAATTCCGACCATCCCAGAACTGTAGAATGTAAGAAGTAGATAATTTGCAACCAATATTCTTGGAGAAACCCGCTCGGTCAGGGACAAAAGAACCCGCTCTTAGAAGTTGCTTACGAACTCCGAGACTCCCGGCCGACAATGCGCACAACTTCGACGGGGTTAAGTGGTTCTTGTCTGCAAGGTATCCAGTCAGCATCACTGAGTTTTGGAAGCGTGACCCCGAGTTGGCACCGAGTTGGCCGAGAAGATGGGTTGACGTGGATGACTCAGCCGTCCTGAGTAATCACTTGGTCGGCGCTAAGCCGAAAAGCCGAATGTGGAGAGGACCAGCAGCGAACGTTGGCTCTGGGATTGCCGGGAAGGTAAGTTGAGACATCCTGTTGTGAAACATTGCAACTGAAAAGTTGACTTTATAGCTCCTTTCCTGCCTGTATTGACACCGACCAGCGCGTTGTCTTCTCAGATACAGTTGATGACACTTATAAGGGGCACCTCCGTATCGTATGTTCGGTGTGTGATCGGTTTCAGTACCTTAGATTCAACCCGTCGACGGCTTACAGGTGGATATCGTGCATTCCCGGGTAGCACAGGAGGTGTGCAGAAATGGCATCGGTACATCATCTCCCATGCGAGTAAAATTGTTCAATCGCCTACTCTCCAGCAGGTAGCAAGGGGCAGACTATTGGTTTGACTAAATCGAGTTGGAAGTCCAAGTCTGGGTATACACGTTTCGCCAGATCTGACCCATCTCGATGCTGCCAGCAAGGGCGTCTTCTACATTAGAATGCTGTGGCGCTCAACCGGAGTGAGAGATGTATGGTCCACATGCCTCTCGCTGGGTTCTAGAAAGGAGACCCTAAGGTATCGGCATGAGCGGAGAAATCAATACAAGGCTGGCGCACCTTACAAGCACATATGGTCATTCGGATTGATTGTTCGCAAGTTCTCGCATTGGCAAGCTATCCGTGCCACCTGCCGTCTCTAGGTCAAGAATGTTAAGACCTGTGAAGAGCCAGGAATAGTGATGGCATATCTGTCGGGCAGATTGTTGTTCTTCGTTCCTGAAGGAGGTTACAGCTTCCAGGTTCCCTAACGTGAGTTAACATGTGTGTGGCCAGGAAATGAAATCCCGCGGCCCCACAGACTCGCACGAGCAAGTTTGTTCGGGCCTACGGTTGGTCATCTATGAAGGGGATGACTCGGCTAGTTCACCCGATGTGCACCAGAACGAGGACGACAGATTTTTGCCCACAGCTGAGATGCACGACCACTTGAATAACGTTCTTCCTTCCCGGAGAGGCATAGACTTGTACAGTATCAGTGGCACCTAGCAGCTACCGTTTCCGGGTAAAGATATTTCTAGTGAGAAGAAGAACAGGGGAGTCCATTGTAAGTTCCGGGCAATCTCCGCAGGGCTGGAAAGCTAAGTGCTCTGAGATTGACAGGAAAAGAGCGGAAGAAACGGATAAAGAGCGGTGATACGCTGAGCTTCGGGTGGATCGCATGACCCACGGCTCTAGAATTCGTCAGTTTACTGCAGGCGCACAAACGTGTTGCCTTGCTGTCCAGAATACGCGCCGTATGGGCTAAATGCAGCTGAAATCCAGGGTGGTACGCGTCCTCTTGGAACCGAACGGAAATGCTGTGGGCGAAGAATTAGCCATGATGATGGGACGGATTTGACAGTAGTGTGGATATTTTGTTCTCTCGACAATAATGCGTTGTGGGCCACGCTGGGGCCATTTGAGCACATGTGCAATTCCGAGAGAGATGAGAACACCAACGACGAAGCGCCAGTAAATCCGTTAGTTAGGCGCTCATCAGGGACGGGACCTTTTCTATCAACTGTACAGTTTCTCAGTAGCTGTGGACACCCTTGTCGGAAGCACTTTTTGTAGGAGGGAAGGCTCCACACCCTAGTTGTCGTCGCTGCCCCTACCCCCCTGCTCATCGACGATACCTATCAAAATGGTGCGTAGACGCCATCAGCCAATACTGAATAATGGAACTGATTGTGACGGCCAGCCCAAGGAGATCCGCGACATCAAGGTGTTCCTCGTTCACGCTCACAGAAAAGATGCGAAGTGTGCGTGGCCTGCCCTATGTGTTCTCGACACAGTATGCTGACCTCAATGGCAGCTATCCACATCAAGAAAACCGTATCTCGGCACGTTTCCCTCAAGCCGAAGACAAAGTTCAAGCTGCGGTGTTCACGGTTCCTGTACACGCTCGTGCTGGACGACCCGGAGCGAGCGGACAAGCTAGCTGCAAGCTTCCCCCCTGGTCTGCTATCTGCGTTCCCTTAAATCTGAACCTGAACTGATCGATATTGCAGGACTTGAGGTGAAGAAGGTGGAGCCGACGGTTGCTAAGAAGAAGTAGACGATGTCGTAGTCGTTTGTCATCTTCTGTTCGCAGGAGTGGGGGGGATGAGGCACATTGAGTAAGGGCTGGGCGGTGGGAGACTTCCATGTCATCTATCTACGAGTATGGCTCTTATGGATCATGTTTGCAATCCTTCCGCGTGATGTGCTAATGGTACAGTGCGGTTGTTGATCCCTCGTACGCTTCACGTTGAGTGCTTATCCTCAACTCGCACCCTGGGTGCGCTGCTGTTAGCTGAAGCTGCAACGTGCGCGTATAAATTGAGTGGTGCTGTGATACAATCTCGGTCAAACTCTTACAAGATCGACCATGCGGAACTTCATGCTGAACTACATACTCTCGACTTGCTGTCTTTCTCTTGCCTTCCAGTGGGAGAGTGCGACGCGTAGAATTTCGGGGTCGCGAAGGATATCCGCCAAGTTCTTCGCACTACCGTATTCTGTTTGTAGTGCGAGCAGCTCAGTGACCTTCTTGCGTGTTTCGATCCGATTGAAGTCTGGATACTGTTACTGAAAACAGACGAGGATCCAAGGGTGAGTGTACACATATCTCACAGTTGAGACGACTTACATGGTAGCGGGTCTCTACGGTTTTTCGTTCTGCCGCCCGCTTCGTTATGCGAGCGACTTTGGCCGCATTCTCTTTGGTGAATGGCAGCACCCTCCGATGTCTCCAGTCCTCATCGCCAACAGACTGGCCCTCGTGCCACGGCACAACGAAAGGAAGTTTTGTCAAGAATGCCTGGAGAGTACTCACACAAGGCTCGATCCAGTCCAATGAGTGTGTCACATCCTCGGCTATCGTGATCTCCTGCTCCCGGTCTGCCATTATCTGTGGGCTGTAGAAAGTGGTTTCGGGCGTCGCCTTCAGATGGTTTGGTACGTAAACAGAGGCTGAAGCCTTTCGTTTTGAAAGATCGCTGGAATCATCGGCAATGTCAATGTGAGCTGGTAGCATGAGTGTGGCGCTTTGAGAATACGCGGAGCGCTCAAACTCCGCAAGGTATATCGGATAGAGGAGAGGAAAGAAGAAAACCTACCCCATCAGTTGAATTGAACAGACCTAGAGACAGGGACACAACGAACCTGGGATATCTTAGTTTTCCAAGAGACATATAAGTTGAACTCGGCGCCGGAAACATGCTCCCACTCCGTCGATGGTTCAAGTTTCGGAATTCGGAAAGGAGAAATAGAAAAAGGAAGAGCGATGACAGGGTCTCCCCACTTCGTTCGCAAAAGTGACTGGCTGAATGGCACCGGCCAGAGCTTTTTGGGCAGATTGGGGAGAAACAGACGACACAGTGGCTCTCGTGAGTGACCTGGTAACAGTCTGAATGACCCGATTAGTCGGGGCACGCATGAGCAGAAAGCGCCAACCTACACTCGTACATATGCATCAACCTCTTCCCGTTCACCTTGAGAAAATTCCTCTTCTGTCCCAATGCTCATTTTCAATCGTAATGCCGCCCAAGTGTACCACGTCGGTAGATAAAACGCACGAACTGTCCGCAACTTGAAAGTCCAGTCATTCACGAAACAATTATCGCCAGAAGTTATTTCCATATTTTCTCGAAGGGATTTGAATGCGTTGTCCACAGTGTTAAGACGCTCTTCAGCAGCGATTTGAATCACCTCACGAGCCATCGACAGCGAAGTTTGGAACGGCAGCGCATAGACCTTCGAGTCATACGACGGACCTTCGGAGCCCAGCGACGAATACCAGCGGTATGGAGCCGTAAAGATACGACAGGGATAATACATCAATATTCGCGGGCGCATGTCGACGAAGCTATTCCTGTTGGTACAAGCGGAGCTGTTGACGGTCTCGGAGAAAGGAGCGAGAAAGACAAAACGCCAGGAAAGCGCGACGCGCATGTTTGCGGTCCCTGTGACTCAACAGTAGCGAGAAGCCCGCAAAGCCGGTCATCGTTCAAGTCATTTTGTTTGGTCTTTGTGTCATCACGACATATTACAAGGTGGAAATAGCGACGATACTGCTATACACTAATCATAGTTTTCCTGCCTTGCGGTCCTTCTCTTCATCCTCCTCCGCTGCCCTTTCCACCGCCTCCAAATCCAGGCGATCGAGTGCTCCACCTCCGTTACGGAGCTTGTCAATGAACTTAGACACTATCTTCACTTTGCGGTCCACTTCTTCGTCAGACAAGTGATTGCGTTCTTCCTATAGGTCAAGGATGAGCAGGGTAAATGACAAGGGACAGGTTGCATACCCGGAAGATGCTCCTCAATGTTTGCCTTTGCTGTGCCCGTGTGACCTCTACCTTGCGGTCGTTCCAGTCCGCCTCATTGTATGACACGATCCTGCTGTCCTCCCACATGGCGTCGTCCACGCCACCAATGAGGGACCAGTCAACACGCTTGAGCCTTGCCTCCTTCATGACATCGATGAGTTTCGTGGCGAGTGAGTTCAGCTGCATGGGCGAATTTGGTGTCTCGTGCATTACGCTGAACGTGATGCCGATGTTGGAGTTTTGGTCGGTGTTCTCCGAGTAATATTCGGCGGTGGCAGGTGGGTCATTAAGCGAACGAGGGCCGTACACGCTCTTTCGAACTTGCTCTAGCCCTGTAAAATCCTTCCACTTACCACCCATCTCTGTCTCTGTCCATGCAGGGAGAATCGCCGTAGCAGACTGGGAAGTCCGCGGCAGGCGGAGTTCGCCGATATACACAGGTTTAAGCAAAGGAAGAAGGGAGAGCTTCTCACGATCAGCGTGTGAGCTATACGACGACAACATACGTACCGCATCCGTGTTTACATCCGGCATCATGGTGATACCAAGATCTCGAAACTCGGGGGCACTTTCCGGCAGGTCCTTGCACATTTCCAGCATCTTCAAGGGGGAGACGGTGAACGGAATAGCCCGAACCTCTTCGCCCCATCGCGTAGTAAGCATAGATGGTGAGTACGATTGTGGCTGGCTGTTGTGTTCCCATGGCTCAGACAACCAAAGACTCGAAAGCGGCTTGAAACCATGACCAGGAATGGTGCTGAGAGTCCTTGTGAGCGACACAGGATTGCTTGCAGCAACACATCACGCACGCATCAATGAGGCCAAATACCCTTTGTTCTACTTCTCCTCGCTCTCGTAGCATGAACTTGACGCTGACAGAACTAGTGACGAGCCAGGTAGGCACATACATCGGGCTGATCTTCTCAACCCTCCATGTGAACTCTTCCAACATGCTCGGCAAGGTGGATAATGACTGTTTGATCATATTTCCAATTCCGCGCCCTTGGTCTTCGAATATGCCTTTCTTCTTCATGAATCCAAGGACCTCATCCATGTCGGGCACATCTTGCCACGCTGCCATTGCGTAGGCCGTCAAGAGTCCTTTGGCGCTTTCGGGATCGACCCTGAATGGGAGAGCGGATACCTTCGAGTGGTATGACCTCCCGTTATCCGTGCTTGTCGTCGCGTACCGTCGTCGGACATTGTTGCGGGCAACGAGCAGGGACTGTATTCGACGATACATGAGGGCAGAGATGTTTCCTAAACGCGCTCGAGGTGAAGAGCATGAACGGTGTGGCCTCTAAGTCTTATGTCCGTCGGGCCCTGACCGATTTAACACCGATGACCGGAATTGTGCCTGCAAACTCTTGGTAACTGAGGAATCGAGCGGCTGCAAGCAGAACTATTATCAATTTATGAAGTCCAGTCTCTATACAAGTCTAGCCAGTTAGAACAGGCGAACGGACCATCCCGCCACACTACTTTTTCTCCTGCGACCTCTGATAAGAGCTGATGCTACCCAGGACGCTGTCTCCAAGCGAACGATACTTCATCCCTAGGATATTGGCACACTTCGTCAGGTCGGGAATGTCGTACTTGTCATCTCCAGGTATGCGCTCTGCAAGGACGCCAGGGACGTCACGCTTAATCAACTCTTCACGGAGATCTTGCCACTTGAAAGCGCCTGATCATTTCATCAGCTTACTACTCCTGGACTGGTCCGGAAGTGCCCACCTCCTGTGATGAAGATCCTCTCGCCACCAGCTTTCGGCTTCTGCAGACTGAGCACATGGGCAGTCGCGGCGTCCCGCACGTCAATCCAGAACCCAGCATGGCCATCCGCAAGATTCTCCGCCTTCTCGAGGAAAGCGTTCCTGTACGCCAGGCTGGTGGAAAAGTTAGGTTCGTCCTGCAGGATGGGGTTAAAGATCTGGTTAACATCAGTCAGATGGGAAGGAACAAGGGGTATGTATCTGGCGTACACAAGGAGGCGCAAGAGTGACCAAGTCCCAGTTCAGATCCGGTTTGTGCGCATTATAGAAGTTCCAGGCTGTCCGCTCCGCGTCGGTCTTGGCTGCCAGGTAGTACATAGCACCCGGGAGTCCCTGGGGGTTCTCCTTCACCAATTTGGTCGCGTTATTGTTCCACACCGTCTGTTCATGCTTGTCAGCCTTCTTGGGTCGAAGGAAATGATATCGAGGTACTTCATCATAAGTGAAACCAGGCTCATGAGGTTCCATCATTGCGACAAACGAAGAAGTCATAACAACACGCTTGACCGTAGGGCTGCTCCGGAGGCTGTTGAAGATGGATTCTGCGCCCTTCACAGCGGGTACGTAAATCTCTAGCTCAGAAGTCAGTGCAATCTCACAGTGATGGTAATCTCAATGCCCACCTTCGTACGTACCATCAAGGTTATCCGAAACTGGAGATGCAGCGTGCACAACGGCATCGACACCTTTGACAGCTTCGTTAAACGCGCCTGTCTTCGTTATATCCTCCACGATGGTGTAATCGATGTGGCTTCCATAGGCCGAAAACTTGTTCTTGATCCATTCACCCTTAGAGACGGAACGGACCGTGCCACGGACGGTGTAACCACCCTCCAGCAGCTGCTTGACGATGTACAGGCCGAGGAATCCGTTGGCGCCTAGGAGGGACGATCAATGATAATTCGTCTCCGATTTCTTCCCAGGACGTACCAGTGACGAGAACTGTAGCGGGAGCTTGGACAGAGACCATTATCGTTTTAAGTTATGTGTTTAAGGCTGGGCTTTTGAGTCGGCTTAGAATCTTTAGTTTCGTTGGGATGTCGGAAAGAGCCAGCTCTCCAAGGTCATTTTATAGGAAAGAGCAAGGGAGACCCATAGGGCGTTGCTCGTTCCATCTCAATGAAGAGGACAAGAGATGACAAAGAATAACTTTACAATGGCGACGTGGTAAAGTTCCAAAGAGAGGATCGCAAACAACTCAAAGATGGGTTTGTCAGCGGATGCTGTGTTTCAGGGTCCAAAGACGTCATAGGTTTTGTCAGCCAAAATTGTTGGTTGCAGCCAATAGTAATCATTGAACCGACGGTCAAGCAGCTTATCCTCAATTTCGGAGATAATACATACCGGAATAATTTTGGGACTTGAGATTTCTTCTGGATGGTTCAGTGGACCTCAATTCCCCAATGAATGCCGGTCGAAGTAGCCGGTCGTGGGAATCCTATAGCACTGCCACCCCCCGGTTATGCCTGGCTTGATGCGCACGGAATCTCCGACAGTGCATGTATTTATTTACCGCACAACTTATAAAAAAAGATCAAGTCAATCCATCAGAACTCTTCCGCATCACGATGGCCCCCACTCCAACAACCTACAAACGCGTCGTCCTCTCCTCACGCCCATCACCTACCAAACTGCTCGACCCTGCCGTCTTCTCACTAAGGCACGAGCCCTTCCCATCTCCTCCAGGCAATGGCGAACTACTCATCAAAGTCCTTTATTTGTCACTCGATCCCGCCATGAGGAGCTGGATCAACCCTTCTGGATCGTATATGGCCCCCGTCCCGCTGGGGGGGACGATGCGCAGTTTCGGCCTGGGTGTAATCATCTCCTCCGACGAGGGGTGCAAGCTTAAGAAAGGGGATCGGGTGCAAGGCTTCTTCGGATGGACAGAATACGCCCTCAGCCCCGAAAAAGCAGCTACGTTGCTCGCTCCTCCCCCTCCCGGAGCAGAATTGCTTGACTACCTCGGTCCTCTGGGCCCTACGGGGCTTACGGCGTACTTCGGGCTTACAGACATAGGTCAGCTCAAGAAAGGCGAGACGCTCGTTGTTACTGGTGCTGCTGGAGCTACGGGGAGTATAGTCTGCCAGCTTGGGAAGCTGTGGGGGGCGAAGGTGTTTGGGATTGCTGGAGGGACCGAGAAGTGCCAGTGGTTGGAGAGGGAATGTGGGGTCGAGATGGCGTTCGATTATAAGACAGAGGGGTGGAGGGAGGAATTCAAGCGCGTTGCAGGGCGGTTCGACGTCTTATTTGATAATGGTGTGTAATGCATTTCGCGCGATTCGTGTTCATCGACTGATACACTCCCAGTCGGCGGAAAGATGCTCGATTTCCTTCTTACGAGGATGAACAAGCGCGCCCGGATAGCCGTCTGCGGCGGGATATCAGACTACAATTCCCGTCCCAAGGGCCTGACGAACTACCTCGCACTGATCAACGCTCGCGCGCGGATGGAGGGCTTCTTAATCATGGACTATGCACCCCGGTTCGCGGAGGGCACGCGGGAGCTGGCGCGTATGTTGAGCAGGGGAGAGTTGAGGAGGAAGTTTCATGTTCTCAAAGGGGTGGAGAGCGCCCCAGAGGGACTGGGGATGCTTTTCTCCGGACAGAATACGGGAAAACTTGTGGTCCAGGTTGGGGAGGAGACGGAGAGAGGAAAGTTGTGAGATGGAAGGCATGCTAGATGGCGGGGCGTTGCTATCCAGAGCTTGGGAATGGAGAGTACCTGCGCCGTTTATTTTGCCATGTGCACAGTATTGCGCTCCAGTTGATGGATGATGACATGTCTCCGCTTCAGCGTATTTTGTTTGCCCCTGTGTAGCGCCTCTGGGGGACTCGCAAGGTCGGCGTAACTAGTGAATGTCTGGAATTGCCGAATTTTCGGAATGCGTCTAGCGTTTCTCGCGAAGTGAGGAGATGAAGCTGCAATTATGAGCAGGAAGAAAAATCAGACAGACATAAGACATACCTGTGGTGTCCAACTGTCGACACTGAGGCAGACGACCTGAGGAAGCGCGTTGCTACTCTTGGAGAAGATCGTAGCATCTGCCTCCTGTACCATGACGTCCGCGATGCGCAGTGGTCGAGATCCCATTTTCAGATTCTCCAAGAAGGAGTCAAGCCCCCCCGGAGGGACCACCCAATGTTGGAGAGGCGAAACTCTTCAACCGGTCGACCCCGGACAACAGCGCTTGCGAAGTGGCTATCGCACACGAGTCGACGAAGCCCCGGAACGGCATTGACGGGCGGATCAACCAGCTCAGGGGCGATTGTGTCTGAGGAAGTGTATTGCAAGTCCAGCTCTTCCAGATGCGGCTGGGAAGTAACGAGCTCATACATGGTGCAGCCAAGCATACTGGCGAACTTGAAGCTGGATAGACTAGGCCGCATATGTCCTAAATAAGAAAAAATTGCTGTGGACATCCTCGCAGATCGGACAATCCAGTTGAAATCTATTTTCCCCAGATTGCCTAGGTGGCCGACCATTCGGAAGAGCAGACGCAAAAAGGCAGACGACCGCATTATCCATGTGGTACTGCGGTTGAGCTGCGTACGATCCTCGGCCTTGACTCGTATATTCAATCTCCGTGAATCGCGCTCTGTGAATTGCAAAGATCGGAGGTCCAGTTTGATGGAAGCGACTTGAGATGCTAGAAACGCATTTCCAGCGACCGTGTGATGAAGCTTGATGAGGGCCGGGACGTTATCTACCAAGATCGATTTGTAGAGTTGCCTAGCTGCAGTTCTCCCTTCCTCGAACTGACTAGGCGTAGTTGGAATGTGTTCATGTGTAACAAGAGAGACGATTTGGTCCAATGCGTCGAATGAGACACCGTGTAGGGTGACCGGCAGGGTGACATGATAGTGTGAAGACGGGGAAAGATTTACCTAAGGATGCTGTTGGAGTCGAACTTATTTATTAATCAACGTGATGTGTTTCCGCGGAGCCAGTATGAACAGGATCAGTGTATCTCTACAGGATCGGTGTGTCTCTACATGAAGTTGACAGCCGATGTTCCCGTCTCGTACATTCATGCGTTCATGTCTGTGTACTCCCCGCAGTCTGGTTTAAACCACAAGAAACGTTTATTGGGCGGTGTCAATTCGAAAGTCGCTCGGCAGTAGTCCGTCCACGAGAATTCGATCCTTTGCAAACTAGGACATGCACGGTACAGGTTTCTGCCAATATTGGTAATCTGGATTGGCCCAACTTCCAACGGCTTATGAGTTTCACGGATCGTGAGCGTCTGAAGCTGCCGAAGGCCTTCGACCGCGTGCATCGCTTGCGAAGAGGTAAAATGATGAAACTGAGCTGATCTGAGTAAAACGGACAGGTGGAACGGACATGACATGACACACTTGGGAATCAATAGCCGTGACACTAAGTTTGATTACCTGTGGGACTGCAGCACAGATCTTCGAGAAAGTCTCATGATCGGCGTCTTCCAGCGAGAGCTCCACGATACGGAGTGGTACCGATGATAATTTCAGATGATCCAAGAGCTCATCGACATGGCTCAGCGGGATTGTATCAACATCGAGCATGCGGACCTCTTGGACCGGGCGGCCTGGGATTAAGGCGGCCATGGTGCAGGTACTGGACATTAGGCGACGTAGTCCATGAGGAGGACCACCGGCGGGGACGTCGCCCATCTCGTCAGGGACACCACCATCGTCATCGATGTAAATAACAAGGTCTTCTAAGTGCGGCTGAGAGCGGACGAAATCGTAGACCGGCCAGCTCTCCTCTGTATACGACTCGAATCTGATTAGCCCAGGTGGCAGGCGGCTGAAGCCAGCAGACGCTGATAATAATATTCCAGGCATGTCTAAATACCAGCGAATCGCGAGATTTCTTAGCTTGACGAGGCTCGCCAGCATGCGGAAGACCAGGCGGAGAAAAGCAGACCCTCGAATGATTCTGTCAGCGTACCACACCGAACCATCCTTGTGTTCAAGCAGTTCACCGCGCACATTAAGTGCGTAGAAATCCAGGTTAATTTCGAGGGTGCTGACTTGAGATGCTAGAAACGCGTTCCTAGAGAGCGTACGATGAAGCTTGACGAGGGTCGAGAGGCCGTAGAGTGAGATCGAATTGTACAGCTGCTTGAAGGCAAGTTCGCCCATCACTAAACTGACCAGGCATAGTTGAGAAAGATCACGCTGATCTGTGATGAGGGAGACGATTTCTCTTGAGATGTCGAATGGCAAGGTGACTGCCTGTCTGTGGACAGACGAGGACATGACGGTTTGAGAGAGGAGTGTGTTACGTAAACATCCCTGATATGCGCGTACCAGTCACGTGTGTAGCATGATGTGCGAACTTTAGACTGTATCCTAACCTAACAGACGCACAAGCTACCGAAGTAGGAGCAGAGTAAGACAAGAAGTATATGCCAGCCATGGGAATAAGGAAGGAATTCGGATGAGCATGCATGAATAGGGGGCAGATGCAGCGGTGGGGTAATTTACAGACGGGCGACAAACAGGAAGAAACATTGGCACCTCCAACGGTGTTAGCGGTAAAGAACGGCTCAGTAAACTTCTATCTCACTCCTCCTCCTCTCGCTCTACATGATGGTGGGAACTTTCTAAGGTTGATTTACGTAAGAAGGCTGATAGATGTGTCAGCGGAGAATCACCGGAGGCTTTTACCGTGCCTGCACAGTATCACCGCAAAAAAAAACTAGCTGCACTTTCTTCGGTGCCCATCTTGCAATAGAATCGGAAATCGCGTCTTCTATAATAATCCTTCTGGCCTGGCCTATACACGTCGCCCGTGATAAGTATTCATCCGTTGGGATCGACACCCTTCCTGTTTAGCTCGGCCGGACTCCGCAGCTTCACATTCAGTAGGTTTTGGTGAGTGCTCTCGATCTTGCTATTCAGGGTTATGGCGGCAAAGTTGATATATATACAATATTTGACAAGAACCGTATTAGTCTATTCTGCACCTGTATTCCTCACTTGCACCGGATCCCGGTTTATTTCACCAAGACCTTGGTTGGTGAAAGCACACCTCGGTCTGCGACTTCCTTCACCGGATGTTTACCAATGCCCATCAAACCCAACGAAACCACACAGGAGGAACACAGGAAAATATCGTTTCTTCTCGATGTTGCTGCACCAGTTCCACGCGCTCGTAAGACGGCCATCGATGCAGGAGCCGGCATCGAAATAGGAGTCAGCTGGGAAAGAGTCAGGGAGGAAACTCGGTTGGTACTTGGGATTACTCACCCCCAGATCCATCAAACGCGTGCCGGAAGAAATCACACAATATCTCCCTCACAAGCTTGTCCACCCCACCATACTCGCTCTCCGCATAATCCCTGAGGTTGCCGTTCTCGTTAAATAGCTTGGGAATATGCTGTAAAACATTGGAGATGGGAAGCAATATTCGGTAAATCTGGCTGTACTTGTCGATGAAGAGCAGCGAATTGGGGACGTTGTGGTCGCCCATGTGGATGACGGAGGAGCCGACCCAGGAGCCGATATTCTGTTGCGCTTTGTGCAGGATGGCATGCATCAGGCGGGACGTTTTAGGTGCAGGCTGAACTCGGTTCAGACCTTGGCCGGTGTCACGTAGCCGATATGGAGAGCTCGCTGCGAGCAGGTCGTCTTCGGCGAAGGACCACAAGCGGAACATATCTGCATCACTGTCAGTTGATCTGTGGGGTGGGGGTGCAAGCCGGAGATGTACCATGCAAGATTTCCCTCCAGAGAGTGAGGCTCTGGAGCACATACGCGTACTGCTTAGCATGATCATGACTGAGCCTCGCGCCCTGTTTGCCGATCCTGATAGCCAAACTCGCATGCTCCCCCTTCGCATCGCGCACATCGAAGGACTTCTTCAAGTAGCCGATCATGATCTCGCATGGATCACGGTTCACGCGGAGGAACGCGTGGTTGTCCCCAATCGAGTATAGGCACTGTTTGATCGTCTCCTGGGATATGTGTCCGCCAGAACGTGGACCAGAGTAGCGTGCTGCGAGGGCTTCGATCGCGCGCTCCTTGGACTTGATCTCTCGTTGGATCTCATAACGCGGTCGGTTGCCGGCAACGATCTCTCGCGTGGCAAGCGAGATAAGATCATCCTTCAGTAGGTCTAGAGCGCCTCCTTCCTCGAGAACAGTATACACGGTCTATCCAACATCAGTCCACGGCACGAGATGTGAGGTTAGACAGCGTACTTTGATTGGTTTAACGCATGTAAACTGGAGCATGTCCCTGACCTGCGGGTTCTGAGCGTCCATAAGCAGGTACATCAGTTTCCCATATGTACCCCTCATCTTATCCGGATTCATGATCTTGAATCTCCTCCCGAGCTCAAACACGTCTTGGAACCATTGTTCGTTCTGGGCGAAATCGCGGTCCGTGAAGAGTTCTTGGCCTTGCTTGTAGTCCGCTGCCAGCAGCAGACCGGATAGGATCGAACATAACTCCTTGATCTGCTGGTGTATGCGCTGCACTTTGGAGGAAGAGAAACTGAGAATGTCCACTCGGTCGGTGTACTCGCTGACGGATAGTGCAGCCTCGAGCAGTCGTAGGTACTTGCGTTCACCCAACGTAAGTCGGACGGGGATGAATCGCGCTCGCTGGAGGTAGTAGTCCCCTGCCTCTTTAGGGTTGGCAACGGGTGCTGGGAGCAGGTCGGTGCCCATCGGTGTCATATCCGTCGACATCTCGTCCTCTGCTTCTGCTTCGTCATCCACATCCGGGACATCCTCCGTCTTCGCTCCCCCGATCCCAGCAGCAACGCCATTACTCCCATTCACAACCACGCCAGCAGTCTTCTTTCGCTTCGCTGGAGGTTGGTCGAATGGCGTCGAGGCGTGGCGCTTGCGACTGCCTTTCCGGTGCTGTGCATGATAACACACTTCACAGTAGTCGTCCTCGCAGTTCTCGCAGTGCACCTGTGCAGGCTGGTCTGTTCACGTCGTCAGATTCACTCAAATCCTCGTGGTAAAAAAGACACACCCTCGCACTCGACACAAAATCCGTGCTTCGCAACAGTCTCTTCTCCCTCACTCCCTTCTTCAGCACCCGCCATTGGCTGATCCTCTGATGGTGGGGCCAGCTCCTCGTCCAAAATCTTTGCGAGGGAGAGTGTAGTGCTCGCCTCAGCTTTGGCTGGTGTAGCCATTTTGTGGAAAGTGATAGGAGTAGTCTAGTGTATGCAGAAGAGGGAGTGGATGAGGTTGGTGACAGTGTGGCGTCTTTCGACAGCGGCTGTCTGCAGCTGTCAGGACAACGTATATCGAAGAGGCCTATGCTGACGTCTCACTAATCCAATATGCAACCCAGAGTCTAGTTGAGTAAGTTAGTCGACAGTAGACCTGTCGTGTGCCTCGAGGCCAACGCAGACGACGTGTTATGAGTGAGGGTGTGCGGCCTTTTTCTACAGACAATTTTCCGCGGAGTTTATACATTCCCCAGCATTGCCACACCGCTCTGCATTTCATAATCCAGTCTGATTGCAAATCCAAAATGTACGGAAGCCGACGTTACAACAGACAATTATATAATTTAGGATCCAGTTCTTCTTCAAACAAGCTACAACAGAATAACAGAGTACAGATGATATCCTTCTTTGTACGAGCGCATGAGTCACAAGAATCCCAATATTCACACAAGGAAAATAGAACAGGCAAGAAAGATAAATACCATAAACATACGAGGTTTCACACCTGGCAACCTCCAGAGGTCGGCAGGTCGATCGATAGTCACCAAGGTGCGGATTATATAGCATAACCAACTGGGCTAGCCATCACATGGTACGGGTGGTGGTCGCGCAGCGTCGGCTTCCGCATGTGCCCAACCGTATTGTTCCGCTTTCTTCGGGGCACAGGTTCACTCGTCCGCAGGGGCTCAAGTGGTTGGTGAGGAAATGCGGAGATCGGGCTGGCGGTGAAAGGTGTTCCGGTGAGGGAATCGAGTGCCCTCTGGCACTCATGCAGCGCATGCTCGACATCTTTGGAACTGACGCTCTTCTGCCCATGCTGGTGTACCTGCAAGGAGAGGGAATTGACAGATGATCGCGCCTGCTTGATCACCTTGCTTGGATGGGGCTCTGCTGCCGCTGGTGGAGGCGGCGGGAAAGGGTGTGAGAGGATGCCCGCGGAGGCGGACGGGCGGTAGGATGATGGTGCGCGGGCTATATGCGCGCGATGTGAGGTGTATGTCACTTCCGGGGAAGTGGCGGAACGGGAGACAGAGCGGCGGGAGTCGACCATCTGGTTTGGGGTTGGGGCATGAGCGCGATAAGGAAGAATGTCGGGGACCGTGGAAGGGGGAAGAGGGAAGTATAGGATATGCGACCCGCCATTTACTGGGGATGTGACGATTGGTGAGGAAGGAGCCGAATTGGGGCGTGTCAGCGGACCGCCATGCCTTGGGCAATTGGCCGCTTCGCAGTGTTGAGCGTAGCATTCGTATTTCTTGCGTTCGTATCGGATCGTGCTTGCCGGTGGGGAGGGCGGCAAAGGAGGGCAGTCGCTCGAGGTACGCGAGCTCATGCTCGTCAGGCTGGGCGTGTAGGTCGTGCTGGATGCGCTAGCGGAAGAGGAGCCGCTGGTGGGGGAAGCAGTGTGCAGACGACGAAGGCTCTTCATGCTTGCTACTCGACGTGCTTGGGCAACTTGCCTACTGCCATTCGGGTTATGTGTGGGGCAGTAGTCGCTCCAGCAGTCTTTGAACGCGCAGATGTAGGCTGGGGGAGAGCGAGGCTCGATGTAGTCCCCGCTTCGTTGCCGGTGAGGATGGATGTTTGCCAGAGACTTTGCGTGAGATAGCTCGCAGCCGTGTTGGGACGTTTTGGACGACTTGGACCTTGTGGATGGCGCGGTAGTAACAAAGGAGGGGTCGGACGCTAGCGACTCGTTAGACCGCCGTCCATCTCGGGTCCGTTGAAATTTCGCCTCGAGAGAAATACCAGCAGACGGAGGAGGGGATGGAGGAGGGGTGAAAAAGCCGGCGACTCTACGAAAGAACGAGGGCTCTCCCTCTTTCATCCTCCATGAATGATTATGGAAGAGTTGCATATTGACAATACTATACGAGCAGCAAGAAACAAGAGCAAGCGGATGGTAGACCAAGAGGTGGGGGGTATAGACGCCAAGAGATGGGGGGGTACAGACGGGTTCGGAGACTCTTGAGCGGATCACAGCTTCACAGTCGTATTTAAGCCTGTGCAGCTGTGGGGGTCGGGGAGAGCCGTTCCGCCGGCAGGGCAGGACATGCTGTGTAGGAGAGTTAATTCACGTTCTCCGTTCGAGAAACACCTTCTGCAGAGAAGGGCGGTTCGGACCAGTACCCTTGAAACTTGATAGGATGATCAGGAGACTGCGGGGTGAGCACTCGAATTCCCACCGGTACTTTCCGATTCTAATGCTGCTGTCGCATCCTCCATCAGTACACCAGCGTACAGCGGATCGGCTTGAAATCAGATTTAGCTGCAATCAAAGACACCAATCCGCCCGGACCGTTGGGTGCTGCTCTCTATGAAGTCTTGTCCACATACGGTGCAAGGTCTGATCCTTTGGCTGGTAGATCCATCAGAAGCTCAAACGCATGAGGTGACATCGCTCTGTTACAGTCCGGACCATCGACAGGAGTATACGACCGAAGAGGTAGAGCGGACAATCTATTGCCCTTGAGCAATGGAAACACGTTGGTGAAGCCGTAGGAGCGCTCTTGCTAGAGTTTCATGAGAGGCAAGGATGATCGAAAACACTCGACACACGTTGTTAGGGGGCGGGACGGGGCTGTGATAGCATCCCCATGTGGCATATGCCGTGTCCGACATTCGTCATATTGTTCCTGACGGCACTTCAAGTTTACGTGAAGAGCAAATATCTATAGAGGCTGCGCTTGCCTTTAGCCAGACCTTGAATCAGTCGCCGCTGTAGCAGAGGCGCGCCGTCATAGGAATAACCTCGAATAGGAGGCACAGGTTGTTGACTTATAATTACTCTACCGTCCGCCGATGTGCTTATCGTCGCCCATTCGCCCACCTCGGTGTCAATAGATTACGCCCTAGCTTCGAACTCAATGTCGTTGTCAATAATGCTCACGAAGTATACGAAACCAGGACGGTAATATATCAATGACACAATTCCAAATCGGGAAAGAATGTAAACGCCCCGGATTAGGGGTTAGCTCAATTTGGACAATGATCGCCGCCGGATCGCTCTGTACATCGGGGAAGTAATGACCCTTCGTCATCATGGCTGGAAGGTCAACATTTAAAGACACGAGTGAGTTGTTTGACAAGTGACGTAAGAAGGCGATGACCAGACTAATACAGTGTACTGTTTCTAAATGATATCATTCCTGCCCCCTACGCACGTTCTGTACAATACAGACGCCCCTGACATTGTAGTAAAAAAGTCAGAAACGCCGTGGTCACCCAGCCCCACCGTCCTCCCCGTCGAGCACGAATTTAGTCGTCCAGTGATTGGTGAGTTGTCTGGTACGCCTTTGGATATGAAACAAGTCCTCCAGTGGTAGATCTTCCGCCTGGCTAAGTTTTCCAATAATGAGACCGATCTTCGTACCGCCACGCTCGACCTTGGCCGAAGTCAGTCGGTGATACCGGGAACAACAAAGGGGACGCTTACGACTTTCCCGAGAGCATCTCGGGAGATGGTATCCTTTGCCTCTTCCAGCCGTCGGATTATTCTGCTGACTTCCGCCATTTTCTGCACCCGAAAATTAGCTGATACCCTCCGGCTCTCAGGTACTGACGCACTTCCTGGCTCGCTTCTCGCCGTGTCTGGGGATTAAGCATCGGCTGAAGCACAGATCTCCACGCGCGTAACTGTTCACCCAAGGATGGTCTCAGGTTGATATTGTCTTCTAGTCTCGGTCGCTTTGTCGAGGGGCCGAGTATGGACGTGAACGGCTCCTAAAAGGTGTGAGCGAAACTTGATACAAACTCACAACAGGCTCACCGCTTTCACACTGCTATCGTCCCGCTTTCGCTTCGGAGATTGTGCTCTCATAGGAGACTATTCAAAAACTCAGCTTGAGTGCTCCAGGTCAAAAAAGCAAACTGACGGAGGGTCCCGCCCGAGGTACAGGCACCCCAGTAGCGACGGTATGCGTGATAACACGTCCGCCGACGATACCCGCTGCCTGGACCACAGTCATCCCATGTGCCTGATTCCATTGCTTGCGTATGTTCGCGTCCATCTCGGGCCATGTTTCCGCGAACGTGAGCTTTTTGGAGAAGAATCGGCTGTACTGAATGTCTCGGGGATACTCGTAGGCGCCTTCAGCGGAGAAAGCGACGGATGGTCCTTGCCGAGGGGCTTGATTTGTCTGCGGTACCTCCAGACTGGGAAAGTCTATTCCAAGCAGAGCGAGGTTGAGTGATGTGAGGTTCTCATTGACTGTCTTAGCGCTTAGATCTTTCCAGGTGAGAATATGGCGAGGGGTCGCTCTGGCTGCCGCTGATTGCTCCTAGTCCACCATCAGCATCATCATACACAATTGATCCGGTTCTTACCTCATTCTCTGAACCAAAGATGTCGTCCAAAATCTGCTGCTTCCGGGATTGTTCGGGGGCCTGGATGGGATTCTTCTTCTGGAATTCGTTGATGACCGATGCGTCAGGTGCGGCAGCTCGGCTCCAGCCAGGGTCGTATGGATGTACAAAGCTGAATGATCAGCCCTCCATGTTCTCCTTGAAAGGTAGTCATAACTTACGAACAAGGATTAACATGCACTGCGACTTTTGCTGGTTGGGCACTACTATTGGGCCCTATGAAGAAGGTCTAAGCGCACCCGGGTTAGCCTGAGCGGAAGTCGATCTGATGAAAATATAGCATGACATACCGCACATTTGATGGGAGGATTCGGAGGCATCGTTTACTGGCAATATCCGGTCCAGGAGAACAAAAGAGTCACGAAGATCCCGGATTAATGGAACAGCGCCTGACCCTTAGAGGTTAAGAGCAGATAGTAGATGACCAATAAAGGAGATCAGTATGATGGTAGATCTGGCTGATCATACACACTGCGGAGATCGAAAGGAGGAACACAGAACGAAGCGGGGAAGAGCACAGAGAGACGTTGAAGCCAGGAGTAAAAGAGGCGAAAACCTGGCAATGGCGTTGAGTGACTGGTGATCGGATGGGAGAAAGGCGTAAGCGCGCGTGCAGACCCCTGTTATCGTGTGAGTCAACAAAAGTAGTCACTCTACAGTATATCGTCGGCGCTATCGTACTATTTTTTTTTGAACGGTACTCAAGTCATATCCGCGATGCGTCGACTTTTGCGGACAAGGGAAAGAAAGAAAACAGGACCGGGACCGGGGCCAACGCGACGCGCCTCTTCTATGGAACAAACACGTGCTGATGCCTCCGCTTGATCGATTTCCTTATTTGTATTAGTTTTGGCCCGCCTAATCATGTTCTTCTTCCCCGTATATGTGTAGCTGAAATACGCAGTAATACTGGCATGAAGAACGAGGGCACGTTGTGGTCATGGTTGACATCAGCGCAATTGCGTGATCTTGCTCATCAACGGATCTTCTCTATCGAATCCTGCTTGAATAAACGTTGGCAATCAGCGCCGGTACGTACCCATGGTGATAGAAGTCTGGTTAGGAGCTCAGTGTCCCTCATGCTACACGGTCATGGCTTATGTGCAGGGTAATTTGATAACACACGGAGAGATACCCCCAACATGCCGACAATATCAATGACGTATTATGCGTTTCAAGGGTAACGGTTGAATCCGTAGAGAATCTCCGTTGTTTCGGGGGGGTTGCTGTTTACACTCTGTATTCAAAAACCGGTATTCATTCTGTGTATTCCGCGTGTGTTGTGGTTGGAATGTTCCGTTCGGTAATGTTATTGTTCACCCTGATAATTCCGGAAGGATCGGCTGACCACATGTGGCTCGGAAACGTCGTCTCGCGTTTGAAAGTCTCTGACACCATGCGTCAAACGAGGAGTTGACGTCCTGCACGTGCGTCGTTCCTGAGCTCTCTCTCTGTGGCTCTGTGTCTTAGTGCATTCGCCGGTCGTATGTTTTCCTTGCCTTTGGTACGATGCGACGGGTTGCACTTGTGCTTGTGCATCGAACTTGGTGGTCCGAGAATCATTCGCTCCCGTCTCCTTGGAATTCCCTCCATTTCTGAGCTACCATCGTACCCATCGGTATCATCAACCCGAACGCTCCAAAAGGACTGCAAGCTAGAGCGGACAGAAGGAGGCTCGACGATGATGCTCGGTGGGTATGGGAGGGTGGTGAGCGTGTCGAGCGACGAGCGAGGGGAAGGGGACTCCTCGTCCAAGTCGGGAGTGACCATCGTCACGGGAATCGGGAAGTAGTTCATCAGGATCGGTGTGGAGAGATAGCCTGACTCGGTACTGGAAGCGGAACTAGGGCTGCTCTCGTACGTCAGCTCCGGACACGGGAACGCCAACGGAACAGGGATGGCAACTGTTGGATGCGGCGTCTTGCGGATCATATCGTATGCTTGCGGCGGAGACTCGGGAAACTCTATGTGCTTGTGCCTAGGGCAGTTAGCCGCCTCGCAGGTCGGCGCGTAGCAGCGGAAGATGCCGTCCGGTGTAGTTATCGAGCGCGTCAGCCTGCTACCAGGGGGAGTGAGGCACATCTCCGGCCCTGCAACCTCGGTCTGAGGTGATCCGACCGTTGTTGGGCTCCAGAATTGCTCCGTCTGAGCTACAGGACGCTCTCTGTGATGTCCTCTATATGAGTTCAGACGCATATATGCACCTTTCAAGCGACTTACACGAGCATTTCTTCTGGGGGATGACGGTGCGCGACTCCATGCGTGGGACAACTCGGCGCCCAGCACTCGGCAAAATAGCACGTGTAGTCGGACGATTTGGGTTTTGTGAGAGTCAGCAACGATGCCGATGGCTTCATCGCGAAGGGCATGAGAGACGTCATGTTCCAGTGATACGAGAAGACTCAGAAAAAACGAGTGCGGAGAAGGTGCTGTATGGGGTAAGGACGGTATTTGTAATAACGAGAGTGGTATTGTTATGTGGTGGGACAGGATCAAAGAAATGGGGACGAAAGGAAAGGAAAGGCTTCGTTCTAGTCGTAGGTTTGGACGACATTGGTGATTCGATTGAAGGCACTCGAAGCTAGTCAGACTCTGCCACGTGCAAACTTCACGGACGCCAACTTTATTTCGGTCTGGTACGTGCGCGACCGTCTTGGAGGGCTGTCTAGCTGAGACGATGGAAGGGAACAACTCTGCTCGTCGCAGCGGTGAAGAGGGTTATAAACTCAACGCAGGTCTGTTGATCAAGCCTCTTCAGGGACGAACAGAGGAAACGGAGGGGATACTCCTGCGCAAGGTTGCACCACAACTGGCAATGGATACTAGCATTTTGAGAAAATATTACGGAGCAATAAAGAAGAAGAAGCATGGATAAGTACAGTGATGGGGTATCAATTGCTATGGTCATGAGATTGCGGCGGTGACAGTGGATTTTCTGAGCGTATTCGTCGGAGTTGCTGGCTATACAGCTGCAGCAAAGCCTTCATCATAACTTCCAAGGAGAGTGTAGCTCCTTCGTGTACCCACTTGGGTATCGCATCCAAACGTAATCCAACCAGAGTCAGTTGGTTCGATCGTGGGGTAAAGTCGCCAAGTTGGGTGAGCTGTGGCAGCTCGATATTGCCCGGTGTGATTTTATGATAGGTCATCCTGCGAGGCTTCGTAGACGGCCCAGTCAAGTCAGCTGTCGAGGGCATGGGAGCGGAGCCCGGTGGTGTGGGTGTCCGGGACTGAGCAATGGGCGAAGAAGCAACCCCAAGAACCACTGGTGTTACTGGCGCAGTTTCATCAATCCGGAACGTAGAGGCAGGGCTGATAGGAAGATCGGTAACTTCACCGCTACCCTTGAGCAACACTTTATCCATCTCTTCCTGGAAGCTCTGGGCGAGGTTGTCAAGCCACTTGAATAGAGCGTAGTTGAGCGCAAGGAAGACGGTGCCTTCTGCAGACTTATCAAACAAGGAGCTGTAAGTCATGTCATACTCGTAATCCAAACGCATGTCCTTTGGATCTTCCCAAGACTCCATGTATACGCGTGTAGGAGGGCCATTAAAGATCGTTGCTTCGGATGCCGATTTGAGGAGAGCAAACCATCGAATGGCAGTAATGGCAGTAAACTCTTCCGTGGTAAGTGATCTGGGTTGTAACCGTTGTATGGCGAACGAGCTGAGATGCATGTTAAGCTTTCGATGGTATCTTCCGTCTTCCAATGCATTGCGGCTGAGTTCGGCTGAGACGGTCTTTGCCTCAAAGCGGACCATATCTTGGTCGGACGTGCTCCGGGGGAATACTGCCAGACGAATTCTTCCTGCCTCCAGCTGCATATTCTGCAAAATCATAACAGCACGGGAACAGGTATCTTCCTTGAATTTCGGTCTTGCGGAGGCGAGCATAGCTGTCGCGACATCGGACAAGGGATTATCAACACGGGAAGAGCGAAGGGCCCGGAAGGCTTCCGATTCTCTGGCTGCTCCCTCGCGCTGCGTGGCAAGCAACGCCTGCAAGCGGTTGAAGAGCGCGATCAACCGTGGCAGAGTTAGGACTGTACCGACGGCTTCGAATGTTTCCGCCCTCACTGAGAAGTTCAGTTTCACTTCCTGGTTGGAAGAGAATAGTGCCGGATTCTCTAGCATGAGCGACCAGTCGTCATACACTTGAACGTCAATGGGGCTAGAGCTGATAATTTTCCTCAGCATGCTGTTCAGTATAGAAGAAGGGTACACGCACTGGAATTGGAGGATTTTCTTTGAGTCTGTGGAAAGACCTATTTCCATCTCCTCCAATCGGATCCGCAAGTCTAGCATTCTCAATTCCCTGTGATTTGCGGCAAAAGCCTTTTGTCGGAAAACAGTGTCAAAGGACACTCCTTGGATATTTGCATACCCAGATAATGTCCGATCAGCTTTGAGAACCATAGTGCCGACTTGAAGGGAAAGCTCGGACGTATCTGCAGCCAGTTTGCTGCGGAACGTGATGGTATCCACTCCAAGATTAAGCCTCGTGATGGATTGTCCAAGATCTGCTTCTAGCTGTAATCCCCGTATTTGCATGAGCAAACACATTATCAGGGGTGGAGAGTGAGGTGCAACGACGGCATTTTGCTCGTCCGAGCCTTGGCGCTCGGATCCCCGAGACGCTTCGATGATGGGGATACTGTCAAGCCAGACGGCCTTGAAACAAAGTAGATCTTGGAGGCGAGCAAATCGAACACTACCAGCAGCCTGAGTATTGACGACTACAGATACGACATTTGCATTGATTCCGTCGGCGGTGAGGATTGGCTTGAATGTGGCGCTTGCAGCGAGATCTTGAGCAGAAATTTCCAGGCAGTTTTCGCTGAGGTATCCATGACGTAATCTACAGCTAATTCCCGCGATGCTGGCCGAAAAACTGTACTCTTTGGCTCCAGGCGAAATGGTGATCAGGAATCCGCCGCTCTCCCAGGTGACAGACGCAGCCACGTTAACGTGCGGCTGGCAAGTCATTTCCAAAGTAGACTGATCAATGCGCAAGCTAAGATTAATCTGCATGGACGCAACAGTGCTGATAGCCAGCGTCTCCGCCACCATTGGCGGGGTGTCCTTAGAAACAAGGGATAAAGGTGTGATTGGTGAGGGACTACTTGTAGGCACGGGAGCACGTTGCAGCCGGTTCTCGATGTTGTGTGCAAGTTCGGTTATGAACGGGAGGAGGCTCGGCTTTAACGTGTTTCGGCTGGGGTGAACAACCGCGTTGAGCAACAGAAGTGCAGGTTGCACTTCAGTAGAATTTTCTCGCAACTGCACCACGGCGCCAGCATATTCGCACCACGCTGTCAGCCCGGGGAGGATGAACGTCTCAGCTTCTAAAGTTTCGGAAGGGAAGCTGGGTAAACCATTGATGCCAAGCCCAGTGCGCCGAATGACCGCTATTTGTTTAGCTCTCGTCGTTTGAGTCGCACCTTCAATAGACGGCGGGAACAATCTAACGCGTGCGGTCTTGAATTCGAAGGAAGCCTTCACGTCTGCTGCTGGCGCCGGACCATTGGGTGCCGGACCCTTGGGTCGTAGTAGCACAGGATCGGTTTTCGATAGCAAAGGAGACTGGGGAGGGCGATTGGGTTGTGCAAGACGCTGAAGCCGTTCTTTGCCTTGTTGGTACACATCGATCAACGAAAAGACGTATGGAGCAATGGTCGGATCCAGATCCAGGTCAAAACCAGTCATTGAAGCAAGCAAGCGTATCCGTCTAGCTCTGGTCGATATCAGAGCTCGAATGTCGACTTTCATATCTGGGAAGCGAAGGCTGTTACGAGTCATGTGGGTACCAGCTTCAAAGCTCTTGTCATCACTTTGATCAAACCTAGAAAGGCAAATCAGCTGAGGCACAAAATATATTGTCGACTGCTTGCCTGGAAACAAACTGGAAGGACATGTCTCTTAAGCCAGCCGATCCGGTGTTATTCGGCTCTGACATGAATGTTACAGCCATGATGCTGAACAAGAATGCTGGAGAGACTGGCAATGGGCCCTCGCTGTTCACACTGGGCACACCAATCTCGTCCAAGGTCAAAGGGAAGGATACCCCGATACGGGAGACCGCGACATAAAGAAAACGAGTACCAAACCAAGTTCGTGCAGCTTGGATCGTCTGCCCACGATCCTGAGATTCGAACGTTTGCAAAACACGCTGAGTCTGCGCTTTGATCGCCGTGATCTCTTCGGCTCGCTGTTCGCTGCGTATCAGCATTTCTCCTTGGTAGTAATCCAATAGGTCGCCAAGCTCTCCGATCGCAGCAGCCTGCATAACCGCGTGAATTTTTTGTACCACAACAGCTATGGAGTCCGTTCCCGGTTCGCTTTTCCCGAAAGCACCTTTCGGGGGAGTATTGGACGCCTCCACGTTGATAGTCATGTATGCAGAGCGATATCGTCCTTTTATACCGCCTTGAGAGGTTGTTGTCAAGGTAGTGTGAGCAAGAGAAAGTGTCAAGTCCGTGATCGATACATTCCAGCTCAAGCCACGCAACGTACGGTTCGTGATATGGCCCTCTAGCTTTGTGGTCTCAATGTATTGAGTCGAAGACGGTCCTTCAATTCCCACCTCAAAACCTTCCATGAGGAGCCGCACAGAGTAAAGGAAAGCTTCTTTGGTGAAAGATTCTCTTCGAGTCGGCGAAGTCGGCGATCGCTCCCTCCTGGCCCGTTTTTTCCGGGATTCTGAGATGACATCTAGAATGTCGTTAACGTCCTTGCCGAACTTGCTGGGGATGACCAAGACGTCGTCCATGATTTGGGCATTGAGCTTGATGGAGAAGTATCCAACAACTGCCAAAGACTGCACAATGGATCGAGAGTAGCTCCCGCTGAAGTCGAAAGCAGGTAACTCCAGAGTGATCAAGGGCGCCGATGTCGGCAATCCCTCGTTGAGCGATGCGTTCGCCTGAACAAGGCGTATCGTCTGTGACTCCAGGTGGACTCCATAGTCCAGTCCTCCAGATAGACCGAACGCAGGCTCCAGGCCTTTAACAGTCCGGGTGTGAAGGAAGATGTCATGATATTCCCATGAAAACCAGGTCGATGGCAGGACTCGAAGGTTGATGGCGATTGTGTTAATGGCGGCTTGGAAATACAAATTCAAGCGAGCAATATCCATCCAAGGCTTCGCGTCCTGTGTGGCTATGTCTGAATCTTCTTCGGTCTCTAGCTCGGCAAGGATGCCGCGAATCATAGAATGGTACGTTCTGATGGAAATTGAGTATCAGAAACATAAAGCAAGTTGGAAACTCTGTTACTGACGGGATATATTCTGCTCGCCACTCCTCCACAAATTTGTATAAACGCAGCGCACTATGTGGAACACTGAGGCCAATACGTCGGAACGCAAGGGCAATGCGGCAACTTGGCGAGTCTCCTTCGTTTGCTGAAGTGAAGCCGGCATTAATGGAGGGCTTAGCCAGGCTCAACCAAGCCATGGATCTGTGATTGCTAGAGGCCTTGGGTGGCCCTTGAGGAGATCGTGCTCTGAACACGATGTCTTCGCTTGCGATAGTGCTGCTGATCGCAGCATCATTAGAATTGATGCGTTCACCTTCTAGGCGGAGCGTTGATGCCGAGATAAGTCGTCGTACAATGAAATCAAACGTGATTCTCTGGGCAGCGGCATGCATGTTTACAAGTTTGATGGATGTTGTCAGATCAACGATGATAAGTCGCAGGTCGTCAGACAAGCGGAACTGTGAAGACGGCGGCGGGTTTACGCTGGCTGGTGATGTTAGCGCTTTGCGAGGGAACATGCGGCGGAGTCGAAGCATGCGCTGGAAGATAGTCATCAAATCTGGCGACAAATGCACGTCGATTCCCTCCATGTTAGCATCGAAACAGAGGTGAAGAGCTTGCTGGGTGGGATCAGCGATGGGTTCAGTATTCTCCTGAGATGTCTTTGCCTCGGGTGTATTATACTCTTCGATTCGTGTCATAACGGTGCTCGACAGTGGACCGAGGAAGACAAGCGTATCCTCAGGCAACCCAGCATCGACTAGAGATACGCGAACTTCTTGACCAGTTATGTGTAGAACATTATAACCCAGCATCAGGTCCACGAGGCGGCCGTCTTTTGTGGGCTCCGGCAACTGAACAACAGCAGGGAACAAAGCCCGAAGCAGTGTTTGTACAGAAGGGCTACCGAGGTCAATCTCCCACGTTCGCCACTTCTTCAAAGAGCTGAGAACTTCACGGTGCATGGCCACTTCTGTTTGAGAATCCGATAACGTAATCTCGGAGTTGATGCTCCTGTTCAGGTGGTCTCGCAAAGTGGCTGGCATGAGTCGCAAACAATGTCGAATATGAGCGAGGATTCTCCACCCGTTATCTGAACGTCGCTGTCCTGGTCGACCATGTTGGACAAGGAAAGTCGTCAGGTTCAAGAATGGCGGATCGGTCGTAATAGTTCGGTCTTCTGCAAATTGAAGGACAGTCCACAGGAGGAATCGTGCACGAGATTGAGTTCGTAACAAGGCATGGTCGCGAATGGAGACTGCGCGACGAAGGGCATTATTGAGTTCTGTCGCAGTGGCGATGGCCGTCTCTGCTCCAATATCTAAGAAATTCATGTAACAAGGCAAAAGTCCAAGATTGGCAGTCAATCCCGTCGAATTTGTACCACCGAGTATTTGTATGCCTTCTGTGCTGAGCTCCAATACTTGCGAGAATTCAACAGGAAATGATAAGCGGGAGAGCATCGAGGCGGGGTCCGCAGCCGACTTGGCCCAGTCATTTCCGGTACTTCGCCAGAGACACATGCGGGGGAATCCGAAGCGAGTGTTGCATTGTATGGCCGCAGAATCCAGACTGAAAGCAAGAAGGAATGCCGAGTCCCCTAAGCTAACATCACAGATTGTGAGAACGTGGTGCATGGTACCATAGTAGTCCTGCCGTTTTCGACGCTCTCGACTGTGATGGTGGTGGTCCCTTTCGTTTGGAACCAAGCCAAGCTGCAGAGTGCGTAAAGCGACGGAATGGACCTGTATGCTTAGGGCGGTTGATGACGCTTTCTTGACTCCTGTTGACTGGGACATGCTCAGTTGATCGAGCATAAGGACATCCATCTCTCGGTCTGAACTGCATACCTGTGGTTAGGTTAGCAGGGTTACCTGTTGCAGTGAAGAAAGACTCACAGCAATATTCGCCGTGGAATACAGATCTTCAATAAACTGGGTGACATGGGGTGTTATGAGAATATCAACAGGGTCCTGGAAGTCGAGACACATCGTCGTATTAGCGAGTTCGTGGTCAAAGCCCGCCTGAGATTGCAACAGCTGTTCTTTCGACCAATGACTACGCGGAAGCAAGGGCGGAAATCTGCCCCAGTGCTATGACAGAGCAAATCAACATCCAGTTGTGAACGGTATTGGGAACGACGTACCTCGACTGGCGTGAGAGTGCTGATGTAGCTGTTGGGATTCCGTTCTAGCCGGAAGGGCTTGAGAATAGAATGCAATCCGCTTTCACCAAGCGGCCAGTTCTCGCCTACAAACTTTGAATGAGTTAAGACAAACAAACATCAACCTGACTTACGTCGACGATGGCTGGCACGAGAGCCAGTATGGTCGCTCGTAGCGCCAGAACGAGTATCGCTCTCTTCGTCATCAGATTCGTCTGTGCTTGTCTCATCCCGTTCTAATACGTCCTCCGCGTCGAAGTACGTAGCAGTAGGCGTCGGTAGCCCGATATGAGCACGCCCGGGTGTCCTAGGACTTGTCAGATAGAGCGGCGTTAATCGAGCTAGACAGTACTCACCGGCCACCCATACTGTGGAACTCTGCGGAACCATGGAGCGAGTCCTCGGAAGACGCGAACGCGTAAGCATATGACGCGCGAGCGTTTGTCCATGCTCCGCCCGCTTCGTCCAAAGATCTAGGATAGGTCAAGAAGTACATGCCATGCTGCCGCCAAGCTGCAAGTTGATGAGACACACGCTTGAGCGAAACCACAACGGAATAAACGCACAGCTGAAGGCTCGGCCCTCCTGGCTCGGCGCATAGACAAACAACGCCCGATGGGTCATCGCATCCTGCTGAGCGACAAATCGTGTCTGCGCCTCGGCCTTCTCCTTCCAGCCCTCAGGGGCGAAGTAAAACTCCCCACGCATGCCAGCGGTGATCGTGGCTGTCTCGTACCAGATATCCGGAAGGAGGTCGGAGGGGATCAACGCGCGCGCAGAGAAGGAGGCCATGAGGCTGACCGTACGGGAGTAGGTTGGCCGTGGGAGGTCGGTATAGTCTAGCATCAGCTTGTCCAACGTGCGCACTTGGAGCGCGCTCTTGCCGCATTGGAATAACAGCTCTACAGGGGCCATGACAAGCTTGAGGAATGTCACTAGGTCAGAACGTCAGAAGATCTCATGTATTATGATACGAGTGGGAATACCGTCAGAGCTGACAGCCACGTCCAAACTCGGATCAGGCGAGTTAGCCACATCCGAAAACGTATACGATATCGCCTGCATCGACGCGTTCAAACACGAAGCAAAGGAAAGAGGCACACAGCCCCTCAAAGCGCCGATTGACATCTCCCAGAGACAGAGGTAAGTAGCCGTCCGTGGTTGCGGTCCAAAAAGACGGTTGCAAGCGATATTCAGCCCTGTCCCGATCCAGTAAGTAATCATCGTTTGCGCAAAGCCAAAGCAAGTACATACCCTCTAAAACCATACATTCCGACTTGTTAATCTGCGGTCGGTCGGTGAGCCATTCCTCCGGGTTGTCAACCGGCAAGAGCCGGACAGGCGGTACACATATCTGCAGGCCCATATGCGTTTCATGCACATCGATCGACACCTCAAACTCTGGGATATCCAGGGCGACCGCAGCGGTAAACTCGTGCACTTCCTGTGGGAGGAGGACGAGTCCGTCTTGCACGCTTATGCTCACTTCTACGTCGAGGGGATTCGATTTCCCCGGCCGGTACTTTGCTTCTACCGGATCGCCGACACGGCCTTGTACCCTCTTCTGCTGATACTCTTCCAGGGTTGTAAAGTTCGTAAACTGGCCAAAGTAGTTGTCCCTCAAGATCATACAATGCCTGATCACCCAACCGAAACACTTGAACACAGTACGTTCAGCACGTACGTCCAGCCTGAGGCGGTCTACAAACTCCCGGTTCGTGCTCGCGAACCAACAGTACGAGCCGGAGATAGCGAGTGCCGGGCTGGTGCCGAAGTGCGTTGTGCAGGGGGTGGCGAACGCCCCGTGGGTATTCCAGAGCGGGAAGGACATGTGGAAGCTCACGTCGGGGATATCGATCGTGAAGGGCACTTCGGAGCACTGTGGTCGCCAGCGGGTGCTGTCGATCGAGAGGCTGAGCTCTAGCAGAGGGCCGGAGGCGGAGACGAAGACGTTGTCTTCCGCCGACAGGGGCTTGGAGACGACGTTAAAGTCGTTCGCGTACAGGTTGAGGGTGTACTCGCGTAGGCGGAGGGAGAGCTCATACCGCGTCGGGACGAAGACTGCGTACTCGCTAGCAGGGGTAGAGTTCCAGTCCCTGATCAGGTCCTGGATGAGGAACGCATGATCCCGGAGGAAAAAGATCTTCGGATGGGAGAAATCGACCTCGATCATCCATGTGCGAAGGGCCTTCCACGCTAGGGGAGAAGGTATTGTCAGCCCGACGCGGACACGCTGAGACTGCCAGAAGTTGGCATAGTTCACACTGCTCGTGATCCCTACGTCGGACAGATCGACTTCAACAGTCGTGTCGTACCCCTGGGGACCGACGACAGCGGGGAGGATGTACGACACCGAGCCAAGACCGTGGGAAGTGATATTTATCCACCCGTAGGCACGCTCATCCGCGTCCGCCTCGGCAGGGGCGAGACCAACTTTGTCGTATTTCCAGTCCTTGGACGTCTCTCTCGTCGGAAGACGCAACGTCGTCGTCCCTTCCAGCTGTACGAACACGCGCATAGCAGTAGCGAGTCTGGTATCCCCTGGCCTGAGCCTGTGAGTAGGCCGATTATCTGCCCAGAAAGGGGGAATAAACACGCTCTGGAGGAAAGACCGCTGGCGGTCCATCCACGGACCATAGGTAACCGTCGCGTCCCTGAGGGAGATATCGACACCCCACTCAGGGGGCAAGTCGCCGTTCCCGATCTCGTCCATGTCCCGATCGTAAGCCGGTGAAGGCCCGGTATCCCTCATCCTGCGTGAACCGGAGCGCTGGAGCCCAGTGTCGGGCACAGGCCCGGGAACGTCCGCGTACCACCCTATACCCAGTTCTCGGGCTTCGAGGATCCCAGGCACCTTGGCATACTCTTGCTCATGTCGCATCTCTCCCCTTGTGCGCTCTTCTTCCGTTCGGAAACGGTCAAGGCCTTTCCAGACTTGGATAGGTGCTGTAGCCTGCGAAGGCGGAGAAGGGGACTTCCGCTTCCTCTTGAGCAGAGGGGCGAATATATGCTGAAAAGCTGGGGGGAGGAGGGATGAAGGAGTATGCAGCGGACCTGCACCACTACGAGGGGTCAGCAACGCATATATGCAGCGAAAGGGCGCAAGCGTACATCGTCGGGTCCTTCAACGCGTCACTGTACGCGATCAGTCCCTCCTGGCCGATCTCCCCACTCCAGTCCGGGTTCGTCCTGCTCACCAACTTGACGCCTGTCAGGGTCGCGTCCACCACTTGCCGATGAACGTCGAGCCTACTCCTGGCCGGACCGACGCCCCACATCCCTCGCCCGCTCTTGAAGCTCCCTACGAGGAGGTACGGAGTTGCATCGTTCCCGACCGTGATGGCGCCTGTAAGAACGCGGATGTCGATCGGGAGGATGTCGCGTAGCCCGAGAGCGGGGACGAGCTTTGGGATCAAGCGAAGGAGGAAACGGAGGAACATCGTGCTCCTATCAAAGGCGCCTTGGATGACTGTAGGCGCGTGGAGGAGGATCGACGTCGAGTGTGTCGCTGCTGCCGGGGGGACGGAGAGGGATGAGCGCTCTTTATCCCCTGTCTGGATGGGGGAAAGGGGATACTCCCCGCCTAACCGAACCTGTTCCTGTTCCCTTCTAGCAGCCTCAGCGAGCCGCTCAACAATAGCGTCAAACGCTGGTGTCCGGTTGTAGAGGAACCACTCGACGCCTTCCATGTAGACGAATATCCTGCACGGGAGGTTCCTCCCCCCAGAGACGGGTGCAGCGTCGTCCCCCTTCTCACCCTCTCCGTGGAGGACGTCGTCCACTTCATCCCTCGTTCGCCAGATCCAGTATCTCCAAGTCACGTGGCACTTAAGCACCCTGATCGCCTGGTTGCGCGAGTAGTACCGTACGTCCTTTAGGAATAGCCTGCCTGACAAGAGGGACACCTGTACGCTCTCGCACTCGATCCACGTGTTGGCTGACTTCCAGTACCTCCATCGAAGGAGGAGAGAGACAAAGCGTGCTAGAAGACGGTTCCAGTAGAAGAGGAAGAAGAGGACGCAGAGGACGATGACGACTGCTATGACGAGGAGGAGCCAGTTGAGCGGTGTTTGGTCTAGGTCTGAGAGGGTGACTTCTCGTTGTTGGAGGTGGGGGATGGTGAAGAGGGACATCGTTGGCGCCGGCGCCGAGTTAGAGATGCGTCGAGTTAAGTGCAAGGTGTCGAGGTATCGAAGCAGCACTCGGTGCTGCACAGACGACTGTGACAGTCCGAATGCGGAGTGTCGTGTGCCTATGACGGAGGCAGGGTCCTTTAGTGGCGTACATCACGTGTATTAGATCATGTAGGCGCCTACCCTAAAGTGGAATATTTTGCAGACCCTGAAGAGAGCATATTCCACAGACCAAGGGGTCTCAACTTGTCATCAAAACAACCACATGCTGTTAACCCTTCTCAAACCCGTCTTCGTAAGCCACGCGGTCTCTTTCCCAATCCTGCCAAAAAAGTTTGCACGTGCCTTGTTGTAGAAAAAGGACGAATGAGACCTTGTGGATTTGCGCTTCTTCTCATGGCCAATGATATGCGGGCTGATTGTCCATATGGAAGGCGGTAAGGGTGGTCCCTGAACACTGGAAATAGATGTGTGGTGGTGAGGGTGGATGATGGACTTGGCACTGAGTGATTCACCACACGAAGCATCACACTAAGATGCGGAATATCGCTGCACATGGTACTCCAACAAGTGGGTATATCTTTCCCACATTAATGCATTACGCACGTTCGTCATTTCCCTCTTTCTCCCAACTGTTCTCGATGAGGCTGTTGTATTAGGATCAGAAGTGAGTCGAACGCACATGGGCGAGAATTCTGTGACCTGCACAAGGATAGGTTGCGGCATTCCCATCTTTGGTAATGTGAATTCTCAGACTCATCGAGGCACAAGGTGTTCCAATTGCAGGCGACAACAACCGGCTGAGAGGGTGAACACAGGCACCCAATCCCGAACAAGAAGGTCGGACACCTCCAAACGGACACCGAAAAACATACAAGAACAATCCACTCTCCCGCGCTTTCCCCTCCCTTTCTCTCGTCCAACGATCACTCGTCTGTTGGTCACCCTCTCCCCCTCTCACGTGAGATACTCCAATGGCCGCCGTCGTCGTCCTTGCTGCTGCCACCGCCGTCCTCGGCGCAACCGCTCCGGCCTTTGCCCCTCCCGGCGCTGGCCCGCAGTTCCAGACTGCCAACTACACTGGTGGGCAGATATGCGCATATACTTTAGGTTCATCACATAAACAATCTGACGCGTGAGACAGGATTCAGCAACGGCACTCTCCAGAACGGGCCTGTCGTACCCGGTCTTGCCTTCGACAGGTTTATCCAGATCTGGTTCGAGAACACCGATTTCGCCGTCGCCAACTCCTCTGCCGTCTTCCAGCAGCTCGCGACCCAGGGTATCCTCCTGTCCAACTACGTCGCGGTGACCCATCCCTCCGAGCCCAACTACGCCGCCGTCGTCGGGGGTGATTTCTGGGGCATGGGGGACGACAACCTCCATTACATCCCGAACAACATCTCCACTGTTGCCGATCTCCTTGATGCGAAGAACATCTCTTGGGGCGAGTACCAGGAGAACCAGCCGTACGACGGGTTCCCAGGGTACAACTATACCCAGGCGAACTACCTTAACGCTTCTGCTCCCCCGTACACCTACTATGTGCGCAAGCACAACCCTCTAATCCTGTACGACGTTGTTGCGAACGTTCCTTCCCGTGCCTCGAGGATCAGGAACTTCAACGACTTTGCCGTCGAGTGCGTCCTGTCTTCCCTGCTCTGCTCTAATATCTACTGACCCCCAACAGCCTGGGGAACAACACCCTCCCCCAGTGGAGTTTCATCACCCCCAACATGGTGAACGACGCGCACGACACCACCATCGACTTCGCAGCAGACTTCATCACCTACTGGCTCATTCCTCTCATCAGCAACCCCAACTTCAACACCAACCGCACGCTCATCGTCCTCACCTTTGACGAGAACGAGACTTACGGCGATGTGAACAATGTCTGGACCCTCCTGTTCGGCGGTGCCGTGCCCCAGCACCTCTGGGGAACGGTGGACAACACCTTCTACTCGCACTACTCCTGCATCTCCTCCGTTGAGGCGAACTGGGGGCTCGGAAACCTCGGACGTGGCGACGTCAACAAGACCATGTCCAACGTGTTCAACTTTATGATCACCGAGTACAACGTCAGCTACACGAACGAGGACGTGACCAACCCTCCCCTGACGAACCTGACGGGGAACATCCCAGGCCCGCTCAACCCTCAGTACTGGATCCCCTTCACCGCCCCTGTGAACAGCACCGGTGCCGGAGGGGGGCCGACGCTCTTCCTCCCAGGGACGAACATGAACCAGATGGCAGCGAACTCCCCCGCACCAGTGAACCTGACCGCTCTTGGCGAGGCGCTCCCCGGGTCGACACCTGCTACCTCGGCTGCTGCGGGTGGGTCATCCCCCTCCCCTTCGGCAGGCACGTCTGGCGCGGTAGAGCTCAGGATGGGCGCTGTGAGCCTCCTCCTCGCCCTTACCGGCGTGGCGGCTTTCCTCCTTTAAACATCTGTCTTCAATGGGAGTGGGTATGAGAAAAAATGTTGTTGATGGCGTTTAGTTCGGGTAGTACGATGAAAGGGGTTTCATTTGGTCTACAAGATTGGGATATGAACGTACGGCTAAAATGATGACGGAATGAGCATGAGATGATGATGATTGTGTTCCTGTTGGTGTTGGTAGCGAAATACATTATTAGTGTTCATATTCACTTCGGAAAAAGTCGCGGAACAACTCCGCACCCCCGGTTTGACCCTGAATCCCCTAAAGAGCTATAAATGTCCTCATTTTCCCCATAGCCTCTCCAACCAACCCAAGGCAGTCAATTTGTCAACCAAATCAACACCTCCTGCTCATATGCAAGGGATTCCAATCCAGCCCAGTCCAAGCATCTCCAAGTCTCTTGGTCTCTTGGTAGCTTCTCTTGCTAGCCCGTGTCGCGGCTCCGGGCTTGGCTTCGGACTTGTGGTGGGAACGTCGGCATCCCCAAACTTCTGACCGGCGGCAGGCGAACGATGTATCGCATCGAATCTGACAGTCTTTGCCAGAACGTGCATGTTAGGCTCACAGCTCATCTAGCGACCGATAGGCGAAAGGTTAATCCTTTTTCTCTGCCTCGCGTACTTGCCAGCAGAACACGGAATCCCCTCGTCCGACGTCCTAGTGCCTAACCATCAGGTTCTGTAAGTGCCGTGCACCGCTCTCTTCCGCCTGGCCCGCTAGGGGGATTCGTGGCACTCTGCGATTGAACTGCGCGAGAACGTTGGCTCGACGCACGCGGGCAAGGGGGAAGATGCCCATCGCCAGCAGAAGCGGGCGCATGGTGCCTGACCTCGAGAAAATCTATGAGATCGTGCTCTGAGCTTGGGGGGGGTTCTCAACCTGATTTTGTTCGTTCTTGCCCTTCTTTGTGAACGTTGGAAAGAGTTATGGTCGCCCTGCTTGCGCTTGCTGCTGCTATCCCTGCCGTGCTCGGCGCTACGGCGCCTGCGTTCGTCCCGGCCGGCACTGGGCCGACAGTACAGTCGGCGAACTACACCGGTGAGGGCGTCTCCACTTCACACAGAGAGAATCGCTGATCAAGCCGCACAGGGATGAGCAACGGTACCCTGCAGAACGGCCCTATAGTCCCTGGTCTCGCTTTCGACCGGTTCATCCAGATCTGGTTCGAGAACACCGATTTCGCCGTTGCCAACGGGACCGCCACGTTCCAGCAGCTGGCGGCGCAGGGTATCCTCCTCGACAACTTTGTCGCTGTGACCCACCCATCTGAGCCCAACTATGCCGCTATCGTCGGCGGTGACTTCTGGGGGATGTCGGACGACAACCTTCATGTTATGCCGAGCAACATCTCTACCATCGTCGACCTCCTCGAGGCGAAGAACATCTCCTGGGCGTCGTACCAGGAGAACATGCCGGCTGATGGGTATCTGGCTTACAACTACACCCAGCCGGACTATCGGAATGCCTCTGCTCCTCCGTACACCTTCTACGTGCGCAAGCACAACCCGCTCGTGCTATACGACTCTATCGCCAGTGTCCCGAGCCGCAATATGCGCAACAGGAACTTTAACGACTTTGCTGTCGAGTACGTCTCTCCTCTCCCTGCGCTGAAATTCCCTAACCACTCCCTCCTAGCGTGTCGAACAATACGCTGCCCCAGTGGATTTTCATCACCCCCAACCTGGTGGACGACGCGCACGACACGACGATCGACTATACCGCGTCCTTCATCCAGTACTGGGTGATACCCCTGCTCACCAACCCCAACTTCAACACCGAGCGCACGCTCATCCTCATCACCTTCGACGAGAACGACACGTACACGACGAAGAACCAGATCTGGTCTCTCCTGCTGGGAGGCGCCGTACCTGCCTCATTGTACGGTACGACGGACTCGACGTTCTACTCGCACTATTCTTGCCTGTCCTCTGTTGAGGCTAACTGGGGCTTGGGCTCTCTCGGCAGGGGCGACACGAACAAGACGATGAGCAACGTGTTCGAGTTCCTGCTCACGGAATACCACCTCAACTACACGAATACGAACGTGACCAACCCCCCTCTGACCAACATCACAGGCACCATCCCAGGCCCGCTCAACCCGGACTACTGGGTCACCTGGACAGCTCCGGATATGAGCGCCGTCGGTGCTGGCGGAGGACAGGTGTTCGTCAGCTCTGGTACCAACACCAGCCTTACGGCGGCAGCAGCGGGTGCACCGGTGAACCTTACCGCTCTGGCCTCGAGTAACTCCACAGGCTCGGGCAGTACGTCAGACGCGATGAGCTTGCGCGTCGCTGGCTCGGCAGTGCTTGCCGCTGCGGCGGGGGCGTTGTTCCTTTTCTAGACTGGCGATGGACTTGCGCGCAGTGGGGATCATGATCCGCTTTTCCGTACAGCGTGTTTTGTAGCAAAATGTTAATCGGATGTTCACTTGTCATTGATATATTTAGTATCCTGTTCAAGTTTGGCCGTTCTGGATCTGCCACTAGGATGGTCTGATACTGCCACCGCCTGTCGGATGGAGAGATCTTCAAGCCCTTGATGACTCGAGCGGTTCCGTTCCGGGATCCCGGAGCACATGGACAAACCACGCTGGCCAAAGCCTCGCGGGACAATTCCGCACCAACCGCATGGTGCTGCCTTCGTCCACGCGAACAAACTGTAAAATATCCTTTGCAGGGTATGTATTATGCGCACAAAGATAGCGACCACACGCAGGCTCCAAAATCCCCAGGGCTAACACGGCTCCAAAAACAGGAACTCACCCAGCCCACTTCCCCAAATCCTAGAGAGCAGCCGCATGGACCCTCAACCTCCCCCCCACCTTCGGGGTAAACACGAACCCCGCCATCTCCTCCCCATACGTCCTCAACGTTCTCCTAACTCCTTCGCCCGTACCCGTCAAGCTCTCCACAACAAGCTCAATCCCCCTCCTCTCCGCAGAGTCGTAGCCAACCCACTGCCATACCGCCTGCGCGGCCTGCTTTGGCGCTGTGAGGATTGTCAGTGGTTCGGGGAGGGAGGGGGGAGGAAGCCGTTGATCTAGCTCTTGAAGGAGCACCTGGAGCTCGGATTCGTATGATGTTAGAGCTTCGAGTAGGCTGGGGGTGGTGCGTGTTGAGAGCCCGTATTTGTCTGCTGTGGGCGAGTGGGAGATGAGTGATGTTAGGGCTGTTTAGGGGTTAGACATTGGGTGAAGGACGAGCAGAGGGGAGAAGCAGAAGTGACCAGCTGAGAATGGGGATGATAGCTCGTGGCTAATGGACGTAGCTCATAGCCGTAGCTCGTAGCTGGTGACTCGCCGATAGCACAGAGAGGAATAACACAACAAGAACAAAACCTACATTCCACAACCCACATATCCATCTCCCGTCTGGGCAAAACGTCATCCACGCCCCACGTCCCTCCCTCCTTCCCACTCCCCTTCCCTGCCCCCAAACCCTCAACCCCCAAGACGCCACCCACCGCGCCCCCTACCTCAGTGAGCAATTTGCACCCTCCCTCCAAGCGCTCATCCACAGCTCGCAGTTTCTCGCCCCCGACACTCCGGGCCTGGCTGAGTATGGCGTTCGTCGCTTGGTCTACTAATGCCGGGGGAGGCCGGGCGAGGGAGGCAAGCAGCGCCGAAGCGGCTGACGGGGGTGGGGCGGGCTGCAGCGCCTGGGCGCTGGGGAGATGAGCGGGATGCTGCGAGAGTTGTTTAGGAGGCTGTTGGGGGGCTGAGGGGAGTTGAAGGGAGTCAGAATTTGATTTGGGGGAAAAGGACTTGGGCTTGCCTGGGACTGCCACTGGCTTCCCCCGCCGTTTAAGGAGCGAATAATCCTCCCCTAACAATAAGAGCCCTTCTCTTGCCAGAGCGGCCCACAGCCCCTTGCCCCTCCCCTGCCCACCCGTTCCGGGCAGGGAATAATCCGCCATATCAGCAAACACCTTCTTCGCTGTCTCTTCCTGCTTTGCCAGTCTAGAAAGCTCCATCCACGCCTGGGCCTTGAAGTACGTATTCTGGGAGCGGAGGCCTGAGAGGAGAGAAGCGTGCAACGGCTGACGTGGGCGAAGGGGGCGGGAGGTGTAAACTGAGAAGAAGGTGTTGGAGAGTTCCCAGAGGAGGGTGAGGAGGGAGGCGGCGAGTTGGAGTTTGAGGAGGAAGGAGAGGGTGAGAGGGGTGTGCCGGAGGGCGTAGTCTGCTGAGCGGGAGAGGAGAGGGAGGGGGAGAAGAAGAAGCAGGAGGGAGATGCCGAGAGGGCGGAGGAGGACGGAGAGCATGAGGAGGAGGAGGATCGTGCTGATGGACAGGCGCAGTCCGGGCTGTAGGGTATGGTGCAGGTCTTGGAGTATGCTGCTCGGGATGGGAAGCAATTGCTGCATATGGTTAGGGTAGATTTTGACAATGTGGAAGAGTACTGGGGCTCACCTCGGCTTGTGTGGGCCAGCTGACAGTCGTCCGGCACGTAAGTACCTGCATCGTGCCATACACCAATGCAAAGCCCGCCATGCAAACAACGAACAACACCGGTCGTTCATTAAGGATCGCCAAGCCTGTTTGTTTCCTACTCTCTTCAGCTCGCACCTCCAGCAAAAAGCAGAGAAACGTACGAATAGAGGAACAGCTTGGAGTCTGGGTCGCTCAGCCGAGGGAGCCTGGTGAGTCGGAGGAAGAGCAGGGAGAAGAGCAGAGCTGAGAGGGTGTATGTCAGGAGTTGGACGCGGTTAGAGGGAGAGGCGAGCAGCGCTCGTAGATTAGATGGCGGGTGGTGAGTTGCTGACAAGCATGGTTATTAGCTGCTCTGATCATAGGAAGGGGTGCATACTGGTTAAGAGAGTCTTGCGTGCCACCAGCAACGGTACGACAACAACGGCATACACGCTCAACCCGTATGCCCACACCCAAATACTAAGCAACGGCCATAATGCTGGCCGTAAGCGAAGGAAGGAGAGTGCGACTGTTGTAATGAGCGTGGAGAGGACGCTAAGGATGGCGAGGAGGACGTGCATCCTTATTGTCTTTTTGGTGAGAAGGGCCTGGGAGACGATCAGCCTACTCGTAGGGTGTATGCTTTAGAGAGGAGTACCTTGCATGATGCGTCGTACGACTGGACAGCCGTGCTCGTCGTGCTTTGAGCGCTGCTCATCGTTCGTCGTTCGTCGTCGTTGAGAGTGAGATGTATGCGCTCACCGCCGTTCAACGTCAAGTTCGCGTCGGTGGCGAACGCGTGAGTGGCGAACACGAGTCAAAGTTGTCGGCGATACGCCTCGGCCTTAGTTTAGGACCCCGAGTAAAGGTCTGTTGAAGGACCCCAAAGTCCATAGCTGGTCTCGCTCTCAGGGCGTTTTATGAGACCCGCCCGACCCTGAGTTATGTCATAAACATCCCCGAAAATTCGGAAGTTGGTGCACACGTTCTGATGTATTGCACATGCTTCAGTCTTCACTCTCCACCCAAGAGGAAAGGAAGAGAACAGGAATAGACGCATAGAGTCATGCGCACGCTCAACGTGTGGTATGTGCCAAGAGAATATAAAATTGCAAGTGGGTGATTGGGTTGTTCTGATCTAGCCTGAGTGAATTGAGAGGGAAGAGAGGGAAGAGAAGGAGAAAGAACATTCCCTTGTTTAGAAGGTAGGACTAATTGATATCAAACATATGACTGCTGACAATGAAACGGGACTAGAGTGTTCTCAGAGCGAATCCCACTTACCATGAAAGGAAGAATATGAAAAGGCACACGCTGATCTCCATACGACTCTCTGAGCGAGAATGGCTATAAACTTCCCTCTTATCGGTATCTGATAATGTCAACTTCTTGCATCTTCCCCTCCTGCTCCTGAGTGCCTTAAGAGCATCTCCCCGCTCAGTGCTCATCGAGTCATCTGCTCCTCGAGCTACCTGGTCTATTCTCAGTTGCGAGCACAATGACCGCAGATTCACTCAAACGTCGTTCTCCTCTCCTTCGTTGGGGGGTAATCGCCCTAGTAGCGATCATAATCCTCGCACTCGCACTCGGGATTGGCCTCGGTCTGGGACTCAAGCACTCTTCTTCTTCTACCTCCGCGGGGAGCAGCAGCAGCGACGACGGCAGTAATGGCAGCACTGGAGGGAACGGACTCAACGCCACTGCCCCTCCCTTGTCCAACTTTGCGCTCAAGGATATAAGGAATGACTCGCCTCAGGTTAGGGAGTACACACTCGTTGTCCAGGAGGCGACCGGCTCACCGGATAGCGTCTTCCGCCCAGGGATGTTGGTTGTCAACGGTGCGTCTTGTCTCCTGCTTTCAGTTGCCCTCGCAGCTCTAGAACGTCTGATGGATCTTCCTCGTAGGCACGTACCCCGGCCCCACCTTGGTAGCAAACCAAAACGACAGGATGATCATTCACGTCATCAACCAGCTTCCAAACAGCACCGCCATCCACTGGCACGGTCTGTACCAGAACTGTAAGCCTTCCCCGCCTTCCCCTCGCACATTCACTCACCCAGCTCAGCGACGCCTTTCTACGACGGGACGAACGGGATCTCCCAGTGCGGTATCCCCCCTTCCCAGTCGTACACGTACAACTACACCTTTGGCGACTTCTCTGGCTCCACGTGGTATCACGCGCACTACAGTACGCAGTACACGGACGGAGTTGTTGGCGCCTTGATCGTCAACCCGAGCAATGCGAGCACAGACGCTGACGGGCGACCTGTCCCCCCCACACCAGCCCCGACCGTCCCGGTACCAGCGTACGACCAGGACATAGTCGTCGTCATGCAAGACTGGTACCACACGCCGTCTCCTATCGTGCTCGCGCTCTTCCTTGGTCCGGACGGGATCGACGGCACGCAGGGGGACGAGCCCACCCCTGAGTCGGGGACGATGAACGGCTTGGGACAGTTTGACGGCAATGGGGAGTACTTCAACTTCTCCCTCGAAGCGAACATGACCTACCGGTTCCGGCTTGTCAATACTGGTTCACTGGCCAATATCAGGTTCTCGATCGATGATCACCCCTTGCTGCTCGTCTCCGCCGACGGGGTAGACGTCGTACCCCAGTGGGTGTCGGGTGTCGAGCTGGCCGTGGCACAGCGGTACGATGTGCTGGTTCGAACGAACGAGACGAGCGGCGGGCAGTGGTGGGTCAGGGGAACGATACTGGACGACATGTTCGCGTATTCCATCCCGGATCAGGAGCTCGACCAGCGGGGGATCCTCTCCTACCCCGTTCCCTTCCCTAACACTACCCCTCTCGACCCTGCGTCCGCCGACCCTGGGCCTGGAGCGAACATCTCCGATCTGGATACGTCGACACTCGTCCCTTCCCTGCCTATCGACGCTCCTGAACCGACGCACAGGTACCCAGTGACGATCTCCTTCCAGGAAACGCAGGACGACGAGTACCTGGCATTCCTGAACAACACCTCCTGGTACCCGCTCGACAAGGAGTGCACGATGTCCCTCCTCCAACAACCTTCTTTCCTCAGCTCGCTGACTTCCTCCGACGGGCCATCGGTGTACGGAGACTCCCAGCTCCTCCTAACACACAACGGGATCGAAGTTGTCGATCTCCTCCTGGACAACCTGGACGAAGGTGACCACCCGTTCCACATGCACGGCCATCGGCCCTGGGTGATGGGCTCCGGAGCGGGGCGGTATCAAGGACAATCCTTCAACCTGACGAACCCGATGCGGAGGGACACGCACCTCATCCCAGCCTACTCGTGGGTCGCCCTCCGGTTCATCACCGACAACCCCGGCATGTGGGCATTCCACTGCCACATCGCGTGGCATATGAGCTCGGGGCTGTTGATGCAGATCAATAACCGCCCGCAGGTGGCAGCGAGCTATGGACTGCCGGACGTGTTGCTGCAGCATTGTGCGGTTGATAAGGGGAGTGAGGCGAAGCGGTCTGTGGGGCTTAACGTGCGTTTGGGAGGGTTCTGAGCAGCTGGGGCGGGGCGAGAGAGTGGGTTTGGAGGCGGAAGTTGGGAGTTGCAGGTCGGGGTTGGGGTTGGAGTTGGTGCAGCAGGTATGACCCTTCATTATTACTCCTCGGTGTACTGTGGCTAGAATATTCAACGCGGATAATGAGGGAATCCAACTCGAATGAAAGAATCCCTATTTGCACTTCTATCCGCCGGCGCATCAGGGTCACCGAGGGTCTTTCTGCCAGCTCCTGGTCCGTCTTCCGCTCCTCTCTGGCAATTTCTGCTCTGCCGATACCCTCGGATCTCTCTTGTTGTCGCTTGCTACATGTGTGCAGAGGGGCACGTTCCCTCAGCAGGTAGAGTATCTGCTGGCCGAAGCCATATGCACGCAAGCTAACAGCGCGTCATGGCGCCGTTCAAAAACCCAAGTCGAGGCGTGTGCTTAGATGCGGTGCCTGAGTTCTCGAGAACGATACTCCCCTCCTGAGGCGATATAGACATCCTGCTGTTTGGCACGAACTTGCGCTGTTATCTCCCTGCTCTCTGCCCTGCCCTCATCGACTCTGAATCTGCAACCAATGGCAGATACTGCGAACGTCGAGAAAGACTCGATCGAGGTGTTGCCCAAGGGGCCCACGGGCGCCCCTAGGCGAAGGTACAGAGTGTACTTCCTCGGCGGAGCGCTACTCGTCGTCATCGTCCTCGGTCTCGCTCTCGGGCTTGGGCTGGGACTCGGGCTGAAAAACCGGAACTTCAATTCTGGGTTCGCCTCCGGGTCGGGGAACAGTACCGTCACGTACAACGTCACCGTCCCTACGGCAGACAACTTCCTCCTCCCCGATATAAGGAACGACCCGCCCCAAGTCCGCTACTTCTCCCTCGTCGTCTCCGAGTCCTATGGTGCGCCGGACACGTTCGCCCGGCCCATGCTAGTCGTCAATGGCACCTATCCTGGCCCCACCCTCCTAGCGAACCAGAACGACAGGCTCATCATCACGGTCTACAACCAGCTTCCCAACGTCAGCACGGCCATCCACTGGCACGGCCTGTACCAGAACACCACGCCCTTCTACGATGGCACGCATGGGATTTCCCAGTGCGGGATCCCGCCTGGCCAGAGCTTGGTGTACAACTTCACGTTGAATGGGTGGACGGGGACGACATGGTATCACTCGCATTACCAGACGCAGTATACGGACGGCGTCCTGGGCGCGATCGTGATCAACCCTAGTAACGCGACGGTTGATGCGGATGGGCGGCCTGGTGCGTGCCGACGTGCTTCATCCAGACGACAACTAATGCATGCGGCGGTTCAGCGAACAACCCGCCTCAGCCTGCCAATCCGGTGCAATGGGATGCCGACTTTGTTGTCGTACGCCCTGCACCTCCGTCCGTTAGCGCTCAACCTGACCCTGCACCTAGATAATTCAAGACTGGTACCACACGCCCTCACAGGCAGTACTCGCGCTCTACCTCGGCCCAAATGGGCCAGACGGCACCGCTGGGGACGAACCTACGCCCGAATCCGGAACGATCAACGGCCAAGGCCAGTGGTACGGTGGTCCGTATGCCAACTTCGCGCTCCAAGCCGGGAAGACGTACAGGTTCAGACTGATCAATTCCGGGAGTCTGGCAAATGTGAGGTTCTCGATTGACGACCATCCACTGACGATCGTTTCTGCTGATGGGGTGGATACGGAGCCGTTGGAGGTTGCTGGGGTGCAGATTGCTGTCGCGCAGCGGTGGGTTGCTCTCTTCCCCCGCCGCTGATTCAGAACCGCGCTCATACGATTGCACTGGTAAGATACGATGTGTTGGTGCATACGAACCAGACTACAGGCGGCCAATGGTGGATGCGAGGCACCGTCCTAACAGACATGTTCACCTATTCCGTTAACGATGCGCAATACGACCACCGAGCCATCCTTTCCTACCCGGTCGCCGACCCCTCCTCATCCCCGCAGCCAGGCTCCGCAGACCCGGGGCCGGGTGTGGCAGGCTTGCAGGACCTCAGCACCACGGACTGGTTTTCGCTCGTTCCTGCTGTGCGACAGACGATCCCGGAGCCAGACTTCCAGTACCCCCTCGAGATAAGTTTCTCGGTATATGAGGATACGAACTATTACGGGTATATGAACTCCACTGTGCGTCCTACCTTTCCTCCTGCGAGCCTGCGTTGATGTCCGCTAGTCCTGGGTGCCCCTGGAAGGGGAGTCCACCCTGACGCTCCTGTCGACATCACGCTTCATCTCCGCTCTCGTGAACGGGCCCTCGATTCCTCAGGGCCAGCTCATCGTCACGACCACTTCCGTACAGACTGTCGACTTGCTCATAACGAACCTGGACGACGGCGACCACCCGTTCCACTTGCATGGGCACAGGCCTTGGCTCCTCGCTGCCGGAGACGGGCGGTATGCTGGCCAAGCGCTGAATACGACTGACACGGTGTTGATGCGGGATACACACGTGATCGCGCACTTTGGATATGCGGTGCTCAGGTTCGTGACGGACAATCCTGGGATGTGGGCATTCCATTGTCGTGCGTACCTCGCGTCACATGGGCTATATTGAGGCGCTGACGGTTGGTGGTGGTAGACATCGCCTGGCATATGGGCGCGGGACTGCTGATGCAGATCGCCTCCCAGCCACAGGTGGCCCTGTCGTATGGCATGCCGCAGGAGATCCTGGCCCAGTGTGCGGGATAAACGGGAATGCTTAGGTGTGAGGGACCTGTCAGGAATGCGGTGGAGGTGGGATATAGGGGTTCTGTATGTTAGTTGAAAATGTTCTGTATCGGATAGGAGGTAGAGCTTGTAGATGGTTCGGTATTGTTCGATGACTCATGACTCTCGATCATTACAGCTTAGTTGTGCAGTATAAGCGCTCGGCTTACATTATCGTCTCTGTTTAGCGCCGGTTCCAACCAACCCCGTTGGGGCAAACGTTACGCACGTGCCTGAACATAGAGGTGCATCCTCCGAACCCTTTTACCGTTATCGGCCTGTGCGTGCCCCTGACCGTGGCCCTGTCCCTATTCTTACCCTGTATTCGGATTGCTTCCGTCATTGGGGGATATTACGCACACGCCTAAGTTTTCGAAGAGGAGAGCAGCAAGACGGACGTGACTTGCTTTTTGACAGCCAGCAGGGGCGTGTTAGACCATCCCACTCTCCTTTTCTTACTTTTACTCTATTTGGGGTTACTTGAGGAGGGCCTACGTACCCCTTTTCTAGAGGAGGTCTCTCGTTCCTGTACTGTGCTATTGACTGGTCAGAAGCGTACAGTGCTGTGACAGAGGAACTCGTCCTCGAACGACGACAAGCACACACCAAACACACAACCTACAGAATCACATCATGGAATCCCCCATCCTTGCCGCAATCCAGGCGCGCGTCTGGCCTGTAATACCCTCTCACCTCGTCAGCACCTTCTGGGCAACATTCGTCGCCACACCAATAGTCTACCTCATCCTCGCCCAGCGCTACCGCACAGGACGCCAACGCGCCTGGATTGCTACGGGTGCTGCGAGCGGATGTATGACAATCACCGCCGTGCCCTTCTTTTGGGACTGGCTGAGTAATGGGTGTAGCTTGACGGCGGTGGACCCGAGGTGGTGGTTGAGTGAACGGGTGTGTGCAGGGTTTATGGGGTACCTCGTTTCGTACGTTTCTAACGAAGGAGCCTGACCCTAATACTGACTCATCGTCACAGGGACCTCATAACCGGGTCGATTTTCTACTCCGCGCACATCTCTCTCGTCATGGGTTGGATCCACCACATCATCTACTTCATCCTACTCTCATACGTTATCGCCCAGCGCTGGAGCTTCATTTTCTGCCTCGGAGCAATGATGGAGCTTCCGACCAACCTACTAGCACTCGCCACCCTTGAGCCTGCGCTGCGGAACGATTACTTCTTCGCAGCAAGCTTCTTCACTCTCCGAATCGCCTACCACATCCTGCTTATCGTGCAGTTCGCCCTCCCCTCTACACGGGTCGAGTTCCTCGGTAACAAACCCGGTATGGGCCAGTGGGGCCCCCTCCTCTTCTTCTGCCTCGCCCTGCCAATGCACGTAATCTGGTTCTACGGCTGTGTGAAAGGCATCATCCGGCGGTCCAAGCAAAAGAAAGAAGCAGCACTCAAAGCTACCTCCGAAGCGGCAGAAACTATCAAAGGCACACAGACACCCGGTGCGGAGAAGCTCTTGGACTTCCCTCCTGCAGCAGCTCGCGCTGTGGGTCTCCCAACGCCAAGCTTAACACCCTACGCCTCGCCCCTCCTGCGTCCTCTCCCCGTCCCCATCTCAGCAGAAGGCGGCAAACAGCTCACTCCGCCCGAAACTCCTACTACAGACGGGGGCCTCAACAAGACACCCAGTGAGCTCGTCCTGCCCAACCTGTATGTCCCGAAGGAAGAGGTCCGTCGGCGACTGGGCAAGGAGCTGCGCGAGGCGGCGGAGGATACGGTTTTGCGCGCAACGGGGTATGCGAATGGGGCTGTGAATGGGAACGGCACTGTTGGGAATGGCAATGGGGTGAAGCAGGGTGGGGAAGAGGCTAAGGTGGAAGATACGGAAGGAGTGGAGGAGAGCGAGAGGAGGAGGAGTGAGATCGAAGTTTACTGAGCCTTTCCTTGCCGCTAACACGTTGGAGGTGCCAATGTTTCTTCCTGTTTGTCGCCCGTCTGTAAATTACCCCACCGCTGCATCTGCCCCCTATTCATGCATGCTCATCCGAATTCCTTCCTTATTCCCATGGCTGGCATATACTTCTTGTCTTACTCTGCTCCTACTTCGGTAGCTTGTGCGTCTGTTAGGTTAGGATACAGTCTAAAGTTCGCACATCATGCTACACACGTGACTGGTACGCGCATATCAGGGATGTTTACGTAACACACTCCTCTCTCAAACCGTCATGTCCTCGTCTGTCCACAGACAGGCAGTCACCTTGCCATTCGACATCTCAAGAGAAATCGTCTCCCTCATCACAGATCAGCGTGATCTTTCTCAACTATGCCTGATCAGTTCAGTGATGGGCGAACTTGCCTCCAAGCAGCTGTACAATTCGATCTCACTCTACGGCCTCCCGACCCTCGTCAAGCTTCATCGTACGCTCTCTAGGAACGCGTTTCTAGCATCTCAAGTCAGCACCCTCGAAATTAACCTGGATTTTTACGCACTTAATGTGCGCAATCGTCTGCTTGAAGACCAGGACGGTTCGTGGTGCGCTGACAAAATAATTCGAGGGTCTGCTTTTCTCCGCCTGGCCTTCCGCATACTGGCGAGTCTCGTCAAGCTAAGAAATCTCGCGATTCGCTGGAATTTAGGCATGCCTGGAATATTGATATCAGCCTCTGCTGGCTTCTTCCGCCTGCCACCTGGGCTAATCAGCGTCGAGTCGGATACCGAGGATAGCTGGCCGGTCTACGATTTCGTCCGCTCTCAACCGCACTTAAAATATCTTGTTATTTACATCGATCGCGAGGGCGAGGGTGATGTCCCTTCCGAGATGGTTGACGTTCTCACCGGTGGTCCTCCTCATGGACTACGTTCCCTTGTCTCCAATACCCACACCGTGGCCGCCTTAGTCCCAGGCCGCCCGGTCGAAGAGTTCCGCCTTACCGAACTCATCTCGCTGAAACAACTCGATAGGTTATTGGATCATCTGAAATTGTCGTCGGGACCACTCCGTGTCGTGGAGCTGATACTAGAAGGCGCCGATCATGAGACTTTTTCGAAGATCTGCGTTGCAGTGCCCCAGGTAATTGAGCTAGGAGTCGTCGCCTATTACTCCCAAGTGCGTCCTGTCCTTTTCACCTGTCCGTTTTGCTAATATCAGCTCAGTTTCATCATTTTACCTCTTCGCAAGCGATGCACGCGGTCGAAGGCCTTCGGCAACTTCAGAATCTCGTAATCAGTATACCTAGTAAGCTGTTGGAAGTTGGGCCAATCCAGATTGCCAATGTTGGCAAAAACCTGTGCTGTGTATGTCCCAGTTTGCAAAGGATCGAGTTCTCGTGGATCGACAGCTGCCGATCGATTTTCGATGTGACACTGCCCAATAAACGTTTCTTGTGGCTTGGACCAGATGGAGAGTACACGGACATGAGCGCATTAATGTACGATACGGGAATGTCGCCTGTAACTTGATGTAGAGATACACCGATTCTATATCGGACCGTTCAAACTGGTTTCGTAACACATCGCGTTGTATGCCAGCGTTTGACCCCAAATGCACCCTTACTAGTACGACACCATCATGTCACCCTGCCAGTCACCCTGCAAATTGCCGTTCGACGTATTGGAACAAATTATCCCTCTCGTTACAGATCCGCATACACTTATCCAACTATGTCTGGTCAGTCCGATGATGGGCGAACTCGCGGCGAAACAACTCTACAAATCGATCTTGCTCGACAACGTCCTCACCATCATCAAGCTTCATCGTACGCTAGCTGGCAACACATTTCTATCATCTCAAGTCAGCTCTCTCACCCTGGACATCCGTGTAACATTCGAAGAGAATAGGCGCGCCCCAAGACAAGTTATGGAGCGAGCTGGCGGGCAACTCACGCAACGAGACATATGCGGAAAGTGGGTCATGCAGGCGCCTGCCTATCTGCGCCTGCTCTTCCGCACCATAGGACAGATGAGAAATCTAAGGAAGATTGCGACAATCGAGTTCATTGGCTTCGCCGAGGTCTCAACAGCATTCTTCGCTTGCTTGTGTCACCTGCGACCAGGTCTATTCAGCCTCAAGTTCGACAGCATTCTCCCATGCGAAATTAACCTGAATGATCTCCTCAGTTCTCAACCAAGGCTGGAAGAACTCGAGTTCATAATCTACCATGACAGGATACATGACTCTCGTTACTTGGGACAGATCACGGCCAATTCTGCCCCCGGTTTACGGCGTATAGCGTGCGAAAGCTACCTCGTAAGCTCCATCGTCCCAGGGCGACCGATAGAGGAGTTCGGCCGTTTTTGACCCACTACACGGTAACCGCAACACGATGGTCCCAGATTACGGTCTCGATCGGTTCTTACATCATCTGAAAAAATCGACTGGACCCCTCCGGTCCCTACACTTCTTTCTCGACCACCCAGATCTTACGACATTCATCAGAATCAGCGCGGCATGCCCACACTTGATGGATCTCAGCATCACCACTCTTACCTCCCAGGTATGTGGTCTGTTTTATACCTTTTGGCCATGTTCCATTTAATCATGATGGTAGCTTGATCTTTTGACTTATCCACTGACACTCGATGCGCTGCAAACCCTTCGGCAGCTTCGTAAACTGGCGATGCACTCGAATGGTTACCACGTCGAGGTCGAACCGGCCCAAATTTCCAGCATTGTTAATGTCTTGCGTGGTGTCCGTCCGACTCTGCAATATATTCAACTCTCATGCGATGAGTGGGTCTACTGGTTTTTTGAGTGGACGCCGCCAAAAAAACCTATGCTGTGGTTTCGACCGAGACCCCACGGATCCCGGACCGATATGAGCGCACTGTTGTAGGACGTGGGGATGGATGTCGATTATGGGCAGATATGTACTGACCGAGATCAATTTACCATCCCTAGGTGTTAGTCACATGACCTCCGGCTCCGTCATTACCCGAAGAATGTATGGAATTCTGGGCAAAACCCTTCCATGATACAAACCCAGTTTCTCCTTTAAATTGTTGTCTCTCCACTACCCCACCTTGGACTTATCCGAGTTGAGGAGCCCCGCTTTTGTCATACGTCAACCGGGGAAATCCCACGCTGTTCTCTCTCTCGCTTCTTTCTCCCCCTGTCGGACGCGTGCAAGTTCCGACCGAAGCAATTGTCATTTAGGCATCCCGAACAGCCGACTCTTGGAACTCACATGCCCATATTCACTTCGGTCCTCTTCCGGAGAACCACTACCCAGAGCTTGGCTTCGATCATTCAGCACGACTCAATAGGAAAAGACTCACACCTTCTTCGGGCTTATGAATGCGCGGTTACGCGGGCCGGATCATGATGATGGAAGTCTTCTTTGCCCCGCACGGCTTCCCCGCGGGGCATGACCGCGTTCCCCCTTTTCAAGCAGCTTGTTCCTGAACGCCCCAGAAGACTGCTTCTTGTTGTCTTTACTACTGCTGCTACTGAACATACGCCATGGCTGAACAGCAATCTACGGAATACTCTGCAGCCGACGAAAAGGCGGACATGGCTCACAATGAGGACGCCCAAGCACACATCGATGCGGAAAAGCTCAAGCATGCCGATCTAGCCGCTCGCATTCTCGGCGACAAGCAAGTTGTCGTGACACCAGAGGATGTGAGGCATCGTCTCACGTTAGCATCTTCCTGGCTGATGAATACGCAATCAGAACAAGCGAATCCTGCAGAAAACAGACTCCATTATCCTTGTCATTCTATGCTGGGTGTATTTCCTCCAGATTCTCGACAAGTCCGTCCTAGGCTACAGCGCCGTGTTCGGCCTGCAAACTGACACGGTGAGCCGTGCTCGAATATCCTCCTTCACCATTCATGTAATCTGATGTTTGCTTTCATAGCATCTGGTGGGCTCCCAATACTCAGTGAGTCATGCATCGCAACAAGATGTCTGCTTGCTGACGTTGGTATTTAGCTTATCGGCAGTGTTGGCTACTTCGGACAAATTGGTATCCTCCCATTCATGACCTACATCATGGTCCGCGTTCCACCACGGATACTCATGCCAATCCTCGTATTCTGCTGGGGTGCAAGCTTGACCGGCATGGCGGGCGCAAAGGATTACGGCGGCCTCATCGCGGCTCGATTCCTGCTTGGCTTGTTCGAGGCAGGGTGCTTGCCCTTGTTCACGCTGATAACCATGAGCTGGTATCGCCGTGCTGAACAGCCCATGCGCGTTGCCGCATTCTACGGGACTAACGGCTTCTCGTGGGTCATCCTGTTCTATGTCTAGCAGGACGACGCTGACAAGTTAACAAAGGACCATAATCGGCTCTGCCCTGGCATTTGGTCTAGGACACATCCAGAGTTCTGTGCTCCATTCTTATCAGATCATCTTCCTTTTCTTTGGTCTCATCACTGTCATCAGCGCGTTCCCGATTCTCTGGAAGCTAGACAACAGCATTGGTGAAGCACGTTTCCTCTCGGAAGAAGACCGTCTCAAGGGCATTGAGAGACTCCGTGCCAACCAGCAAGGAACTGGAACCACAGAGTTCAAGTGGCACCAGGCGCTGGAATGCCTGCTCGAACCGAAGACCTATCTCTTCTTCATCATGACCTTCCTGCTCAATGTCGCTGCTTCGGTGGCAAATACCTTCGGTCCACTCATCGTCGCTGGGTGCGCATTCGTGTTTTTCCCGATCTACACCCATTGATATCGACCGCTTATGGCAGACTCGGCTTCGATCCTTATACAAGCAGTTTGTTGAACATGCCGTTCGGCGCTGTGCAGCTTATCACAATCTTCGTGTCCTCCTGGGCTGCGTATAACTTCAAGAACAAGGGATACATATTGATTATCATTTGCCTTCCTGTGATCCTAGGCACAGGCTTGCTCTGTAAGCCCGTATTTGTGTATGAACAGGCCCCGCTGACTAGTTTCTCCAGATGGTCTTGGGCGCACTTCGAATCTTAACGGAGCGCTTTTGTTCGCTTACTACATCATTGGCTTCACCTTTGGTGGCAATCCCCTCATCGTTGCGTGGATCGCAGCCAACACAGCCGGTCACACCAAGAAGTCCACCGTCATGACCTGCTGTGTGTATCTCTTATTCTCGACTCCCGTGTCTGCTATTGACTGCGTATATTCCTAGACCAAATCGCATCCTCTGTCGGCAATGTTGTCGGCCCGCTCATGTTTAATAGCGCCGACAAGCCATACTACAAGAATGGGTTGAAAGGGACCATGTCTTGCTTCTGCATTCTTTTCGTTGTCTACATGTGCGTTCCTGGCTTGATTCACACATCTCGCATCTCTGACGTATTACTCCAGTCTGCAGATACTCAACCTGATGTATCTGAATAAGCAGAAGGAAAAGCAGCGTGTGGCGAATGGAAAGCCTGCCAAGCTCAGGGACTTGAGCATGATGAAGCATTTCGAGCAGGCCAACGATCACACTCTTGCGTCGGCAGAGGCGGGCCACCATGCGCATCTTGGCGACCAGGCTTTCCTGGACATGACGGATCGTGAGCACTTCCAACCTTTGTCTTGGATGAGAACTGATTTGGGTGCAGAGGAGAACGACGAGTTTGTCTACGTCCTGTGATAAAAGGAAAGGATGGTCTGGAGTTAATGTGTAATAAGCCGCTTGTATTTGCGCACATCATGACGCGGGATATCTAAATTATGTCTGATCTGGTCACCGATGTAACCTAGGATAACATAGTGGGATACGGGAATCAATGATGGAGCTATCGATACAGTGCAAGTCCCGTATATGCGGGGGCATCACAACAGTCGTCGTCCTACAAAATATAGACAAACTCGTCATTCTCCTCTGACACAACCATGAGCGCTCATTCATCCCTAAAGTACTCATCGACTTACGATCGCTCAAATCATTCCTGGGTTTCCTTAATATCCTGCTTCTCTCGTCATCCTCAGTGCCCTCAGGCTCGTCCATTCCATTGGCATCCTCCTCTTCCACGTATCGTTTCATCATGCTCGTGTCCCTCACCATTGCTGGCTTGCCTTTGGCAACCCGCTTCTTTTCCTTCTTTTTGTTAAGCCAGTTCAAGTGAACGATCTGTAAGCTGCGGTACCTTGGTTAGCTGACGCGTAGTACTCGGGGGAGGGACGTACAACACCAGCCCGAAGAGAGTAATGGATAGAACCAGCGTGGCTCGCAAACCGGAATAGTAATACGGCGCGTCTGTGCTCCGGAACAAGAATGGCCCAAGGATATTGCCGAGAGAAGAGGAAGCTTGATCTACAGAGAGCTGTAAGTATTAAGAACGGTGGAGAAGGGGACGCGTACAGAGAGACATGGCTACACTCCGTTTGGTCTCCCCGGCGTAGTTCCCTGCGATCCAGCTTACGAGCAACGGGTTGCCACCAAAGAGGAACCCGAGGAGGTAGTATGCTATAAGCAGGACAGCCTGATTATTTTGTCCGCGACCGAACCCATCTGCATATATGCTCAGAACTGGAAGCAGGCAATGAGAACACCGATGTACAGAGCATCCCACATCCAGCGATCATGGGAAGGACCAACACGAGCAGTACTGCTCCCTTTCGCCGCCAAGCAACTGCCACCCAGCTGCTCAAAAGAATCACAGCAAATTGTACTGCTCCAAAAGGGATATTCCATAACACGCTGTTCTTGCTCTCACCGCCGCTTAGGCCATGGACGATAAGTGGGCCGAAGACATTCGTTACGCTCGCCCCGACGTTCAGGAGCAGTGTCATAGCACAGAACAGCCAAGTCTTCATTTCGAATAAGCACTCTCTAGCCTGGTACCATTGGAAGTCATGTGTCCCGTCGCTCTGATGGCTTGAAGCGAGTCGACGCACGGCTTTCATGCGGTCGGACGGAGTGAGGAAGCGTGCCTTCGAGGGAGACGACGGGAGAGAGATGAGGATCATGGGCGAGGAAAGGACTGTCAATAAACCCGTGGTGAGGAAGATGAGTTGGTACGGCTTGAAAAAAGGTGCATGTAGGAGGGCGAGGAGGAAGACGAGGAGAGAACCAAGGATCGTCCTTTGATGGTCGTCAGTTAAAAACTCGATATTCGAGGAGAACACGTATCGTACGCCAGGCTATTGGTTGAGTAGAATGCCCCCACTCTTATGGGCTGCTCTCCACGTCTCCACCACCTCCCAACGATCAGGGTGACCACAGGCAGACATACAGCCTCGAACACGCCCAGCAGGAAGCGAGTGACAAGGAGGGACACGAAGGAGCGCGCGAATGCCATAAGGGTGAGCGAGATTCCCCATGAAAAAACAAGAGCGGCGAGGAGCGTGCGATCGGGGAGGAGCACCAGTAGATAGGCGGAGAGAGGTTGGAGGGCGAGTTGTGCGACATACCCCGCAGAGCCGAGGATGGAGTACTAGTTGTTTTCCAAGCCCTGTCTTTGGTCAACTTCCCGTTCGAATACATGTTAACAAAACAGTAAAAGCGCACCGCATCCTCCTCCAGTCCAACCACAGCATTATACCCCACCACACTCTTGTCCAGGATCTGCAAGAAATAGACCCAGCAGAGCACCGGGAGGATGGCTAGGTCTGTTGCACTTCGAATGCGGGCATCGTCCTCTTCTGTGACTTTTATGTTGGCATGCACTTCATCTATCGGTGGTACGTGGTCGTCTGTATAAAGAAGTGTTGTATTGGGAACGAACTGATGTGAAGACATATCCGCGTATCGCATACATGCATACATTCCAGAGGGCATCCAAGGACTAACACAAGGCCGGCGTTAGCGTCCTGCAGCTATCGCCGACATCTCAACTTAACTCATAGCTTACCCGGCGAATGTCAATGGCACTGTAATGCAGTGGCTCATAATATAACATCCATGTACGTACTGCACAGGAACTCGGAAGGCATGAAACAGAAAGACGCAAGGATGCTTCTCCATACAGACCATTGAACCCTCACCTCTGTGATTTGCTTATACCCCCAGAGACTAAGACTGAACAAAAGGTGCCATTGATCTCTTTGACTCATTGCACTATACCAATGAATCCTTATCAAAATAAGTCATCCCTCAAGAAATATTGGCTCTCAATCCTTGCAAGATATTTGCGGCGTTGGTAGAGCCTACAAGATGCGGGATGATACATAGAGCGAGGTTTCCAACAGGAAAAGCGGTAATGGAGTTCCTTCGTAGGCCACATGCTGTGATCCTCTTGAAAAATGGATGTAGTAAGAGTCCTTGAAGATTTGTGAATGACCATCCTGTCGGTGAAAAGGATCTTATTCGGCAGACCCCCTTCCAGTGCGAAAGCAATGATCTGTAAACTTGGACATGCCTGACTGAGTGCAACGACCAGGCGCGATTGCTGGGCCGACTCGAACTCGCCCATGATGACAAAATGAATCTCCACAGTGTCAAGGGAGTGGAACGCGCTGAACGCCTGAAGATTTTCGGTGGACGAGAGTTTCAGCACCTGTTCGCGGTCAGAAGGCACTATCATCAAAGAGTCATCTGTACCTGGCTCTCTAGCGAAGTCTTTCCGGTCGTAGTTCAGATGGAACTCTTCCACCGGTCGGTCGGCAACGGGGTTATCACAGACCAAGCGGCGCAGCTGTGGAAGACAATCCTGTGGAATGGTCGCCTGCTCAGCACTGAAGTCGTACTCCGGTGTCATAGACTGCAGGCAAAAGTCCTGCAGCGTTGCTTGAGCGCGAAGAAGTTGGAGCATATAGCATTCCGAATGACTGGGAAAGGCAAAGCTCTCCAGTTGGCCGAACTGAGCAAGGAAGGTGAAACTTTCAGTTGTTGGCGTATCTCCCCAAGGTTGAGAGAAAACATGGCCGAAGTCGTGGGTGAGCTGAGAGGGGACTGAAACATAAGCTTCCTGAGGCTACTGAAGCGCCCGACCAAGCGAAATTGCAGGCGAGGTATGCCGGAGCACGGGTGGTCCGAGCGTCACTTTGCTCGTGTCGGTATGAGACCGACCGCCAGTACTGCTGGTTCAATTCGAATGCTCGTTGACTTTCTTGAAATGAGTAGTAGCGTAAATCAAGCTCCAGGGAGACGACATGAGCGGCCAATGACGGGTTTCGTGTGAGGGTGCGATGGAGGCGAATGAGGCAGACCAGATCATTGCACGAGAGTGTATGGTAGAGCCGCTGGGTTGCGATTTGCCCGATTGTAGAGTTGACGAGACAGAGTGGTCGTAGATTACGATGGCCTTCGCGTCCTCCGATGTCGACAAGCGAAACGATGCTTCTCCATACCTCGTATGGCAGGACGGATCCTGGTGGTTGCATGGGAAGAGGAGCGGAGGAGATCGAGAACCCAGAAAAGACACAGCGTTTGTATTCCCTGCCGAGTCTGCCGGGAGCGCATTTAAATAGTTGCCAGTTATACACGGTCGGCGTTAAGGTGTGGAGCATTCTATCACCGATATTTGGAATTTTTCATACGATCACAGGCTCTTGGTTTTCGCTGTACAGCAACGGCCCTACGGCATAAGTTGAACCTACGATATCTTGTGTTGCGGAAGGGCGGGGTATCGCAGAGAGGAGGCGGTAGCGCAGTTCCCTGGTGGACCACACGAAGCGGTTCTCCTGATCTGTTGTTTTCGTGGGAATTCTTGAGCATACATGAACCAACACCCTGTCGTTCTCTGGGTGCGCACTTAGTAAGCCAACTTCAAGGACGAATGTGATGGTTTGGAGGGTTGAACACGCCTGACCGAGTGCAACGACAAGGCTTGATCGTTGGATTGGGTCGAACTTGCCCATCCTGAGAAAATGTACTTCGACGGTTTGAAGTTGGTGGAATTTGTGGAATGACCGCAAAGTCTGGATAGAGAGGAGCATAGGCACCTGCCAGAAATCAGAAAGAAGCAAATAACCTGAGTATCGAGGTGCATACCTGTTGTACAATCGTCTTTGTTGTAGCAAGGCTCAACACCACAATATGCGGAAGGGCTGAACTTATTGTGGAGATAAGCGTAGCGTCAATTACAAGCACTTGCAAATGGATAGTTCGAAGAGGTACGGTGCCCATTCTCAAATGCTGGAGACAAGAGGGGAGGCCGGTCTCCGGAGAAATAATGGTGTTCAAATGAAAGTCGACAACTGGGCGGCCTCGCACAAGCACAGCAGCAGATCGGCTATCACTGGTAATTCGACGGAGTTGCGGAAGCGCTTCCTGCTGAAGGGTCGCTAGCTGGGTGCTCAAGCCGTCTTTTCTTGCTGAAGATTGCAGGCAGATGTCCCGCAGCGTCACGTGGGCATGTAAAAAAGGGATGACAGAGGGCATGGTGTCGGTGAAACAGGCGAAACCTTCTAGAGGTTGCCATATCCTACCGAATTCTGAGAAGAACAGAATCGAAATGGTCGGCGAGTTCATACTGGCCTGGAACAGAAGCTTCCTGAGGTTAGGAAATCGTGCGATGAAGCGAAAGACAAGACGAAAGAATGCTGGTGCACGGACGATCCGGGAGTGACCCTGTCCGAGGTGGCCTGTGCTCACAGTCCAGAATCGGGGTTGCAATTCGCTTTCTTGGAATGCGTAGTAGCGTAAGTCGAGTTCGAGCGAGATGACATGGGTGACTAGAGATGGATTTCGAGTCATCGTGCGGTCGAGGTTCATTATCCCGAAGAGGTCATCGCATAAGAGCGTGCGATATAGGTGTCTGGCTGCCACTTGTCGGATTTGAGAGCTGACCAGGCAGAGTCGAAGGAGGTTATGTTGGCCTTTGCGACTTCCGACATCGACTAGGGAGACGATGATATCCCAGATGTCGAACGGAAGTACGACCTCTCTCCTCTCCTCCATTGTGGGGAAGCACGGGGGAAGAGGGTTCATGAACGTGATGGCCTGGCACTAGCAGCGTGGCCAAGTTCGTGATTATTGTTGTTCAAGTCTCCCAGGATAACACTCGAGTGGTTGGAGATAGAGAACAACGAGCAAGCGCCTGGTGCGACGCTCTGGAAAAGTTGATCTGCGGTTTGGGATGTGACTCACGTGTCGGTATGCGGACGCAACCACGCGTTCTTGCCTCAGAATGGGAATTTACCAAGGGACAGGTGACGCGGTGCGCAGACCCTGCCCCCTTCAATTGATTCCCGCCCACCCGTCAGCGGCTTCTCAATCGCAGTTGCACGCAGGGGTGTGCACTGCAGCACTTACGTCTCCCAGCTTTGCACATCTATCTCGATATTTATCTCAGTAATTGCGATTCACCTAGGATTCATCTTTGTCCTCGACGACCAACTACTGAACTTGTTGTTTACGCGCTATGTGGTGGGGAGGCGCGGGCTCGTCGTTGGACCCAGTCCTTCTCCTGTTTTGTGGACTATCGACACTGCTTTCGACGGTGGTAGGCGCTGCTAGCGTCTACTACCAGTTGAAGAATTACAGGAAGCCGCATCTGCAGCGGTGAGTGCGTGGATATCTCGTTATAGGATACGATGCTGAACGGAGATTTCCGGTACTAGGCAGGTGATCAGGATCATGGTCATGGTCCCCGTGTATGCCATCTCCAGCCTGATCTCGCTCTTCTCCCTCGAGGCAGCATTCTTCATTGATGCTTTCCGAGATATCTATGAGGTACGCTCTTCCTATGTCGCGTCCTTGTAATCCCTTTGTTGACGTCGGCGTCTAGGCATACGTCATCTACTGTTTCTTCCACCTGCTTCTTGCCTACCTTGGTGGCGATCGCGCTTTGCTCATTATGCTGCACGGCCGACCACCCAAAACGTATCTGCCTCCCATGAATCTCTTCAAACGCGAGTGCGACGTCAGCGATCCGTTCGTCTTCCTGGGGTTGAGGAGGGGTATCTTTCGTGAGTTCGTCCTACATCATCTGTCCAATCCTCGCTGATGAAAAACAGAATATGTGCAAGTCAAACCTCTTCTTGCTGTGGCTACTATGATACTTAAAGCGACGAACACGTATCACGAGGGCACGTTCAAGTTTAACGATGGGTACTTGTATGTCTCGGTAATCTACAACACGTCTATCTGCATCAGTTTGTATTGCTTGGCCATGTTCTGGAAGGTGGTGAGTCATGATATCCAGCCATTCCGGTACGTACATGCCTCTTACGCTATGATGTCTCTTGCTTACGATGATACAGCCCAGTCCCCAAATTTCTCTGTGTCAAGGGCATCATCTTCTTCTCATTCTGGCAGTCTATCTTCATTTCCATTCTCGTCTCAGCGGGGGCGATCCCGCGCATGGGTCCCTATACCGATCAAGAGCACATCTCTATCGGGTTGAACGACATGCTCATCTGTTTCGAGATGCCCTTCTTCGCCTTCGCTCACTGGTACGCGTTCAACTACCACGACTATATCGACGACTCTGTGCGGCTCGTTGCAAGAATGCCATTCATGTATGCGTTCAGGGACGCGTTCGGTGTCAAGGACGTTATGGAAGATGCGAAAGCGACTATGCAGGGCGGGGGGAGCTACCGATACTACGAGCCTGCGGAGGGGGGGATGCACCAGGGCAGCGGGCGAGAACGCCGTATCCGTGCGGGGCTGCGATATGCCCAAGGAGGGAAGAAGAAGTATTGGATCCCTGTGCCACGGAGCGAAGGGTCTGCTACCACCGGACCGGTAAACGCGATCAACAAGCGCTGGGAGGAGCGAGGGCGTGACCAAGAGGCATATGCGCCGCTCATGGCTGAGCAGGAAGCGCGTGTCGTCCACGCAGACAATGGCGAGTTGGCGCAGGACGGCTATGCGGAAGACGAGTTCGACCGACTTTCGCTGGACTTCGATCTTCCCTCTCGGACAGAAGAAGACGAGCAAGAGCTGTTGTATGCCAAAGCCCGATTGCTCGAGTTTGGCGACGGCAACTATCCGGTAATTGACTGCTCTGACGAGGCGGCAAAACGGTGGATGCACCAAGTTGAGCAAGGGATCGTCAGCGGGCGGATGAGCGCCGTTGGCCGAGGAGTCAGGGAAAGGGTCAGGCTGCTGAGTGACCCTACCGCAAGTGCTGGCGCCTTATCGGGCTACGGGGCGCTCCCCGGGTCCCCCAGTCCTGGGCGGGTGGAACGTAGTCTGTCCACAGACGGGCAGGTGAAGGGGAAGGGGAAGGACGTAGAGCGGGAGAGCGTGTACGGCGCTTGGGCCGAACAGGCACCAGCTGTCTCCCCCCGCCCTGTGCCGCCAATAGCAGACCGTTCGGCTTCGAGGCGTTCTTCACCAGCTGCCTTCCCCGCTCCCGGTGGGGTGATAGACCTCGCACCTCCCGCGCCGGATATGGACACGGACGGCCTCCGCCTACATCTCTCAAGACGGCACCCTGTACCCGTGCCTACATACACGTCGGCCGGGACCGCACCGCCGGGAAGGGGGACGAGCCTATCTCCACCCCAGCACCCTGAGCGCACACGGTCGCCCCTTGTACCTGCGAGCGGCCGTCCTTCTAGTAGGAGCACTACCCCCCTCACACGGGGGAAGTCACTACCGTCGGACGCAGTAGACCTGCTTATCGAGGATGCTATGGCTACGGACCTTCCCCCTCCGACAAGGAACGCCGACCCGGTGTATAGCGGCATACGAGTAGGAAGCAGGGATCAGCGTGCCGAGCAACAAGGGAGGCGAGCTACCCAGCCCAGCCCGGAGGTACGCCCACGCGAGCCACCACGGAGCGTCTTGGAGCACAGATATGGGGAGGAGCCCGAGAACCCATGGGCTTGATACTCAGTGTTGAAGGGAGATGTACGACTGCGAGAGACCAAGAAGAGGGGGATTAGATGTAGTTTTATGATTTGGCTTGTTTACGCATTTGATCACGCATTGGTTAACTTAATGTCATTCACGCATTTTCGGCTTCTTTAGTCTAGTGGGTACATGTTTGCTAGGCTTGGCTTGAGTGGGGGGCACAGGCACAGGTAATCAGAGGTGAGCGAGGACGGCGTCAACGCTGCTCTCGACGACACCAGGCTTAGAGTCGACCTATCCAAAGTCAGATAAACATTTCCCACAGAGGCACAGCCAGACTCACCCCAATATACTTCACCTTCAAGTCGTCCAAGATGAGCGCAAAGCGTTTCGTCCTCTTCCCCATCCCCCTCTCCGTCAAGTCCTGACTCAACCCCAGCTGGTCCGTCCATGCGCAGTACGTATCGCTCAGCATCAGGATCTCGTCTTTGATCCCCTGGGAACGGCCCCAGCCGGACATGACGAACTGGTCGTTGGAGGCGAGGCAGGCGACGACGGAGGCGCCTTTGGATTTGAGCTCGGAGACGCGCTGGACGAAGGGCGGGAGATGGTTGGCGTGGCATGTGGGCTGTATGCGTGTGTTAGACTAAGGTTAGCTAGGATGTGGTGTGGGGACTCGGACGCACGGTGAACGCCCCCGGTACGGCGACGATAACTACGGTCTTGCCCTTCCATGCATCGGTATGGATCTTGTTAGGTACTCCGCATACAAGCCCGTTCTCGAGCTCCGGAGTCCAGGGGATGTAGTTGAACGTCCCCTCGGGTACGGTGTCGCCTACTTTGATGGTTGCCTGGATGTTAGGTGTGGTCAGCGTTGTTCATGACATTAACATTGTGTGTGGGACGTACCATTTGGGAATACTGTCTGAATGAGCGGGTGATTGGACGGAGTCGTTGGACAACTTGGGAGAGGGAGAGGACAGACATGCAGTTCAATTGCAGTCCTGGTTTATATACACTTTCTTGTCCTTATGACCGCCCATCATTGACTCCGACACTAAGGTAACAACCGGTCGGCGTCGCGTCACAACGGCCGATAGAGAATTACATAATCAGGAAATCAAATTCCGCGGGGGAAAAGGAAACGCCGCGGAGAAGGGAGAAAATCACGCGCCGAACGGAGGAATTCGACGCGTCCCCGTTGTTGAGCGCGTCTTTCCATCTCTCTCTGAGCGCCAGTCTTACCCTCATCTCTTACTCAGAATCATGGTACGTCCCCCATCCCCCCCCTCTCCAAAAGATACTGACCCCGCGGAAGTCCGCATCCGCACAGCAAGAAGCCGAGTATCGCGAGGCGTTTGCTCTATTCGATAAGCGTGGGACGGGGTCGATACCTCGTGAGCAGCTGGGAGAGCTCCTCAGGGCGCTGGGACAGAACCCGACACAGGCGGAGGTAGCAAGGCTCCAGGAGGGTGCGCCTAGGGAAGGTGAGTTAATTTTTAACTGTAAGGGATGGGGAGAGGGGTTGTTGAGTGTTGTGTGGATGGAAGATGCAGAAAGGGGAATGGATGTATGGGGAGATGCTGACTACTTCATTAGTGGATTACAAGACTTTCCTCCAGATCCTTACCCGTCCCGACGGCTGGAAACCCGCAGGTACAGCCGGTCCGTCCAGTTCCCTCCCTTCCCCTCCCGCACCCAAGACTAACTCTTCCCGGTAGACGAGTTCATCCGCGGATTCCAAGTCTTCGACAAGGAGGGAAACGGGTTTATCGGCGCTGGGGAACTGCGTTATGTGCTTACTCAGCTGGGGGAGAAGATGAGTGACGAGGAGGTTGACGAGCTTATGAAGGGTGTTCCTGTGGGACCGTACGTCTTTCTCTTGCTCACTTCAAGCCTTCTGCTCATTTGAGACAGGGATGGAAATATCAACTATGAGAGCTTTACGAAGATGATCCTGAGCCAGTAGAACCGTTTTGAGTGTGCAAGCGAGAGGGTAGGAAGATCTGTAGGATGGACAAGACAACGCATGTTTTTATGACTCCTCGATCCAATTGACCGCTGGCCCGGTGTGTTCTACATGACCATTTCGCAAAACACCGCAAAATCGATCGTCCTCTGGATCCCTGTCTTGGCACTAGACTCGCGTCTTCCCGCAGAGAGAAACACAACCCTGCCAAAAATTGGAGAACTGTGTCTCTCCCTGAAACCCTTGCTCCCTCCCTCTAGGTATGTGACCTTTCCACGTGCTTTGCGACATGTACTCACCCATCCGCAGCTGGAATGACAGATGTGGAGAACCCTTGAACACAATCTGAGTTGTTGTTGGCCCTGACGATGATGATCAACATTCACGATTTCAGACGCTGTTTTGAAACTTTGCCGCCCATGTCCCGATCTGACAAGCCTCCTGATTGAGACTCAACGAAAGCGCGCAGCAGCACCTTTGAGATGAGTAACAGGGATGAGTGCGGTCATCTAGTCGGGGGCGACCCATCGGCTAACCTGATGAGTACGTGTGTGACGGTCAGGATCGATATCGACATCAAATGTTGTCGAAGGCTGATTTGCTGGTTACTAATTGCAAGGATGAGCCTAGGCCAATCGTCATGCCGTGAATAGCGACCGTCCGTTGACGTTGTCTCACTGATGTTGTTCGTATCCTGCCGTATCTCACCATGCTGACACAGAGAAAACCAGCGCTTCCAGTCGATCTTTGGCACGATATCATGATTCTCCTTGATAAGGAAGACTTGATTCCTCTCTGCTTGGTCAATTCAGAGATTGGCCGAATCGCAGCGAAGATTGTACAGCACAGTCATCATCGGCAGACTCTCAAGACTCGTTAAATTTCATCGAACGGTCTCTGGAAACGCATTCCTGGGCCCGTCAGCTCCTTTTTTCGAGTGGAGCGTGTCGTCCCTCCTTCCGAAGCGGCTGATCGCTATAACTGGGGGTATCGCATAAACTAGGAATTCCGTGAGTACATGACACGATAGCCGGCATACATGTGTCTCATGTTCCGCCCAATCAATATTCTACTCGCTTTGTAAACTTTGGAACTCTGCACACCCTGGTATTGCAGGCGGACGGCCAGGAATTGGCCTTACTGAAGAGTCCTATCAAGAGTGTGAATGATCTGGGGCCACTCTTCTTCAATATCCAGAAACCAAGCTTCCCCCGCCGTAGATGGAGCGACACACTCTTCCTGCCAGTGCCTTTTGGTGTTGGAATTTCTCTCTAATGTGGTCAAGATTTATGATGACGCTGTCACCACAAGCATATGGCAACGGTGCTGCCGGTTTGCCACATAATGTGAGTTGATTGTTGGCTTTCCGTTTGTACTCAGTGAATGGTGACAAAGGAGGTTACATGACAGCGTCAAAGAACACTCTGCCGCAGATTATTACTCCATACCATTTACCTCAATGATTTCGAACGGTATCAACCACGACATAACGACAATCCTGCCACTTTCGAGTCTATAAAGGGGGTGTCATTCCGGCCGATGAAGATCATCATCATACACCCCCGAATCTCCCAACAAACCGAACATACAGAATGCCCTTCACTACGCAAGAACTTAGCGGTCGGTTCAGGCTCCCTCCAAACGCTTGGAAGGACGCCTTCCTCACACGAGGAGATCGGTACCCGACCCCTGTCTTCACACACGACGAAGAACTCTGGGGTGATCTCGTTCGAGACGAGATCCACAAGCTGCAGCAGGAGGAGATGGAGATGCGCAAAGACGCGATTCTGCGGGAGAATGAGCGCAAACGAGCACTGGCTGGACAAACCTCGACAAGGCGTGCGCTCAACTCGTCTTTCCAGGGCCCGTTCGCCCTGCAAATGCCGATTTCTGAATATCATGGATGGCAGGGCGTGCCTGCTCCTATCCCGCAAAATATCAGCTACGCGAATGAGTACGCGACTCGACAGGCTCAGACGTACCGGGATTCCAGGCATACGGCTCCGCAGCCTGAGTCGTACGTCGACAACCTTGCGAGGACGGTCACGACCTATCGGGAGCAACAGGAACAACTGCGACGTTTGGAAGAATGTCGCCGGCGTATGCGGTTGGATGGTGACCAGTACCAGCGAAACACGCTCTATGCTCCTCTACCGCCCAGGGTAGAGGTCGCCCATCAGTCCGCGAGAGCCTGCCACGCTCCTGCTGTTCTAGCTCGTGAAGTCCTCACTTTCGGGAGCGAGTCTCCTCTCTCTCTGCGGTCGGTTCACCCCATAACTTCATACGGACACACCTTCCAGACAGCAGAGCACATGCTGCTCTTCCTCCGGCTCGAGCCGGGACAACATCCTGCCGGAGTGATCAAAGATTTCCTGGAGCTTCCCAACCCCAAGGTAGCGGCTGGCAGGCATCCGGGGTCATTGAGGAACGACTGGTGGCGGGACCCGAAGCTGAGATGGGAGACGGTGAGGGAGGTGGTGAGGGCGAAGTTGGACCAGTCGGCAGAGGCGAGGCAGGTGCTGGTGGAGAGTGGGGAATGGGACCCAGGGGATGGGGAGGATTCGAGTGGGGAGAATCTGGTCGGGAGGGCGTTGATGGAATACAGGGCAGAGATTGGCCAGCGCTGGAGACTTTGAAGGTGCCCGAGCTTAGAATGGGCCATCACTTGCAGTGCAGGCCCAAAGCCCGAACCAACATCATGAAGCCAGTCGTCGAGGAAACTTGTCCATTTGCATGTTACATGGTCTACTGAATCTTGGTTCGGCAGGTTCATATTGCGAGCAATGAATTGCCCGATCCTTCCTCAGTTGCGCACGCCCTGCCAGAAAAAAGTCGCCGATCGAGTCAGGTCGCAGGTCCAGTAGCACACCACACCGAGATTTGAGATCCGGTATCGTGCTCGCGGGCCTGGTTACAAGACGCTCTAAAGGGCCATGCCCTGATTATCGCGATAGAGCAAAACAGAAAAGTCCGCTCTTCACTTCAATTCATTGCCGAGACGGGAGCGGGCCGCAGGATCTAGAAGGCCGTTTTGTGCATGACGGTGGTCTGTTCGTGTACTTGGCACGTTTGTGCCAACTGTTGAGACGGTTGCGGTCATTGCGGTCGGCAGATGAAAAAGTTTGTGCAAACTCGGAGGCTGCAATTCCGAGCCGGACCGAGGGCTAGACCTAAAGGTATTACTTATTCATTTCGGCACATATTTTTGTCCTCATGTTCTCGTGTAAGAAGATAGCAAATACAGCACTGCGCCCTCCTTCCTACCGCTCAACTCGAAGATTGCTTACAGTGCATGGATCACCTCACCACCCGCTGGCGTATATAGGTCTGCTGGTTCAAAGATGAGAGGCGGACAGCTCAGCAGGAGAAGATGGAACACCATAATTCTGAGTCGGTCGAACCTTGCACGGGGGAGAGCCCATCTATCTCGCTCTCGAGGGACGTGACCGCCGTTGACCTCCCTTCGCTGTTGCCGACGTTCACCGAAAAAGAGCAGCCGAAATGCGAGAGCGACGCGCCCGCTGAGACGGCTGACATCGGTATACACTCGCAGAGCGAGAAGACCCTCTCTGATGGGAATGCCGTCCCGGTGTTGGTTGACGAAGACAGCTTGGAGACGGAAGACGACGACTGGACGTACCCCGAGGGCGGCCGCGGGTGGTGGGTCGTCACTGGGTGCGCGATCATAGCAGCTGGTACGCTCTTCCCTCCGGTCTTAGTTCCGACTAATGCCTGGTAGTGACACTCGGATGGGGCCTGGCATGGGGCGTATTCCAGAGCTATTACAAGGAACACTTGTTCCCCGACGTGCCAGATTCGGTGCTCTCAGTGCTGGGCAGCATACCAGGGACGATCATGAACCCCATCGCCTTCGTCGTAGGCAAGTTCGCCGACAAATAGTACGTCGCCTCCCACCCTTCGAAATCCAAATACTGACCCCTTACAGCGGGTACAGGCTATTCCTCACCGCCGGGTGTGTGGTCGCAGTGCTCGCTATGCTCACAGCATCGTTCTCCACCACTCTCTGGCAGTTCTTCCTCACCCAAGGTCTCCTGCAGGGATGCTGCACAGGCCTAATCCTGCCAATAGCGATGGCTGCTCCATCCCAGTGGTTCCTGCGCCGGCGCGCACTCGCAACGGGGATCGTCATCGCTGGGAGCTCGTTCGGGGGCGGCCTAGCTTCTCTCGTAGCTCAACAACTGCTCACGCACATCGGCCTGCGAAACACCCTCCTCACCTACACAGGCGTACACGCAGTGCTCATGTCCTCCTCCCTGCTGATGATCCGCGACCGACCGCACCCCAAGAGTCCGCGTTTCACCCACGCCCGTATCCAGTGGGTCGACGCCTCCCTTTTCCGCCGGCCGCTCTTCTGGCTCGTCGCTCTCAGCGTAACGATCAGCACGCTTGGCTACCTCGGACCATACTTCTACATCGAACAGTACACGCTAACCTACCTCCCTTCGCTCGACCCCGCACTCGCCTCCCTCCCAGCAGCAATGATGAACTTCTCCGCCGCCATAGGGCGGAGCCTGATCGGACTCCTAGCCGACAAGATAGGCGTGCTCAACGCATTCATCGGCTCGCTCTTCATCGCAGGGTGTATGCAGCTCCTCGTATGGAACTTTGCTCACTCCTTCGGCACGATCATGACCTTCTCAGTCTTGGACGGCTTCTTCGGCGCGGCATTCATATCCCTCATCAGCGTGCTCGGGGCAAAACTCTTCGGAGTAAGGAACTTAGCGACGCTAAGTGCGATCCTGATGATCTTCTCGATGCCTGGACAAGCTGCGGGTGGGCCGCTGGTGGGAGCGATACTCGCTGCGAGTGGGGGCTGGCAGGCGCCCATCACGTATAGCGGGTTGTGCTGTGTTGTCGGAGCGTTGGTTATGATTCCCGCGAGGTTTGTCAAGGAGAAGAGGGTGTTGGCTGTCTTCTGATGTCTGACGTCTTGGTTCTCGGTTCTTGGGTGTTCATCATATCATCCATGACACGATAGCCTACGCAATGTCCATAATGACTGTAAATGTACTGAACGAAACATAGACTTAGACATAGACAACAACGAACCTAAGATAGACAAATTGCAACGTTTTCATATATGGCCGATAACGCGATTGGAAGATGCGAACTGACTTGGTTTGTCAACTCCGTCCGGTACAATATATATTTCTCGGACTTTGCCGATGTACCTTCCTCTTGTCGAGGCGCACAATCTGACCGCTCACAAAATGAAGGTCCCGATCCTCTGTCATCGATCAACCAAATCGCGCACGATCGCCACGATCGTCCCCTATCGGTCTTATATAGCAAAACGCCGCGTTAGAAGGGGTCCGGCCCGCCGATCCGCCTGACCAAGCATCGGGCGCATCGGCCATACCAGGGTCCACCGGCCGGGTCCTGACTCCCGCCGCCTCCATCCAGTTCGGCAAAAAATGGCCAATTGAGCGCTTATGCCGAATGCCGACGTCCTCTGATGTGATTTTGACACTGGCCTCCGGGTGGATGACCTGTTGTGTACGGGGATGTGAGGTAGAGCGGGCGGGCCAATGACGAATCGGAGAGGACTGTGCATGGCCTCGACTTTTTCGACTAGCCTGGACTTCGGCAGCGCCCCCATACAGGTACATATGTAATATATTGCTTACTCCTCTTTGAAGTAGAACTGGATGACCCTACCCTCGACTTTGCCCGCCTTTCTGCTTGGAAGTGAATCGCCGAATGATGAGCACTTTGAGCGATCCTGCTAACATGATTTCCCCTGACGCGACAGCCGTTGACCTCCCTTCTCTCCTCTCATCCCCTGTCCCTCTTACCAATCAAAAGAAGCCCACTCCTCCCTCATCTACCCGATCACTCGACCCAGTCACCGAAAAGCTGCCTCATGCCGATCCGACAAGCCAGTTCCCGGACGAAGACGGCGGGGATAAGGACTTGGAGCGGCGCGTTCCGGCGGACTTGATCGGTGCCGAAGCGGTGGACTTGAAGGAGGATGATGAGGAGTGGACGTACCCCGAAGGAGGACGGGGTTGGTGGGTTGTCGCGGGGTGTACGATCATTGCTGCTGGTGCGTATTGCGTGGAAAGCGTGTCCATTCTTGACGACTGTGGTGCAGTCACTCTCGGATGGCCGTTGGCATGGGGCGTCTTCCAGGCGTATTACAAGCAGCACTTGTTCCCCGATGCGCAGGACTCGGTGCTCTCTCTGCTAGGGAGCATCTCGGGGATGGTAACGATGCCTATGGCCTTCGTAGTCGGCAAGTTCGCCGATCGATAGTAAGTCCCCTCTTCCTACTCTAAGCAGCACTAACCTCGTCCAGCGGGTACAGACAGTTCATCATTGCCGGCTGCCTAACCGCCTTCCTCGCCATGCTCACAGCGGCATTCTCGACCCAGCTCTGGCAGTTCTTCCTCACCCAAGGTGTCCTTCAAGGCGCATGCATAGGCCTCATCCTCCCCGTGGCCATGTCATTCCCTGCCCAGTGGTTCCGCTGCCGCAGAGGGCTAGCAACGGGGATCGTTATTGCCGGCAGCTCCTTCGGGGGCGGGGCAGGCTCGCTCATGGCCCAGCAACTGCTCAACCGCCTAGGGCTGAGATACACGCTCATCTTCTACTCGTTCTATCATCTTTTCCTCATGACACTAGCCGTGTTCATGCTCCAAGACAGGCCACATCCGCACAGCGCCCGATTTACGAAAGCACCCATCCAATGGTGGGACTCGACGCTCTTCCGCAAACCTCTCTTCTGGAGCGTGGCGATCGCGACTCTTTTCGTAGTGTTCGGTTACCTTCCTCCCTATTTTTACATCCAGCTATATACGATGGAGAAACTCCCCGACCTCAACCCAGCGCTCTACGCCGTCCCGGCAGCAGTGATGAACTTCTCTGCCGCTGCGGGCCGGACGGCGATCGGCCTGCTCGCCGACCGGATAGGCGTAGTGAACGCGTTCTTCGTCTCTGTCCTCATATCAGGGTGCATGCAGCTCCTCTTCTGGAACTTTGCAACGTCCTTTCCGGCCATTATATGCTTCTCGATCCTGGTGGGATTTTTTGGCGCGGCGTTTTTGAGCATGACGAGCGTTATTGGCGCAAAGCTGTTTGGGGTACAGAACCTTGCTACTCTGAGCGGCATACTCTTGCTATTTAACATGCCCGGTATGCCCCTCCTGTCAAGTCATCCAACTCTGCTGATTCCGGGGACACAGGAAACGCCGCCGGCTCCCCTCTCGCAGGAGCGATCTTCTCCGCCTCAGGCGGTAACTGGCACGCCGCAATAACTTTCAGCGGGATGTGTAGTGTTGTGGGCGCGTTCTGTATCCTCTATGCGAGGTTTAAGATGGAGCCGAGGGTGTTTGCGATTTACTAGATCCGGGGAGCGCGCCGGGAGGGTGAGGAGAGATGGGGGAAGAAACTGGTCTTTTTTTTTGGGAGATCTGCATTGTATAATAAACACAATTGAAATTTTGTGCACTGGTACGTATAGTCGCTGTAGCACTGGGTTGATCGCTGCAGCACTGGGGCGTTTTCATGGTCCGACGATGGGCATATTTGGTATTAGGACTCAGTATGTGACTTGGAGGACGTACTTATATAGAGCGCGTTTACTTGCATTTCTGGACAACCGAGGGGCCGATTTGCTGTTCACTCTAGGCAGAACCAACGTACAACTTTCGTGTGGAACTATCTGGATTCAAATTATTTGCTACAAATATACAGCAGTTGTTCGTGAAGTGTGCAGAAGATGTAGATATCCGTGATGGATAACCGAAATTTGACAGAACTACACATTGGATTGGGGAAAGATGTTTGACCTGAGATTGAGGTTGCTTTACGACCACAAGAAATTGTTGTTCCTCGGTTAGAAACTTCGCAGTGTTCAGGTACATTCGGTCTGCAAGTCTTGCAAGATCCTTGCAACGGCATTCACTCCCTCTCTCACAGCTTCTTGATCACCCTCCTTGACCTTCCCCAGCCATTTAGGACAAAACTTATCGGGATGCCAACGAAGCATCGCAGCTCGAACTCGGTCCTTCTTGTTCTTCCCCTGACTGTGGACCGTCGCGAGCAGGAAGCGGCGCACAGCGAGAGCCTCCAGTCCATGGGGAGAGGATACGGGGTAGGTGACAGGCCAGGGGATGGTGCTGAATGTCCATGCTGGCGTATCGGGCAGCGAGTTGAGACCAGCCCAGCGCTGCTCGTAAGCTGTGAAAGCGACGGTCACGTCTTCGGGAGCAGGATTGAGGTTGATCTTGGGGCGGTTGGCCTTCGGGATCGAGCTAGGCCCAGGAGCAGCTCGAGGTGGAGGATGCGCAAATCCAGCACTCGTGTAAGTGCGCCCGTAGCCTTCGGTATACTGTTGGAATCTGAAAGCGTCTCCAAACCCGCCTCCGAATCGGTTCTGATGCCCAGCGCCCGGGCGGAAGTCGTTGTTGAAGAATGAACGGAACGTTGAATCGTCCGGGCCGAAGTAGGTATGCGCGCCGCGCGCACGCTGCTGTTGCTGTTGCTGGTGCCAACGCTCCTTTTGCTCACGCTCGAATGCCAGGCGTATCCTTTCTGCATTTCGGTCGGCTTCACGACGACAGCGTTCTCTCTCCTCTCTCTCCTTCTCTTCCCTCTGGAGTCGTATCTTCTCTTCTTGTATCCTCCTCGCCTCTTCTTGCTCACGCCTCAGCATGTCCTCGGCCCTCCTCCTCTCTTCCTCGGCCCTCATTCTCCGCATTATTTCTGCCTCCTCCTCCATGAGCTTGCGCTGCAGCTCCCTACGCTGTTCCGCAACTCTCCGCTGAATCTCCTTCGCTTCCTTAAGAGCGCGGGCAGCGGCTTCTCTCTGTGCCTGCCGCTTTCGTTCCTCGCGTCTCTCGCGTCTCGCAGCCTCCACACTGGCTCTATGATCTTCTACCTCCTTATTATGTCGCGCCGCCTCTGCCTCCCGACGCCGGTGCTGACGCTCTTCTGCTTCCCGGTTGATCTTAGCCTTCTCTCGCTCCGCTGCCTGGAACTCGGCCCGAATGCGTTTCAACTGGTCGTAGGTCGGCAGTGGCTCGACGATCTCGACATCAGAATCGGAGGCTTCCACGCTCGATCGTGGATGTCTCAGCCGTTCCGCCCGTTCAGCTTCAACATTTCGCGCAGCCTCCGCTTGCTTGCGTATCTTGTCCGTTGCGCGGGCAAATTCGTCTCCCCGCCACTTCCACTCCGCCTCCTCTTTTTTTGCTCGTGACTTGCTCGACCCCGCACGGCCATTCGATTGGTTGTCCGCTTCTTCTTGCAGCTTCTTGTCCTGGATATTCCAGCTCTTTCTGAGGCCACGGAGCACTTCAGCGACGTTTTGTTCTCTCATCTTCGTCTCGCGATCGCGTCTCTTCCTAGGCGAATCCTGGTTGCCGTTTAAAGGGTTGTGGTCTGCGAATTCCTCTTTGGCACGTTTCTCCCTCAGGCGATCCTTTCTCTTCTCGGCGTCCCGCTCAAACTCTTTCGACCGGACATACTGCTCCAGCTTCTCGGCTTCATCCGCAGGCTCGGGACTGAGTTCGATAGGAAACTCCCTCGCCCCTGTCTGATCGGGAAGAAGTACAATATCACCATCGTCATCCACCTGGTGCAAGATGATGTCGTCATCTGAGGGAAACGAAGTATTGTGATCATCGTCCGTATCCAGAAGACGAGAAGTCGCTGCACGGTCCTCCTCCGAGTCGCTCACAATCTCCACCACAACATGGTGCTTCCGATGCTGTTCCCTCGGTTTTGGCTGTTCTTTGGTGCGTATGCGCGATGACTGGTATCGCTCTCGATCGGCAAACTGAGCGAACTCTTCCCGTCGCTCCTGCATATCTGCCTCGACTTTTGCAGCGTGTGAAGAACGCGTGTCGTCGTCAGATATGCCTTCCATCGGTTGTCCAGCAGCGACGTGGCGCCTACGCCTCTGTCGTGGTGATTGAGATGGAGGGCGAAATAGGGGTGGACTTGGGTTGGGTTGAGAGGCGGAAGACGGGAAAGGCGACATGTTGTCCAGCACCTCTGAGCGGGCAGAGAAATTCACCATCTTGTGATTGACAGAAAACCCACCGAAGAGGCTGTCAGTTGTGATAGACGGCGAAGAAGGTAATGTTGAAGAGGGAAAAGGATAGAGTTGGTGGCGATGACTTAATGATGCCGATTTTTGTTCGATGCAGCGCGAGTCACCTACCACGACGGCAATCTGACGATGTCCCGCGGCTGATTTCTCGTCTCCTTTGCTCCCACCTATGCACTACGTTCGTCTTTTAGAGCCGTAGACGTCGTACACTGTGCTTGGGAGTCGAGGAGATGGTAGTTGAGAGAGAGAGATGCCAGTGGGTAGTGACGGTCAGGTAACCTCGCGGACAAGGGTCCTGCGCAGGCGCAGTGCGGATAAAAGGCTCCGAGGTCACGTGTATGACTCAGCAACTGGCTGCTGCGCGTACTTGTCCTTAAGCTTGTTGAACCTCCTTGACCGTCGGAACTGGGCTTTTCGAAAGATACAGCTTCGTCGATATGCGCCTTGAATTTATGCAGCTCGTATCAAAAGCCAAACGTCGCAATATGCTGCTTTGACCGGTGACTGGATATCTAGCTACCACCGTCGGCTCAATGCCCCTGTCACGCGAACAAGTGTAGGACTTCTGTACAATCAAGCCTCTTTCCTGCAGTTGTGGTAGACTTGATCTGTTGAATATACTTCTATGAAGCATGACATGAGCGACCACCAGCACCTTTATCGACATGAACCAGGAACCTTGTCCCAGGAACCTTGTCGATGGGAAGGGAAGAAGTCGCGCTCGCATCCTCTGGACTTCCTGCCTTCCTTGTGACATTCCAGCCCAGGAACATGATCGATAGCCTTGATGTTCGGCATCTGGTGCGGCAATAGCTCGGTGGAAGAGCCTCGGCTCCTCCATGGAGGCCATCACACGGAAGACGTTCTTTCCGACCGGCGATTGGTTACCGAGGACTGTCGACGCCCACCTGACCTTCAAGCCATGCGAACCTCAAGAGTGCAACAAATGTGCTACACTTCGGGAATTTGACGGGCTGATATCGCTCGATTCCTTTCGCTGTGGTAGGTCTGGCGTCTCCTCACCTGTAGGATGTGGTATCGAACCGACACATGGACCAGTTCTGCAGTGTTTTTGGTGAGCGTCTTATATCCTTTCTTGGGCAATTGAAACTAACCTCATTTTTATCACATACTAACGTACTATTAACTCTGCGTAATTCCATCTCAGCGCACGTTGTACTTCGGTCGAATGAACAGCATTGCAGCAACTGCCACGAGAATTCCTCTCCGTGACCTGCGGCCCGTCCGTTTCCCCAAGCGACCTAATCACGAGCAGTATCAAAACCCCTTGCATCCGGCGTGGGAAGGTCCGCCGGATCATCACTGATCGATGCCGCGATTCAGCAAGCGTTCATGAAGGCCGTTTGTTTCCCGATCTAGATGTCTGAACAGCATCGCGGAACATCCTCGCCAGCATCAAGTAGAAGTCGCAGAATGCGGGAGAACATTGGTGGATCCGCTCAGGGTATGTGGGCGCAGTTTGAGAAGTTGAATCCCCGCTTATATTCCAGAAAGCACCATGATTGTTCCATGTCGGCTACTATTCCTCTCGCCTGCCGCAGTTTGAGAAGTTGAATCCCCGCTTATATTCCAGAAAGCACCATGATTGTTCCATTTCGGCTACTATTCCTCTCGCCTGCCGAAAGGACGTTCATTCGTTTCGTTTGATTCAGCCGGAAACCTACGAACAACCGGCGTTTGAGTTTGTTCGTGAAGGTCATGCGCTAGATCCCATGACTATCATTCAACAGCAGTCAAAATTTTCAACGAAAAAATCCTTGGCGGCGCGCGACCACCTTCGGAGGTTTCTTCGCCCACAACGTGGCTGCAAAGCGACATACTCGGTATTCTTAACACAGTGTCCTGCAACATTCGTAAGTGTACCTCGTTTCATGAACCCTGCGCGTCTATTACAGGCTAATAGAGCGCCAGATACCGATGCGTCAGCGAAGTCCTGTCAGATCACCCATTCAGGGGTAGAAGTTACAATTTTCCAGTGAATGACTAGGAACCGACCGCAAGGATTTCTTCAGGTGAGGGAAAGACCACACAGGTTCCGTATTTGTGTGGTTCACCTTTGACACTCCTACGGCCGGATCGTCTTCTCTCCTGCCGAAGTTGAGCTTCTCTGGAAAATTCTCGGTATCCGCAAACCATGTGGTTGCTTTTCCAGCATATCCTTCTTTGTCTGTTCCACCATCTGGTCTCAATCACAATTCACCTGCCGCAGTTCGGTGGCGGTTCGGTGACCAGCGGGACCATGGACTCGGCGTGGCATTTGCAAATCGGACGAGCCAGATATTCTTGTGGCTAGTAGCTTGACGCCTACGCGCAGTATTGTTACGACGAGCAAAAGCCTCGGCCTTCCTGGTCAATCGAGAAGTTTCACCGGAGACGAATTTGGATGAACTTTTCCAATACATGGGAAGATTGATGAGCCAGGTGTGAATATGTCGCTTAATGGTAGCAGACATGTGTATCTGACAACTTTCCAGTTCGAGCAAAGTCCCGAAGACTTTGCCTCCTCCGGCTGCCCTGAGATTTTGGAGTCTGGAGTCTGTATTTGGGTGGTGTTCCGGAAATTGACATAGAATTTACGGAGAACCAGCTTCTCTAATACAGTCTAGGTTCGCACTTCCGCATAACCACATATCGATTCGCCGTCTGACACGACTACATGGACAAACATCCACCACATCAGCCCACTTTCTTCACTCATGTTTCTTGTCACTTCCGCGCTGTCCGATGTGCATCTCGTCGGCGGACCTTTGCGCTGCCAGGTTTGGTCACACTGAACAAATCCGACGAAGATGGCGGCCGACATGGATGGCTACTTTGCTATTGCCCTATCCTGATTGCTGGATGCTTCCCATCAAACAATGGCAAAACCCGACAACCTTGCATCATCCTCGGACTTAACACCTGGCACCTGACAGGAAGTGTTTTCCTCAGGACTCGCATCCAACTCTGACTCTCAGTGCCTTGTACTGGAAAGCTCCTTGCCGTCTACGGGAGGCACGCGCTGCGCAGGTGGCTTCCTAGAGCATTTGTCCTCTTCCTGGAACTAGGAAAGTTAGAAGGATACTCGTCTTCTCCTAACACAGGGTCCAATGACTTCATCATGGCCGCGGCTCTACTGGATTTTGAACGTTGGTTTTTCCGTGGTTCGCTGCCCCTGTCCGGCGTTGCCAGCAAGGCACCGAATTACTCTACGTGAATTTGCCTTCCGGGATCCAGCTCGGTTCCTATACATGACTGTGTCATGTGCTTGGTCCGCAGTGAAGCTAGGACAGAACCTGCCCTTCTGAACACCCCAAGAGCGCCTTCTCCCGGCAGTCATTCCTTGCCATGAGCCTTGGGCAGACAAATCCCCGATGTCCTACCGCGAAGGACGCGTGCAAGCTTATACCGTGATGCCTGTTGAGCAGGACTTCTCCTTGATGACCTTCGTTTACGTCGACTATACGCTTGCTCAGGTATAAAAGCCGCAGAGAATGTGGATCGTATTGGCAGATCAAGTTGGACCAGCAAGTCTTGCGTGATCATCAACATGCAGTACCTCTTCTCCGCAGCTGCCCTCCTTTCGCTCGCGTCGGGTGCCTACGCACAATGTGGTGGCCAGTAAGGTTTTGCTTTGCAGTTTTTATCATATGGCTGACGAGATACCAGGACCTTCACGTGAGACCCTACTGTCGCCTCTATGGACTAGACTGAGATAGAGGTAGTGGCTCTACTACGTGTGTTGCCGGGTACACCTGCACGTACTCTAATGCGTACTACTCGTAAGTAGCTAATTCATCCTGGATTGAAGGTGATGTTCACAGTTCACTAGGCAATGCTTGCCTTCCTCCGCGGCCAGTGGTACCACCACTGCACATCCTTCCTCGAGCGCTACTCACTCTACTACTTCTACTAAAGGTACCGCTACTAGTACTGCGTCGGGTTACGTTTCGACCACCACCCCTGCCGCAGGCTCGGGTAAGGTGAAGTACGGCGGTATCAACATTGCTGGCTTCGACTTCGGCTGCGACACTTCTGTCGGTGATGAGACACCTGCTCAGGAACTGAACTAACGTTGGATGCTTTAGGGTGATTGCACTGCCGCGAATGCCTACCCGCCCTTGACGCAGTACTACGGACCTGACGGCTATGGCCAGATAACCCATTTCGTCAAGGGCAAGCACCTTCCTTTCCGGACTTTGTGTCGGGGATAACATGTCTTCGTAGATGACAACTTCAATATGTTCCGTCTCCCTGTCGGCTGGCAGTTCCTCACTAACAACGTCCTGACCGGTGTAAGGACGTGTTTTTTTCCCTACCTTGCAGTGTTTGATCAGCACATCATTGCTTTGTAACAGACCCTCAACTCAACCAATTTCGCTGAGTACGACACCCTCGTCCAGGACTGCCTCGGCCTTGGCGCTCACTGCATCATCGATATCCACAAGTGAGTTGCAGTCCTGTCAGTATGAGAATCTCTAACTAGTATCTTAGCTACGCACGCTGGAATGGTGAGATCATTGGCGAGGGCGGCCCCGCCAACTCGATCTTCGCATCTCTCTGGTCCTCCCTGGCCACGTACTACAAGAGCCAGCCCAACGTCATCTTTGGCGTGTAAGCACGCTTTCACTATCCCTTTAGGACCCATTTAATGTCATGCAGTATGAACGAGCCTCATGACCTGACCAGCGTCACTACCTGGGCTGGCACCGTTCAGGCTGCCGTCACTGCCATCCGCAACGCCGGTGCAACCTCCCAGTACATCCTCTTGCCCGGCAACGACTGGACCTCAGCTGCCACCATCGTAAGCATAGATTCTATCTAAATTCTGCATTGTTCTGATTGTTCAAAGTGGTCCGATGGCTCCGGCGCTGCCCTGCTCAACGTCACCAACCCTGATGGGACCAAGACGAACCTGATCTTCGATGTCCACAAGTACTCCGACTCTGACAACTCCGGCACCTCCGCCACTTGCGTCACGGACAACATTTCGACCGCATTCGCCCCCCTGGCTGACTGGCTCCGTTCCAACGGCAGACAGGCGATCAACTCCGAGTTCGGTGGTGGGAACAACGCCGGCTGTGTGTCCTACATGCAGTCCCAGCTCGCCTACCTCAACACTAACTCTGATGTGTACCTCGGCTGGACCGGCTGGGCTGCCGGATCCTTCGCGGGTCAGAACTACGTGCTCTCTATGGTGCCGACCAACACGTCCGGTGTCTGGACCGACACTATGCTCGTCGCTCAGGCGCTGGTGCCCGCCTTCAACGCCTGAGCGTTGAACCGCAAAGGGCTGGGACATGGTACCGAGTCCATCCATGCCAAGTAGTAGCTACTAGCTGTCTCAGCCCACTGTTCCACCCACACTCGAAATGGTATTAATGTTGTCTGTCCAATCAGTCGAACTCATAGCGCGCGAGTGGTGCTTTGTTTCTACTGTACAATATCACCCAAATTATCATCCCGACGAAGATAACCACATAGTAAAGGTAGAAATGCAGGAACGAGGCCCTACGACTTTGAGCTCAACCAGCTCAGCCTCCGACTGATCCAACTGCCTTCAACCCTGCTACTCCCAACGCCTTCGTCATCTGCCCCGTCGTCACCCCCAGTGTACTCCCATTCTCCAAGCTCAATTCGCCTCACGTTGCGCCGAACCACAGGATCATCCTCTGTGAGAAGAGCAGCGAGGGTCGCGAACTGCCTCGCAGTGAGAGGATCGTCGAACTGTGATGACAGTCAGGTGGACGCGCCGATCTACAACGTCCACGCCGTGCTCACCCTGAAGCACCAACCTCTCACTTCTTCCTCTGGCTCTTCTAACCACAAGCTGCACCCGACCGGCCTATCCGAGTACACGACGGGATGCGTCAAGAGCGCGTCGAATACTGTCCTTCCCCTTCTGCCCAACTGCCTGGCGTGAATACGGGGGCGCTGCTCCTCTTCATCCTGGAAGAGACGGATTGCAAGACGGCCGGCGTATGACCAGCAACGTTCGCCAGAGGAGAGGAAGGGGGTGCTGAAGGTCTCAGCGACGACGACGGAAGGGAGGTCGTCTGCTGGTAATTGGTCGGAGTGCGGATCTGCTTGACGTTCAGGATGTCATCACACGATAAGGAGATGGATTTGAGGACAGACATGAAGTCAGCATATTGAGGTGAATGTCCTCCCTCTGCTTGCCCTTCGCCCGAGCTGACATGCCGCTCTTGCTGCTCATCATGCTCTCCTTCCTTGTACGTGCCCTTCGTCGCTCACGAGCAATGTCAAACGTTTCGGTTGAGCTGGAGGTGAACATTTTCGCTACTCCTCGTGCGGTATATTAGGTGTGTCGCTCAAGTCCTAGCCAGCGAGATGCTACACAGCGGGGCAGAAGTATGTATGATGTGGCAGAATTTGACATCACGGTGTTATTATGTACCATCGCCTTCTCGGGCATTGTCACCCTGCAGGAGGACACTCGTTCATCATGCCTCTGCCTCGCGCAGCAGAGTGATTGATCTCTGCGCAGTATGGCATCCCTTCCACCTGTCTGTTTCAGGCAATGCGGGTGAGCTGTTATTATTTTCTGTTCGGACCGAAGCAGTGCACATTCGCCCGTTTTTCATCGGCCCATCCTCCTGGTCAAAGTTAACATTGGACCACACATCGGGCCAATTATAACCGCACAGCCTTGGCCTCAACAGCGCGTGGAAACAAGCTGCGCAATGGTCGGATCCTACAGTTCACCCAACCGCTGGCACAAATACCTAGGATTACCTCTTGTTCTCATACAAGACGTGCTTCTTTGCCTTCCTGTCTTCTGGGTACACCAACAAATCAGTCACTGTGTACAACACGTGTGAGCCGCGTCGTGATTCGACCCGATTTGCATCGGGAAGGAAGATGAGGCCTGGGCAATAATGTTGTAAAGAAGTACAATCATACCATAACAGATATACAAGTTTCGAATCATGATACAGAGGTGTGAATAGAATTGATCCCGCTGGATGGCTACAATCGTTGGTATGCATGTGAACCTTCACCCGCCATCTACATAAGGAATACGTTACGGGTTTCTTTAATTGACGAAGAAAGTCCGACGTACCGAATGTCCGTTTGGACTAAGTTGGTGTCCTACTTTACCGGTATACCGTGACCGCGCTTCACGACGCCATTCAGTCTCTCTCAAATAATCACGACTTCCCGCAGACCAGGACATGTGTGCTGAAGTCTGGCGGTGTAATCGTCAATCTGGGACTGTTCATGACCGCCGGCATGCCACTTCAATCTGAGAGTCTGGAGTTGCCTAAACCCTCGAATTCCGTCCAGTGTGACTCGGGAGGCGAGGAATTGTGACTTTCGAGGTGTCCGTCAAGCCTCTATCAACAAAGAAGGAATTTCAGATCAGCGATACGAGCGGAAGCCATATGTCAAGACAAAGTGCAACAATGTCCGGAAGTGCGGTGCTTATGTCGGAGAAAATATTACAATCCGTCTTCTTGAGCGAAAGATCAATCCTTTGAATGGGCCCTGTCGACATTTGCAGATGATCCAGGCAGGAAGACAGACGTGCAGGCTCGACACTAGTCAATGACCCAACAATAGAGAATGCTTGGATGGGACGATCCCTTGCAAGGACAGATGCCATGGAGACATCAGATTCCAGGAAACGTAGTCTGGGGAGGCAGTTCGGAGGCAGGATCCGCAGCTCCTCGAGGACGTTCTCCATGCCGTGGAGACATAACTCTTCCAAGCTCGTTTGGGTGAGAAGGATGGGCAGCACAGAGGGCTGACCATGGGCATGGAACGTGAAGCTTGACAAGGGGCGCTTGATGCGGCCGAGATTGACAGAAAATGAAATTGGTATCCTCGGCTGGCTGAACGAATGGGGCGTTGCAAGGTGGAGCGTCTTCAGGCCAACCAGGACGTGAATCAATCGAAACATCAAGCGAAGATAGGCCGATGGTCGGGCCGCCTGCGAAACCTGGTCTGGTGAACATGTGTCGTATTCGGAAACCTTGCCTTGGAAATCATGATTCCCTAGGCGCAGACTGAGAGCGACTGTTTGAGACGCCAAGAACGGGTGTTTCACCACAGCTCGGTAGAAGTGCACGATGTTTAGGAGACTGCTGAGGTTGACAGCTCGGTATAGGCACTTGGTGGCGATCGCACCGATGTTGGAGTTAATCAAGCATAGCTGGATCAAATCGGCCTGATCCTCGATTAGAAGGACGATGTTGTGCCAGACGTCAAATGGGAGAAGAATTGTTGCAGGTGTCGCCATATCTACGACAACCGAAGACGGTCTTGTCAGAGAGAGAGAGCTCATTAGAAATCGTTTCAAGCAGAGTGTGCAAGGGGTTCCCTGCGTGAGCCGGAACAGCCCGATAGCACAGCGGCAGATTGGTTGTAAGGAAGAACTCCACTTGTGGGGGACCCTTGAGCAACACTAGCGATTAGCGCCGGCCCCCTCGGAACTGATTTTCCGAAGCTTGGCGACACCACGTGTCGTTGTCACGTCGATCCGTTCGCAAGTGGTCTCAAACTTTGTGGCTCGTTCGAGCCTGTGACTGGGCCACCATCAAGGTTGGAACCCTAATACAGCGAATGCCAAAGTGACCATTCCTTAGGGTACTCTCATTCACGGCAAAAGGGGCTGTGTGAGCCTCACGAACACGTTTCATCTCTAATACAGAAAAGCATATTACAGTGTGTCGCGGATTGATGAAGTTGTCAATGCTTGCTGTCTAGGCACCATCTGTAAAAAATGTGAGTGTGGAGGTTAACCTAGCGGAAAGATCTTATCAGGGATAATTTCTTTCGTGGTTTCAGTCGAGTTGGACGAAGCCGTCCCGTACGGTTGGGGATGGCGTTAAAAACCCATGTATTCGATCCATAGTGAGTTAAGTTCTGTCGAACGCAGAGTAGGACGTGCGTGGCGAAGTTCGACAGCGAGGCTTCTTAACACATGTGCACGGGTAGAGGTCGAGTGCGCGAAATTCAGCTGGAATGTGACGAGACGCCGAAATGCTCGAACACCCACAAGCGATCCATGGGAAGAAAGAAGTTCCACCTGAGATAGCAAGTAAGAACAAGGTGCATCAGCATATATGAGAACCGATTCCTACGATTTCCGACTCAAACATAGGCGCAAAGACGAGGAGACCAAGTACACCCAAGTTCGGAAGAGACGTACTTATTTGTGAGATAGTTGTTGAGTCTATCGTTTTGAGTCGAAGTCCGACCGTTCGGAGTGACACTGTTGACAACTTCAGGTCATGCATGCAAGCCGGCAGACTATGAAGGTAGATTTTGCCATCTGTGGTTCCCCGATAATGATCGAAGCGCGCTACAGGACGGCCTCGTACAAGTACAGACGCCAAGTGCATGTCAGAGTGTAGCCGGTGCAGTCTTGGGAGGCAAGCCGGAGGTAGTGTCCGAAGCTCTTCGAGAACGCGTTCGTCTGCACGGTAGATGACAAGATGTTTCAATCTTCTTTGTGATTGGAGAATAGGAAGCAAAGAGCATCGCTTGACGGAGCGAAAGGTTAATTCCGATAAATGGGGCCGTATGATGCCAAGGTTGGCAGAGAATGTTTTTTCTACGATGAACGGCCTGTCCTGTCGGGGTGCTAAGAAATGTAGTTGCTTCAAGCGCCCCAATCGGTTGATCAAGCGGAAAACCAGACGCAGTTGGGCGGACAGCCGCATCGCGTTCGACGATTCTCTCGATTCCCCTTCGAATTGGTTGCGATTGTAGTACTGTTGATATCTCAGGCTGAGTTCGAGGGCAGTGGTGTGAGACGCCAAGCGGGGTCTTCTTGTGATGATTCGGTGGAACTGCACCATGCGTACAGGCTGGGTGAGTCGGACCGATTTGTAGAGGCGCTTGGCTGCAATAGCGCCAATCTCGGAGTTGATCAAACACAGAGGAATTAGGTCGCATTGGTCATCGAAAAGGGATACGATCCTGTGCCAGATGTCGAATGGTAGGAGAATCGGTCGCTGCATCGCCATGATGAGGTGTTGAAAGAAGGATGAAAGGCAAGACAAGACCTGTTATGTAAGCAAGGTATCAATAGCTCCCGGTACAACTTGAAGTGTCGCCTTCTTCCACTTATCGCACTTCTCATGGATGATTTCCTGATGTTCCGATGCGAAACTAGCATTATGAAAAGTAGTCGGAAGTGGGTCCGAAAGTGCTTTATGCCACCCACTTGCTAACAACCAGCATGTCATTCCAGGCTCAGCTCGAACCAAGTCACAGCCCTCTGGACCTGCTTGCCGATATCCACACGCCAAACCCAGTCCATCGTCTCCCGTGCAACTCTCTCAAACTCCCGAGTATCATCCCCCACTCCAGGCGCACTCAGCTCCCACGGCCGACCAGTATCGTACGACAGCTCCTTGACGCGTTGTACCCGGTGCTTGCGGACGAGCTCGTATGCGTTCAGCGCGGCTGAGACGGTGCTTTTCGTGAGGTTGGGATGAGACAGGAGGTGTGCGAGCAGGTGGACGTCTTCGATCCCCTGAGATGCGCCGTTTCCCATGTGTGGTCTATAATTCGTCAGCGGATGATTGTGCAGCGAGAACGTGAGACAGACGTCATTGCATGCGCTGCATCTCCTAAGAGGGCGACATTCCCTTCGACGAAATAGGGCCAATCGGGGAGGTCGAACATCGCCCATCTGGAAGGTCGCTTGACTAGCTGTTCTACTCATCAGCTAGATTGCTGGATCTGTGTCGTCTCACTTACCTCGAGGATAGCTCTCACTTGCGGCCCGCACCCTTCATAGTCTCTCAGCAGCTCACGCTCGTCAACATCATGCTCGACTATCGACACGCATCAGCGACTCTAGATGAAAGTTTGTCCCAGAACTACCCCATTCCGGCTTGTCCCACACCGGGGTCCTTCCCTTCGTAAAATCGCTCTTGAACACGACGACATTCAAGTACCTTCCCCCAGAAACCGGATAATGGACGACATGCTCCCGTTCCTCAGCCCACCTCTCTGTTTCGAAGCACGAGACTCACGCGAGAATGCTCGAGCCACATAGTCGGCATCGCCCAGATCTCCTCACCCACCGCAGCGCGCACAAGATGGCTCGGGACAAGCGCGCGATACGCGTACGAGCCAGTTCCTGCAGCTCTGTCTGCCCGGAACGGGCAGACATCAACTTCCTTACCCTGTCGTTTCTTGTCAGCGTCGTTTTCCCCAAATCAAGTCAAGTCAAGTCAGGCCAAGTCGGCGTGAAAACTCACGTAGAACGAATCCCATCCGCAGCGAGTAACACATCTGCGTCTTCCTGCGTCACGTCGGCGAACTCCAGCCTCACGCCATGCTCGAGCTGGTCGAACCGTACCAACTGCTTGCGGAACCGCACGCGCTCTTGAGGAAGGTGAGAAAGCAGAAGGTCAAGTAGCTCTGCCCGGTGGGTGTTGAGTTGCCCACCAGGCATCTTCAGCTGCTCCCCCAGAGAGGAGCATCAGCAGGCGAGGCGCGGTGTTGGACAGCCAGGCACGCACGGTACAGAACGGTTCTCCGCGCTGTGTTCCCCCAAATCGGTACTGGAAGAACACCTCCCCCTTCCAACTCCCACCTTCACTCCCACCCTTTCTCCCATCCCGCAGCGCCTCCCCCCAGCTCCTCCTCGCCAGCCTCACATACTCCTCCCCCACCCCCATCTCCTCCAAGCACCGCAACGCGTTCCAGCCAATCATGATCCTCGCTCCTATTTCCGAGAACCTGGCTGCAGACTCGTACAGCGTGAAAGGGACGGAAAGACTCTCTAGCGCGAGAGCGAGACAGAGCCCGACGATCCCTCCCCCGAGGATGGAGATCTTTACCCTGGGCTCGGGTGTTGCAGCTGGGGATGCAGGGTTGAGCAGGGAGTTGACGGTTATCTGCTCATGGGCTGTTGTGGGATCTCTGGGTAGAGGCATGAAGGTCACACATGAGACACTAGACGTCCCCTGCAGCTAGCATCGGACGTGTTCACCAGCAAACCTAGCTCCCAGACCAGCGAAGCGAAGCATACGACCCGGGGCCGGATGCTCACCGTGGGCCGAAGAATCAGCCGATCAGTCCATCAGTCCATACTCCACACGAGACCGTACCCCGGATTGGACGATTCTGCCTCAAAGGTTGTGCCCCCAGTGCCCCCACCAGCGGGTGCGAGAAAAAGCCCATGGGTTAACGCCGATGCGAGTGATGCGCTGGACTGTGGGTGCTAGAGACGGCCGCGGCTCTGGCGCGGAGGGCGCGTGGGGGGGGGTTGTGGATACAGTAAGGGATATGTCGACAGGAGAGGTATGATGCTCTTCCTTTCCCCTTCTAACCCGCATCCGCCAACTCCGGCCGTTAGGAGCTAGAAGGGAACGCCGATGCTGCTTGGGCACACGATTCTTCTCATGCGCAACATGTTCGTTCGGGCGCGTCCAGAAAAGTTCTTTTTCTTTGGTCGGTTTTGGTGTTTGGTATCAGTTGGACGGTCAGAGATCATCATCATCATCATCATCATCGGTAGTCTGAGTCATCAGCTCGAGCACGAGTAAGCACCCTCGGGGAGGCTATCATGCACCGATGCATCTGCACATTAATACCCTACACCGCACAGAAATAGGTTATCAGACGGATGGCACTGTGGCGATGATAATGTACACATTTCCGGAAATGGCAACTTATCCCCGTCTATCTCCCTTGTGCGTGATCGGTCCCGCCAAAGCTGTCCGTAGGCGGCGCAAACCAAATATAGTTTCGCGGAATGTACCTCGATCATCTGATTATCATAATCGACCTAGAATTTATTGACTGTTTAACTCTTAGAGGTTTCAAATGCATTGATTGTGAATGGGATGGTAGCTCGGCTCCGGTGTTTTGCAAGTGCCTCCGCGCCGATTGCGGTCGTGTGATTCGTGTCCCCTAGCTTATTTTCACGTTCCTTGTCAAAGACAGGTTGGGTGTTGGGGGGCGTTCACTTCACCTCAGTCACTCACTCGCACTTCGATCTGCATTCTCTCATTCGCTCATTCCTCATCATCACCTCTCATAGTGCGTCATCTTGAGCTAGCGATCGATCGCACACCCAGCAATCGCATACACTCCACCCCCAAAGAAGAGAGAAAGGATGCTAGTTCCCCTGCTTTTCCTCTTCTCAATCCTATACCTCGTCGTCAACCTCCGTCCTTTCTACTCAAAGCAAACACCTCCCCAACCAGCTTCGAACGCAGACTCTGCATCACAAGGTGGTGAACAGGAAGAAGAGGATATGCTTTTGCTTGCATTGACAGCTCCCACGGAGAGGATAGGGAACCTCAACCTAGGCAGGAAGCACCCTGCCCGCACCCAACAGAGCACACGAGGTCGACGTCCTCAGACTTTACTACCTTTACCCCAACCACAGCCCAACCCTCCCTTCCTCCCAAGGAACCTCTACCGCCCACCAAGGTTCTCCCCTTCACCTCGCACCACTCCCTCTCTCTCCCCTTCCCGCAGTCCTTCCCTCCCAACTTCATCAGGCACAGCACGCACTACCAGCACACGCGACGCACCCAGCACAGGCGAAGTCTCGTCGTTGAAAGCGGAGATATCCCACTTGAGGATGCAGCTAGCCGACTCTAGGGCAAGAGAAGATCATGCCCTGCTCCAAGCACATCATCTGCAACAGGTACTCGCTACTTCCCTCAGTCACTGGCCGCCTCATCCAACACATTCGACGCATACACAAACCCAGTGGATATCTCCCCCAGCTCTGCACTCCCATACCCATTCTCCGGCATTCTCACCCACCCTCGTCGTCCCCCAACCGCAGTACCCACCGGGTTACCAAGCGATCCAACAACGGTATTCTCTTCCACCCGGTGTCGGCGCTTTAGGACCATACACCGTCCCCCCTCCCCACGCGCATCATCCCCAAGTCCAAGTTCAAGCCTACCCAATCCCCATCCCACCCCTGACCCCGAGCTCGTTACTCTCTCCACCCCTGCCCCACCTCCCACCTCCCCCGGTCCAGCAGCACCCAACGGGGCAGGAAGGGTTTGCGGAAGCGTTGGCTAGGGCTCTGGCGGCTGCTGCTGGGTTTGGACCGGTTTCACCTACTGCTGAGCAAGCGGAACAGGGGAGGGGAGAGAGGAGGGATATGCAGATCCTTGGGGAGGGGCCGGTGCCTCTACCGGTACCTAGGGAGAGTGAGAGGGAACAACCGAGGGAGAGAGAAGGGGAAGAGAATGGCAAGGAACGTGAGCGAGAGAAGGAAAGGGAGAGGGAGAGGGAGAGTGCGAGACAGGACCTGTTTGGGGCGATATTGAGGAGACCGGGGGTGCATGGATTTGCTGTTGGTGCTGCTGGTGCCGGTGCTGCCGGGGTGAGCCAACTACAACCCCAGCTGGAAACGCACCAAGCCGCGGAACTGCTGCAAGTACAAGAACCGGTCCAAGAACAGCAACCCCAACTCCAACTCCAGGCCCAACCACAGTTACAGCCCCAGCCCCAGCTTCAGGGGCAAGACGACACCCAGCTTTCCCTAAGCTTGAGCTTACCGAGTCTGGACAGCTTACCGACTGAACTGGATTCCTCTGGTGAGGTCGAGCTTGGAGAGGGGGAAGGAGAAGGAGGGTTGGGGTTGGGGTTGGGTCTGGGGTTAGTGAAGGGCGTTTCAGCACCGTCTATCCTTTCCCTTTCCCTTTCCCTCGACAAAGGGCGTGAAGAAGCGCACCAAACAAACCCCTCAGACACGCTCGCGCTCGGAACCTACGGGCAGGTGGGACCGGAGCGCACTACAACCTCTAGCTCTAGCTCGGGGTCAGGCTCAGGCTCGGGGTCGGGCGCATATACGAGCCAGAACGAGAGTAGGAGGTTGACCCCGGATTTCTTCCCCTCACTTCCTCCTCCGCCCCCGCCTCCGCCTTCGTTAGTCCCTTCGGCGCCTTCCCTAACCCCTGCGCCCGTGCCCGTACCCGCACCTGCAGCGGCAGCAGCAGCAGCGTTGAAGCCGTTCCCTCCCCCTCCCCCTCTACCGGTAGTGCGTGTCCAGCCGTCTACGCCGGTGTCTTTTAATTCAGAGAGCTGGGAGGGGGAAGGAGAGGAGGAGGAGGAGGAGGAGGAGGAGGACTCTCCCCTGCCGCTGAGGTTGGACCCGTTAGCTGATCCGGACTGGGGATCTGGGGCTGGGGCTGAAGGGGAATGGCCTGTGGAGGAGATGGAGGAGGAAATGGGGGTTGCAGGAGGGGGGATGGGGATGAGGCAGTCTGTCACTTTGCCGTCGTTCCCTCTCCCCACAGAAGAAGCAAGCTGCCCCGCCGAATTCAGAGAGGGGATAAGACTACCCAAGGAGGGGGGAATGACCGCAGAAGAGGGAGGATCAGGGGAAGGGGCAGGGCTAGAAAAACATAGGAGGAGCGTGACGCTGCATACTACTGTTCCCCGTCTTGAGCGGGGGAGCGAGGGGTTGGGAGAGGGGACGGGGCTGGGGTTGGGGGTGGAGGGGGAGTTGGGAGGGGATGGAGAGGGGGAGGGGGAGGGGGAGTCTGGGTTAGGGGAAGTTTGAACGCTGTGTCAAGTGCGAACTTCGAACTTTCGCCCTTTTGACTTGAACACGGACTTACGTACGATTGACTAGCGACACTGGTCCTCCTCTCCCGCTCTCCCGCTCTCCTACTCTCAACCAGCATCAGCATCAATACCGGGAGGATCGCGCTCCCAATAGACGTACAGTATCTACTTTCACTGCATTTTCCCTTTCTGTTTCGGCTGGTTCTGTTTGCTTCTCTTTTTACTTCTTCCCCCCTCCCCCCCCCCGGCCCCTGTTTACCGTTCACTCCATCGCACTCGCACATGTTCGCTTCACTGTCATTTCCCACTCGAGCCTTCGTTCTTGTGCTTCGGTTTTTTGGATTCGGCCGGATTTGATACCCCCTTCCTTTCACTCACTCACTTCCGTTTATCACACCCACGCATACACACACGCGCACGCACACGCATGCACATACGCATACCTTGGAATCTGACAGCTTTGCTTTGCTTAGTCTTGTACTGTAGATGTAATCCTGAGAGGGAGGAAAAATGAGACAGATCACAACTCTCTAATTAGTTTGTAAGTGTTTTGTTTCGGATACTGTCGTTTCCATATCAGCACATCACTGGAATCAATCATGGCCTCTTTCAGTTCTCTCCCGGCCCAGATCAAGCGTTTGTGAACCGCTCCTCTCCGGATCCATCATCACAACGATACGCCAAATGGTATCCCTACCACTCGACGTCTGGTATAACATCCTATCGGAGCCTGTCTTACATTACAAGAAAGATCTGGCCCGGCTATGCCTGGTCAACTCCGAAATCGGCGCAATCGCGACCAAGTACTTGTACAAACGTGTCAAGTTCAACACGCTTACATCTTTTGCTCCGTTCTACCGAACTACAACAAGAAACCCGTTGTTGGCGTCTCATACTATCTCCCTTCAAGTGAACCTATGGACGTATAGTCTTGTCTCAGGAGGCAAGTATGGGTATTCGTACTCCAAACCAGCACCAGCATTTTCGCGCTTGGTCTTCCGCCTGATAGATACATTGGTCTGCCTGAAGTCACTGGACCTCACCATGCCCGATTCCTACAACAATCTGGTGATGCAAGTACCATTCTTTGTCAACCTCGGGAACATACGACCCCGTTTGATTTGTCTCTCGTTGTCTCACGTGGACAGTTGCTCTTTGCTCCCTGTGCTTCGTGACCCAATGGAATTGGAAGAGCTAACCCTGCGTGGACCTGTAGAACGTGACGACACCTGGGACGAGCTGCGCTCGCTACCTACATCCTGCCTCCCGAGGCTGCGCTCTTTAGAAGGTGATGCTCCCCGAGCAGGTATCCTCGCTCGAGGCCGCCCTGTGGAGGAAGTCATCTCCACCCTGAAATGGAACAATACAGAAGGTCTTTTACATGGGCTGAAAATGTCGACAGGACCGCTGAAAACAGTGTGGTTCAAAATGCACAGCTTGGAAGTAACGTCTCTGTCAATGATAAGTGCCGCTCTTCCGAACATCACGCACATGTATCTTAGCGTATTGGTATTCCGATCGGGCGAAGTATGAACCAGTTTACACAAGCGTTGATATGCTCGACGCTCATGCACTTTCTACAGGAGGATAGGCTCGAGGGAGTTCGAGGATTTCGTCAACTCCGAACATTTATCTTGGTATGGGAGGGCATGTGTTCCTTCAACAAATCCGACATTTCAGCCCTTGTTGCCCAACTTCGTCTTGACTGTCCGAGTCTGTGGACGGTTAATATTGATGTGTGGTGTAACGCGTGAAGTCGACAGAGGCTGCTTTAACTATCCTTTGCCTTCGCGCCATTTCTAAGACAGTCCCGATGTACGCTTCCTCAGGTATCACTGTTCTCCCGCCATACATTGTATTGCCCGCTTAGCGTCGCTCTCCTTAGATTTGTCTTGCGTATGCATATGTCGTTCTCTCTCTCGCCATCTTTTCGTATAGCCAGGCATTGATCCGCTTACGGTATCGCGATTGTAATCTCGAGATGAGTGGGGGAATGAGACAGCTCACAACTCTCTGCTTGGTTTGTTAGGGGTACCGGTTCGTTTCCATGTCAGCACACATCACCCACTGTTCCGACAGGGACCGGACTGCTCTGGCTTGGAATCAATAATGGCTTCTTCCAGTTCTCTCCCGGTATCAAGGGATTTATCGGACAAAACCACATTCAGGACAAGGAACTTGTAAATATGACTGCTCAGTGGAGGAGAGCGAAGAAACGAGCTGTTCACGCAGTGAAGAAACAAGGGGGATGATTATATAAGCACAGTGCAAAAGTAGTGCATGTGCAGGGACCCCGTGATCTGTGGTGTGCGCTTACGATGGACGGCGCAGGGTGCAAAACGAGAGGAACACCACCAAAAGCAGTGTAAGGGGTGCTAATTGTGAGTGGAAGGGCTTCTCATTCGACACATCAGCCAACTCAGACATTCGCACAAAGGGTTTTCTCCGATAATTCGCGTCATACTCCTGGTCCAGATCAAGTGTTTGTGAACCACTCCTCTCCATCATCACAGCGTTACGCCAAATGGTATTCCTACCACTCGACGTCTGGCATAACATCCTATCAGAGCCTGTCTTACATGACAAGAAATATCTGGCCCAGCTATGCCTGATCAACTCCGAAATCGGCGCGATCGCGACCAAGTACTTGTACAAACGCGTCGAGCTTAGTGAGCTTACAACTTTTGCTCTGTTCTGCCGAAGTACAACAAGAAACCTGTTGTTGGCGTCTCATACTATCGCCCTTCAACTGGACTTATGGCATCATTATTTTCACTCAAGCGAGTATGTGCATTCGCACATGAAGCTGGCGCCAGCATTTTTGCGCTTGGTCTTCCGCCTGATAGATGCATTGGTCTGCCTGAAGTCACTGGACCTCTCAACGCCCTATTTCTGGGACAATCTGCCGATGCAAGTATCATTCTCCGTCAACCTCGGGAACATACGACCCCGTTTGATTCGCTGCTCGTTCCTTGACTTCGAAAGATGCTCCTTGCTTCCTGTGCTTCGCGACCAAATGGAATTGAACGAGCTGAACCTGCGTGATGTAGATAACGACATCCACGACGAGCTGCGCTCGTTATCTACATCCTGCCTCCCGAGGCTGCGCGTTTTACGAGGTCATGCTCCCGGAGCAGGTATCCTTGCTCGAGGCCGCCCTGTTGAGAAAGTCATCTCCACCCTGGAATGGAATGATACTATAGAATGCCTACGTTCTCTTCTACGTGGGCTGAAAATGTCGACAGGACCGCTGCAAACAGTGTGTTTCAAGATGTACAGCATGGATGTAACGACTCTGTCAATGATAAGTGCCGCTCTTCCGAACATCACGCGTTTGTATCTTCACATCATGATATTATCTTCGTCATTCCAACCGGACGAAGTATGAACCAGTTTACTCAGGCGTTGATATGCCCGACGCTCATACACTTTCTACAGGACGAGGACCCCATGTATAGGCTCGAAGGATTTCGAGGATTTTGTCAACTCCGAACATTTGTCTTGCGATGGCAGGGCAGCTGTCCCATCAAGAAGTCCGATCGTCCATCCCTTGTTGCTCAACTTCATCTTGACTGTCCGAGTCTGCGGAAGGTTATTATTAATGCGCCCTGAGAAGGACACGCAAAGTCGATAGAGGCTGCTTTAACTATCCTTTGCCTTCGCGCCATTCCTAAGACAGTCCCGACGTACACTTCTCCAGGTATCACTTCTCTCCCGCCTTGGTGTCCATACATTGTATTGCCCGCTTAGCGTCGCTCTCCTTAAATTTGTCTTGCGTATGTATATGTCGTTCTCTCTCTCTCGTCATCTTTTCGTATAGGTAGACATTGATCCGCTTGCGGTGTCGTGATTGTAATGTCGAGACGAGTGGGGAAAGCGAGACAGATCACAACTCCGTGCCCGTCGCGTGATGGATCAGAACTTCCTTGCAAGTACTAGTGATTTTGCCGCGTCCAGATCACGCATGTGCGAGCTGTTACTTTCCATGTTAATAGAGAAGGCCGCCGTGCTTCGTGCGCTTGAGATCATGACAAGAGCTAAGGGAAAGTGGAAAACGCATCAAGGTTTGAAACACAAGACCTTTGAAGATTACCAATATTAATGCAATTCTCAGCATTTTGGTTCCGCATGGGACACTGGATTACCAGGAGACTCTCCCCAGCAACTGCCCCACCTCTCCCGCGAAAACGGCGAAGTCCAACTTCAGAACCCTAACATTGAAAATACTAATCATTTGGAAATAATTTCACCTCGAACAAGTTGGGAATGAAATATACTCTTACATTAACATAGTAGTGATGTATTTCAACTAAAACACAACGCGAGAATTTTTTTTTTAGCTTTAAGGACGCCGGCGTAATGTGGCTGTGCAATGGCTATGCGTCGGTCGGAGCCATGAATTCTCCGTTTGACCCAATGGGAGGGCTGCAAAAGTGCGGACAAGCGGGGGAGCCGTGGCACAGATCTCCCCAGCCAGGCGATAGAACCAAACTCTCACCAGCTAGGGGATCGTGCCGATGCACCGACGGGTTTCTCTAACACTCGACATCTGGCATGACATCTTATCGGAGCCTATCTTAGATGACCAAAAATGCTGGACCCAGCTATGCCTGGTGAACTCCGAAATCGGCGCCATCGCGACCAAGCACTTGTACAAACATGTCGAGCTCAGCAAGCTTACAAGTCTCGCAATGTTCTACCGAACGTTAACCAGAAACCCGTTGTTGGCGTTTCGGACTATCGCTCTCCGACTGGACCTAGGTCGTCATGGGCTGGGTGCTCGTACCTGCCGACTACGGGATGACCAAATTGCCTCCGAGGGCACAGGGCACAGGGCACACTTCTCGTTCGGGGATGACGCAGTTGATCAGCTATTGCGATCAGTGAGAATGGGATTCTTACAAATGGTGCGGCCACCAGCCTATCTCCGCTTGATATTCCGCATGATCGATGTGTTGCCCTCCCTGGATTCACTGGACCCCGCGGCATCCGACGTTACCACTGGGAGGATGGAACCAGTCCCATTCTCCGTCAACCTCGGTAACATACGACATCGCCTGATACACTTCTCGTTCCAGTCGAAATTTTGCATTGATGTATCTCTGCTTCCTGTGTTTCGCGCCCAAACGGAATTGAAAGAGCTGAAGCTCGTTTGTGTGGGAGAAGAGGACACTTTCGAGGAACTGCGCACGCTACCTTCATCCTGCCTCCCGAGACTGCGCTTGCTGGAATGTGATGCTCCCCATGCATGTGTGCTTGTCCGAGACCGTCCTGTCGACCGGATCATCCTCAACGTGGATTGGTACCGTAGAGAGAGTCTACGCTTTCTTCTAACCGAGCTCCAGATGTCGACAGGCCCGCTGCAAACGGTGCAATTCAAAATGTACACCATGAATTCAGCGACTTTATCCGTGATAAGTGCCGCTCTTCCGAACATCACACATCTGTGTCTCGACATAGTGTCTTTCTCATTCCAACCGGACGAAGTATGAACCAGTTTACTCACGCGTTGCTATGCACTACGCTCATATTATTTCTGAAGGTGCAACACCCCATGTCTGCGCTTGAGGGAATTCGAGGATTTCGTCAACTTCAAACATTTCGCCTGAAATGGCAGTATGGGTGTCCTTTGGAGGCCCCCGCAATTACAACGCTTGTTGCCCGACTTCCCCATGCCTGCTCGAGTCTGCGCATGGTTACTGTGCATTAAGACAGCGTACAATACGCCGATGGAGGCTGTCTTTCCTATCACTCACCTTTGAGCCGAGTCAGTGCGGACGTACACTTCTCCAATTCTCACATCTCCCTGCCTTCATGTCCGTACACTGTCGCATATTACCAGCTTAGCGTTCCTATTCTCAGGTTTATCTTGCGTTTGTATTTGTCGTTCTCTGTCTCTTCATGTCTCTTCGTATATCTAGCCACTAATCCACCTACTACATCATGATTGTAATCCGGAGAGGAGGTGGGGAAAATGAAATGGATGTCCACAATTATCACGTGACCGACGCGTCACCCCTGCGGCGTTTCCAATGATCTTCTGCGTTTGCTGTGTGGCACGTTCACCTCATGATCAACACAACGCGTCGCCGGCTTGCCCTGCCGTTCGATGTCTGGTGCAACATCATATCTTTCGTCCAACCCAGAACTGACTTGGTCCATCTATGCTTAGCGAACTCCGAGATTGGCACGATCGCAACCAAGCACCTATACAGCTCCGTCAAGCTCAGCAGTCTGGTACGTCTAGTGCAGTTGTACCGAACGCTCCAGAGGCGCCCATTCTTGGCGTTTCAAACTACTTCCCTCACATTAGAGTTGAATGACCATGACTCCCGAGAGAAACCGGACGAATATGCATCAGTCCACTCGCGGTTTCGACCAGAATCATTCTCACAGTGGTGATACGGCCATCCGCTGAATCATTCTCATGGATGGTGCGGCTATCCGCTTATTTGCGCTTGATCTTTCGCTTAATCAATGCTCTGATTGGGCTGAAAACGTTCGAACTCGTCACACCCGATTCCACCAGCGTGGCGGCGATGCCCAAGCTATTCTCTGTCAACTGGGGTATGATACGGCCCCGCTTGTTAAGCTTCAGTTTCTATTCTGTCAACGAATGCTCTCTCCTACCGATCTTTCGTGCCCAATCCAGCGTAGAGGAACTGTACCTGTTCTTTGCAAGCAATGAAATTCTTGAAGAACTGCGAACTCTGCCTTCGACGTGCCTCCCCAGACTGCTGTCGGTAGAAACAGATTCACACCTAACAGCGGCGCTTGTACGAGACCGACCCGTCCAGAAGTTCTACATTCACTGAAATGGGTGGTCTCATATGGATGGTGCCAACGATCTGTCTTCTTGCATGCTCGACCTGCAGATGTCGGCAGGGCCTCTCCAAAAGGTCGCATTGACACTCTCGAGCATGGACTCGATGTCTCTCTTTCGGATCAGCGGCGTCCTCTCCGACCTTTCATCTCTTTATATCATCGCGCATTTCCACCGATCTGAATTAGAAACGGTAAGATTGGTTACTCATCCCTTGACTTGCCTTTTGCTCATATGCTGTCGACAGGCGCTCACCTCTCCGCAAACCCTAGAAGCATTTCGACAATTTCGACGACTTCGGATGTTTCGCATCCACACTCTAGGATGCCAAATTAAATCATCAGTGCTTGCAAACATTATCATCCAAATTGGCCACGCTTGCCCCAGTCTCCACTCGATAAGGTTTGCATAAAACCCCGGAAGCAAGGTTGATTAGAACAACTTCACAAACCTCGCATCATTCACGCCATCTTCACCACTCAACACACACAAAATTCGGTCAATCAAATGGGAGGCGAGCAGGAAGGGGTCAGAGCTCGACCAATCGTTAAGCGGGAGGGCCGAGCTGGTCCCCCACTCTCCCTCAGCAAGAACCTGGATCATATACACTCTTTCTCTTCACATTAGTTTCATTCCCCTCATGGTTTGTCGGTTCTCGTAATAGTTTGTCACCCTCTTCATTCACTTGCACGTCTTCACAGCTGCGACCGGTGCTAGAACCGTAATACGTCGAGCCGAGGCAGAAGATAAAATGCCGCAAGTCAGGCGTCCGCTTTTTCGCGTGCGCGTAGAATTAAATCATGAAATCTCTGCGGGCTGCTATCTACCCTGTCCGTGTCGCTCTCTCCCATTCACAAACTCGCTTTTCATGCCCCGCTGCACCACATTATTGTAATGCGTCAACGAACTGAGCTGCCATTCAATCTAGAGAAAGGCATCTTCCCAGTCGGCGCAATCCTCGTAACTTCTACCGCAGTTTCCTATCTGTATCTCCAGATTCTCTGCACTTTCAATTGCTACGACTTGGAACACTCGGGGATCGCCTCTGTACTGATGACATCATACCCGTATTCCAATTGTGGCTGTGGCTTGCAACAACCCGGCAGTCACCGTAGGACCAACATTAATGCAACAAGGCTCTTCCCGCCGCTTCTTACTGTATTCCTACAGTATCCAGATCAGGGTACCGCACATCAAGCACAAAACACAAGCTTTCTCGGGACGGACGGCAAGACCTGGATTGATGCCGTATTGATTTAGGCATCAAAACGTATGGAATGACAGCTCCTGGTCCTGATCTGGGTTGCCTCTGCGCTCGCTCCTGGGTTCTCACTCCTCGGCAACTCGGTTCTCTTGCACCAACGACGGCCGCTGGTTCTTGAGTCCTCCACTCGGAAAATGCAACACCTCGAAGGGAGGAAGAAAGCTGTGGTGCTTCTCGAAGGCCGCAAGCGATGTTCCTTTAGTTTGCTGGTCTGATGCTTTGCTTGTGTTCTGTGTTGCTGGTACGATCTCTGGCGTGATCGACTGGAATAATTGGACTGGATGGTATGAAGAGACCTCCACGCTGTCTTGGTAACAGGCGGCGATCAAACAGCGGCGATTCAAACTCCTGGTAAATCGCGATGGCCTACGATCTCTGACCGCCCTCCGGCTCCCTCTGCCCAAAACAACAACGACGGCGCTCCCGATGCGCCAAATCCGTCCACTCCGCTAAGGATTGCCATCGTCGGCGGGGGCATTGTCGGGCTCTGCCTCGCCCTTGCCCTGCACCGTCATTCCCTCCCTTTCACTCTCTATGAATCAGCCTCCAAGTTCTCAGAGATCGGAGCAGGGCTGATGGTCGGGTGGAACGCGTTGCAGTGTCTAGAGGAGGTGGGTGTGGCAGAAGAAGTTGTAAGGTTAGCAATGGACAGTTGGTTGCATCCGCCTGATATCTCTGTGGTGGGGATGAATGGTACCTGTAAGGAAGAGAAGTCGGGAGGAGACGTATTCTTCCAGTATCGGTTTGGCGATGGGAGACGCGAGGAACCGATTTGCACTGTGCGTACCTTTTGCTTTCAACGCATATACATTGCTTACAATGAGATTGTGTTCTTGGAGCAGGTCAAGTCGCCCGGTGGACAGATCACCATTCATCGTGCGGATCTGCTTGACTTGCTTCTCTCTCATCTTCCCGAGGACCGAGTTCGTTTCCGCAAGCACCTCGTCCAATTCGAACATCTAGAGTACGGAGTGTGGCTCGAGTTCTCCGATGGGACGAAGGAGGAGGCAGACGTCTTACTCGCCGCGGATGGGATTCGGTCTACGTGAGATTCCCAGCCATATGTATGAATGGACGTTGACGGGAATTGGCAGGATGAGAAGGCTCATGTATGCTCGAACTGGCCAGGTAGATCTGCAGGAACCGAGGTGGTCCGGCTGCTTAGCATACCGTGCGCTTGTACCAAGTCATTTGGTGCGTGCTGCTGTGGGGGACGAGATCTGGGGCACGCCAATCATGTGGCTGGAACCTTCTCGTGTGAGCTTCATCTATGTTTGACGGCGAGACATGGACTGATGGGCGGCAGCATGTGGTGCATTATCCCGTCGCGGCAGGAGAGTACGTGAACTTCCTTGCGTACAAGAGTGATTACACGAAGGGTAGGGCGCCGAAGTGGGACGGACCGTGGGGTACGAATTCTATCACTTGCCTAAGCATTAGTATGCTGATTTATTTAATAGTTGAACATGAGGTTGACGAGCATGATATGCTGAAGGAGTATGAAGGCTGTGGACCGCAAGTGAGGGCCATCCTTGAAGTAAGTACGTTGCGGGGTGTGAGATCCAGCTGATTGGTGTCAAACAGTTGGTCGAGCGGCCTTCCAGATGGGCGATGTATGACATCCCTGACTTACCCTACTTCGTCCAAGGGAATGTCGCGCTATTGGGAGACGCAGCGCGCGCTATGACGTAGGTGGCAGTACTTACGCCTGGGATATTTGCTAATGAAGTGCAGACCACACATAGGAAACGGAGCATCTCAAGGAATCGAAGACGTCCATGTCCTTGCCCATCTGCTCGCACATCCCAAAGTGACGCGCAAGACCGTCTCAGCAGCACTGAAGGCCTACGAGCTCGTGCGCAAGCAGCGTGCACAACGCGTCAAGGAGCTCTCCTGGTGCTCTGGACGTATGTGGGATCTGAGTGCCCCTGGAGTTGGGGATGATGCTGGTGAGGTTGAGAGGGTGATCCGGGAGACTATGGATTGGGTTTGGGGCGTGGATATCGTCAAGCAGGTGCAGACGGCTGTGACGTGGTTTGAGATGAGTTTAGAACAGTGACCGAGGAGATAAGCAAGGTGCTTACATAACTCTACTGCGGGCTTGTTAAGAGAGACTGACTATAAGTTTACCCTTTTGTATCTGTAACAGCCAGACATGCAAGCAATAGTGGTTATGCTTTTAGGCACGGCGCAATCCAAACCGAAGAGGCCAATGTCGTTTGATCAACTGACACTCGGAGCTGCGGCACCGACAATGTAGCTACGTACACCGACGATACTTTCTTCTACCTCACCAATTGGACGACTTCCCTGTAGAGGACTCGTTCGGCATTTACATGTGGACTTCATATCCCTCGAGCACACAACCAATGACATTGCATTTGACATTATCCGTCTTTGTTAGACGCATGAGCGACGGGTTGAGGGCATCAGGACGCTGTACGACCGGCGATGTCATTATCTTAGGCGACTGCTGTTGACGTCGAAAAGCTCGGCGATCCTGGCTTCTCAAGCAAGACGAGAGAGAAAGACGGCACTTGCGATACCAATACCTTCTTACCATCAACTCTCATCTGCGACCAGTTGACGTCCGAGAAACTCTCCTACGCTCCGCTCGACCCCACATCCCAGGACAAGACAGAGGATGGGGGAGACAAAGATCTTGAGAGCAGAGAACCTGCCGGACTCGAGGGTGGTCCAGCGGTAGATGCAAGGCTAGACGGAGCAGAATGGGAGTGCCCAAAGGGTGGACGCGGGTGGTGGGTCGTTGCTGGATGCACGATCATGGGGTGCGTGGTATCGTCTTCACACTTTCGCGACTGACGAAACCTTTGGGCATGCAGTGGCCTTTGGTTGGGGCCTTCCCTGGGATGTCTTGCAGGCGTATTACAAGCTCCATGTCTTTCCCAACGAACCGACCTCTATTTTGCTCTTCCTGGGGAGCATGTCAGGCATGGTCATGAATCCTGTTGGTTTCGTTATTGGGAAGATCGCCGATCGGTAGTATGCTCCCACAATCTGAGACCTGAGCTAAGCTCACACGATCTTAGTGGTTATCGACTGTGTATTATCTGCGGAACCATCTTTGCGTTTCTTGCTATGATCTGTGCTGCCTTCTCGACCGAACTATGGCAGTTTTTCCTGACGCAGGTGAGATCCCCATCAATTCCGTATCGTGCTTGTCTCACATCGTTGTAGGGTGTCTTGCAAGGTCTCGCAATTGGTTGCATCCATCCAGTGGTCATGTCGTCCCCATCTCAGTGGTTCCGAAAGAAACGTGAGTTAGCGACTGGGATCGTTCTGACCGGTGCCTCATTCGGTGCATCCCCTTCAGTTTCGGCCAGTATTTTAGTCTGATATCTGTTCAGGCGGTGGGGTTGCCTCCTTCTGCGTCCAACAACTGCTCATCCGGCGTATCGGCCTCTGCTACACTCTTCTCTTCTATTCATTCCTCCATCTCTTCCTAATGACAATCCCTATATTTATGCTCAAGGACCGGCCGCACCCACTCTCGATTCGATTTCACTAAAGCCAAGATCCAGTGTTTCGACTTTCGCTCTTTCGCGACCCGATCTTCTGGTCGGTTGCTCCCGCCATCTTCTTCGCCGCTTTTGGTTATCTAGGCTTCAACTTCTATCTGCAACAGTACACCATCTACAGGCTTCCGACTCTCAAACCCTCGCTCTACGCCGTTCCTCTGTCCGCCGTGAACTTCTCCGCCGCCATATGCAGAAGCAGCATCGGGTTCCTGGCGGACAAGATCGGAGTAGTGAATACCTTCATCGGCTCCGTCTTTATGGCTGGTTTCGCCCAGCTCGTGTTGTGGAATTTTGCGGATAACTTCGGTCTCATCATCCTCTTCGCGATCGTTGTCGGGTTCTTCGGTGCTGCGTTCGTCAGCTTAACAAGCGTCCTGGGCGCGAAATTGTTCGGAGTGAAGGATCTCGCGGCCTTGCGCGGCCTTCTCATCATGTTTATGATGCCGGGAAACGCTGCAGGCCCACCCGTGCTCGGCGCTGTGTTTGCCGCTACAGGGGGAAACTGGCATATCGTGTTTTCCGTCAGTGGCGTATGGTGCGTAACAGGCGCATGTTGCCTCCTCTACGCTAGGTTCAAGAGAGAGCCGAGGATGTTTGCCATCTATTGATCATCTGACGAAGACTGCAATGTTTTTGTTTTTGTTTTTTCATGATTTGCATTCGGCGTGTCTAGAATTCATTGATGTTGTAAAACTACATATAATGACCAAGATATGACAGATCTATGAGTCATTCGTGCCGCCAGCTTTTAGCATTGCTTCATACCAAGATTACACAGTCACATTCTTGGAAACTTACTACCCCATCTCCATTGGAAACCGAAAAAAAAAAACTGTAGCAGGCATGCCAATCAACCCGCTACACCATGTACACCACATCCAACTCGTCGGGGTGATTCCTATAAGCGATCAGTCGCTCTTCGTCCAGCCAAGTCCAAGATGGCTTCCGAGCAAAGGGGCCTTTGACTCTGATCTCGCGGAATGGGAGGCGGGATTCGATCTCGCCTTCTTCAAATGCGGGGTGGATAATAGGCGTCGTTGCAGTGATAATCTTTGAACTTCCATCAATCGTGAACCCTCTAGACTCGGCCTCGGAAGCCGCTCCAACAAGGACGCCCTGTCGGAGGGAAGGAAGGATGTTGAAATCCGCTATGACATAAATGTAAGGTCCTTCGGCGTTGTTTGAAGGATCTATTCGCTGAATGACGATCCTGCTTCCATGCACACAGGGCGGCCCATGTAGACCAAAGTACATGTTCCCGTCGATTGAAAACCAGCGAGTGTTGTCAGGTCCCCACCAGTCCCACGGTATTGGCTCGGTGCCTTTCGGCAGTGTGGGGTCCGTGAGGACCGCAGGGTTCACGACAACGTTATAGAATCCCGAGAGGGAGAGGTCTATAGAAACCCGTATATAGTGTACACGGGCTTCAATGGGCAGCATCGAGCGTCGGCCGATGGGATTCGACACAGTCGTTGTGAATGCGAACGTTCGATCATTGAGTATTCGAGGCAGTTCAAGCGAGCGTTCCAGTTCAATGCTGGTCCCGAAAACGTAGTAATCAATGGTAGGAGGTCGATGGTACCCAGCACTGGCGATAAATGTTGTGGGAGACAAAAAGTTGAAAGACGTGTATGTCTTGCCAACTCGGAGTGGGGGTAACTGAGCACCGGTCTTCCAATTCCATATATGCAGCACCGATCCCTGCTCCGTACTTGGACTGGCGCCTATTATGTCTCCGCAAACATCGCATGGCACAGGGGCTTCTTCGTAGTACCGAAGACCATGTAAGTTGTTCAACGGAGGAGGTGGGTCGTGAAGTCCACAGTCGACATATCCAGAACTCCGCGGATGGGGAAAGCCAGCAACAGTAAAACATGAGGTCCGTACATTGGACGCTCTAGGCTACGATCAGACGGTTACGATGAAGAGAATATAATGAGGCTCACTCGTCCCGCGTAATCAAGATCAGAAGATCTTGGTCCGGGTCCACCAGAACAGCTTTTGTTTCGAAGGCATCCACCGGAAGGGAATATCGCGCGGTAGTGGACGCCTCTCCGGTGGAGTGAGTATTCAGGCGGACAACATCATAGTGGTTTCTGTCTGCTTCCACATATAGCCCTTTGCGGTAACTAATCATCGGCTTTTCGAGCGATGGATGTGGCAAAGAGATAGTTTCTTTATTCTTTCCTTCAAACCTTGCCCATGTTAAGGTATGCTGTCGAAGGAATGTATCCAGTTCAGGAACGGTACACGGGAGCGATTGAGGTCGGATAACATAGTTTTCCGCAAAGGCAGACAATCGAAATTGAAGCCGCAAAGAATCACGAATGATCGCGTGCACACGTGTCGATGTCTGAATTACTATCAGTCGTGAGGTCTAGTCTCATCGACCCTCTGGGGGTACTCACCTGGGAAAAGGTGAGTAGGTCTTGGATGGGAAGTCCGTCAAGGATATGGAGAATAACGTCGTCGTTCAGTCTATCGAAACAAGCCATGTACAATAAATAGCCATGCAAGAGGGGGGGGCAATAGCTATGGACAAGACAGGGGAGAGAGAGGTGAACGCATGTCAGGGGCAAACAACTACAGCCGTTTCTATTGAGGCTAACACCGCCACGAGAAGCAAGGCAAGACCCTATCTTTCCATTCTCAGCAAAACCATGTGAACATCCACATTATACACATAGTCATAGTCGCCGAACGAAATTCAGGCGAGCAGTAGACTTATGGCCCTAATCTGCATGAGCATGTTACAGTGAGCGTTGCAATTCAGACCTCCTGACCTGGGGCGGGGTCAGAAGTCTGAAGCTCAGTCAATTTCCTCTGGACCTCCGCCCACAGGGGCCATCTAAACCCAATGCGTTGATGGCGAAGCTTGACATTTGGCAAAATGGCGTGAAGAAACTCTGCCACAGCACCTGAGTTCTCGATCTCCGCCCTTCCAACGTCTAGGGAAAGTGACTGAGTTCGAGCGCTGGGAAGTAGCTCCCGAGGACGGAAAGGAACATCAGCTGTGAGGGATGTCACGGAGAATTTCTCGAGGAAGGGACAGTGTTCCAAGAAAGGAACGATCGCATTTAGAGTGAGCGCTGATTCAGACAGTAGTCCGCCTCGGGTGACGACAATCGGAAGACGGGAGCGCGTAGGTATACGATCGGGGGGATTCCACGATAAGGAGAAGGATCGTATATCGGACCATGCTTCGGCAACATTCTTTAGATCTTCATCGCAGATGTCAAGCGGACTGAGTGAATCAAATTTGAAAGAAAAATGTTGAAGTTGATGGCTTCGGCAAAGCACAGACAGCAGCGTGGGATAAAGGGGCAACGGCCGTCGCCTTCTCTCGTTAGATTTGTCTACGAGTTTGATGACAGCTTTGCGGAGGGTGATCCCGCAGTGGCGAAGGGCGTGAGAAAGCTCATATATTGGCTGGAAGGACAGGTCAGGGATGTACACTGCAAGATTGAGCTCGCCCAGTGTTGACGTGGTGAATTCAAGAAGTCGAGTAGAGGCTTCAACGACGCAATTCTTGAGGGATAGGTTATGGAGGTGAGGGAAGCCCCCGACGTGGACTCGCTGCAGACTGAGTGTGTGTTCCTCTTCTGGCTTGCCCTCAAGCACCAGAGATGATAGTATTCGCGCTTCAGACAAAGCTTTCAGGGTTTGAGAACCAACAGCCGAATACTCGCCCTTGAAACGAACCAGCCCCGTGTTGCGACCAATGAGGGCCGCGAGGTTCGAGTCCAAGTTGCCTGATTCTGGAAACGCGACACCCGTGAAGTCGAGATATTCCAAGTTTTGACAAATACTCGATGTATGGTCGAGTAGCTTGCCAAGGTACTCCCGACCAGTCGGGGTTACAATGGCAAGCCATGTCGCTGATGACAGTCAGCCGGTATAGTGTCGGAGAGATGAACGGCATGACCCTTTCGACGAGGTGAGGTGCTTCATGTATGTCGACCTTTAACCTTGTGAGATTTGGCAACACAATCTGGTCGAATTTGCGAGCGTATAAAGAGTATAACACCCGGTTCCGAATCGGATGCATGTCGAATTTGAGTTTGGCGTTCTGGACAAGGCTGGAATACAGGCTGAGCCGTGGACATGGGTACGGCAATTGCGTGCCGAGCGCCAAATGCGATACTTGATTGCCCATCTCGGTGAGAATGAGAAGCTTGCTGTCGTTGACATCGCGCCATAAGTGCCGCAAGGATGGGACCTGGAGCTCCTTGCATGTTTGTGCGAGTCGTGCGAGGTCAGAATTATCGACATTGGCAAAGATGAGGTCTTGAATGTTGCGTATGAGGAGGGCGCGGTGCATGGCCCGAGACCAAGGCAAGGGGAATCAAGGGCACTAAGGTGGACGTAGAGGTTGCAGCGTTGACATTTGTAGGCCCGACACCACGCTGGCAAGAAGCAAAGGAAGCGATGCTGCAGGAAGCTGTGATGAATGGGTAGCGATAACCACGTGCGCGCCACGCTGTTACCGCTTGGTAAGCTTCCTTTTGCCCTTTAGAGAGCTTCTTTTTGCCCTTTGGAGTCGCCCGTTGGACAAGACTGGACAAAGGTGAGTGCAGAGCATAAGCGATAGTTCAAACAGACCGCTTTGTACATAAGCGGGGCCCGAACGCACTGCATTTAGTTCTGGCACCAATTGCATCCCCGCCTTTGAGCGAATGTCAGGAGATGAAACAGAGGATAAACATGGCCCCCGCCGTCAGAGAGACATAATTGGCTTTGATGGAACCAGAACGCAATCTTTGGATCAAGTGTTCCCTTCATGAATTGGCATGAGCGTGGTCGATGTCCCTCATTATAGATTCTGGTACCGTATACAGAAGGGAATACTGATTCGGAGATGGCCGACAGAGATGGAAGAGATGGCGGCGCCGACGTATCGTATCTTAACCACGTGCCCTTCAAAAAGCCTCCGCCTCTTTCCTTCGCGTCCTCGACGCGTCGACCGCCGAGCTCGACAACAGCGACAAAACATATGGCGACACCATACACTCCCCTTCGGCCGGCCTCGCGCGCAACAAGAAGACACAAAAATCTCGGTCTCTCAGCCAAACAGCTCAATAAGGTCACTTCTACCATCGCTTCAGCGCGTCGAGGGCTGCGGGAAGCCCACGGGCAGCACGACGATGAGGATGACGACGACCTGCGGGAAGAAGAACGCGATGAGATTGAACGGGAGGTGAGCGATCGGGTCGGGTCTCTTGGTATAGGAATGGGAAAGAAGCACCACACCAGGGAGAAGGAGGCTGCAACAGCAGGGCCAAGCCGGTGGGCCGGGGCGGAGACCAGTTTTGCCGCTGAACCATCTTTTCTGCAAGCACCCCTCAATTCGCGCGTTCCGCCGCCGCCGGCATTCGATTCCCCTACAGCGAATACGAAGGGCAAGTACCGAGATGAAACGCAAGATGCTACCAACCTGAAGGGTTTGAGCTTGGAGCTGCAAGAGGCGATGGTGCTGGAGGATCTGCTATATGTCATGCTCGGAATCGAGGGGATGTTGATTCGGTATTCGCCCGAAAGCCCTCACGTGGATGACCCTCTGGCAGGCGCAGTATTTCTGTGCAATGACACTCTTGGTAAGTACCGTCTCAACAAGCGAAACAACTTGTGACCGAAATCGGTGAAGACCCGAGCATTAGAGATCTCATTATGCGGTTATTGCCAATCGCAACCCATTACACGGCACTGCAAGCTTTCATTGCTGCTAAAAGTATCGAAGGGTGTGGATTCGTGAACCATGCGCTGTGCGGTGCTCTGCGATCTGTGCTCCAGGTACGCCCTCCTTTCCCGATGACTTCCCTACGCGCTCATGTGAGCACAGGAGCATATAACCCTTGTAACTAGATTGGAGAATGCCTTTCTTAGTACGCCACGACCTGGGGAGCCTGGCCTAACCTTGCACTCTCTTATGCCACACCTGGAACCATCCGCGCGCACTCTAGCGCTACTATATACCCTCACCTCTTCCCTTCTACTTGATCCAGCAAGCGCGGGGAGCTCCTCTTCTGACGAAGAGAGCGACGTAGACTCCGAGGAGGAGCGACGGAATGCAGAACTTGGACTCGGCGGTATTGGCAATGTCATCAAGGGGCTAGGGGGGGACCCGGAGGAGGAGGGTGAGGTGCTGGGAGGCGAGGTTATTGCCATTGTTTGGGATTGTATGCGCAGGATGGCAGGGTGCGTCCCATTGATTAACTTCATCGATAACGTAACACCTATCCCGCCTAGGGATCCTCTCACACCTGCCCTGCTCAACCCACTACTCGCCCGGCTCTCTACGCCGTATGCCCGTACCCTTCTCGTCTGGGCCGAATGCGGCCTTCTCACTGACCCCGATAACGAGTTCTTCGTCCGCTCTCAACCGTACCTTGCACCATCCTTCCTCGAGCGAGATTACACAGATGAGTATTGGGACAGGAGGTATACGTTGAGGGACGGCACGCCTACAGAACCTGGGCAGAAGGAGAAGATGACTACAGGGGTTCCGCTACCAAGGGCGAACACTGGTCGACTACCTGGTGGCGCCTGTGTGCCTGAGTTCTTAGATAGATGGAAGCGGAAGGTGCTGCTAGCCGGCAAGTATGTGAATGTGATCCGAGAATGTGGAAGAGATGTTGGAACAAGGCGGGAGGACTGGGAGGGCGGGATGGACTGCGAACCGTGAGTTCGTCCGGACAAATGAGTAACCCAGATCTAACACGTTCCTGGAGATTTTATAAGCGCATCGAGGACGCGTATCAGCATGCGAATCGCACACTGCTAATGCTGCTGGTTGAAGACCAACAGCTTATACCGCGCCTGCGCTCGCTGAAGCGCTACTTCTTCCTTTCTCAATCCGGCTTCTTCAGCCACTTCCTTGACCTCTCTATGTCCGATCTGAAGAAACCGTCTCGAACCGTCTCGCTACCGAAGCTGCAGGCTCTGTTGGAAGTTGCAATGAACTTGCCGGATGAAGGTGTCGGTGGGTTCAGGGAAGATGTGAAGCTCACGATGGCCCGGGAGGGCCTCTACGACTGGCTGCTCAAGGTCGTTGCTGTCAGTGGTGACCTTGGCTCCATTGGCGGCAGTGCGGTGCACAGTGAGAAGGACAAGGAGAAAGATAGCAAAGACAAGAAAGACCGGCGTGATCTTCTCGGTAAGCTCTACCCGATTACCGCTAAATCGTATGTTAAATCTTAGTGATAGCGATGGATGCCCTAACATTAGATTATGCGGTCACCTTTCCACTGTCGCTCGTCATCTCCCGGAAGACGCTCCTTCGATATCAGCTATTATTCCGTTTTCTGCTACACCTTAAAGTGACGGAACATGCTCTACTCGGTATGTGGACAGATCAATTGCAGCCTGTCTGGCGGTCGCGAGGCCCAGTGTCCACGTCGTCAACACCGATCCCCTCGGTCTCATCAAGGCCGGGTTCAAGAGCAGCAGCTCCGTCCAGGGCTTCCTCAAGAATGACTGCTTCCCCTTTGCCATCAACCAGCTCTCTTCCTCTTGTAGAGGCATCGGAGCACGAAGCGTGGCGCAGACGCGTTTTCAACCTGCGTGCTAGGATGTTAGCGTTCGTCCAGCAAGTCATGGCGTACGCAACAACGGAAGTGCTTGAGCCTAATTGGCGCAAGCTGGAAGCATCACTCGACAAGGTCTCGACGGTCGATCAGCTATTGAAGGACCATGTCGACTTCCTAGACACCTGCTTGAAGGAGTGTATGCTGACCAGCTCGAAGCTGTTGAAGGTGTACTCACGGCTTCTCCTGACCTGTTCAACTTTTGCGAATTACTCGTCAAACTTCAGTAAATGGGCTGCAAAGGGCGAACAGGATATGCAAAAGCGATGGGAATTCTTCCAAAAATTTGAGGCCAATTACAACCATTCATTCCAAGTAAGCCACCATATCTCATGACTATCACGGCTCTGACGTATAGCATTGCAGGTTTGCATGGACTGCTTACAATTCTATGCCTCAAGTGAAAATACCGCTCTCCTTAGTCTAGTGGTACGGCTCGGCAACAATGGCGCAAGAAGCCAGGGTAGCTAAGTTGATATGAAGAGGGTAGTGTCATCAAAAACGTCTTCCGTGCTGTCTTTCGATCTTTCACCTTGGGAGCCCAGTTGTCTCAATGTAGTTATATGTAATCTGATTGTTTCATGGGTGGAACCGCATTTCAATTACAGACTCAATGAGTGCCATTCACTCCATTCGTCCCGTTAACGGCTGCCACAGGCTGCAAGATACCGCTCATGATCGGCTTCAGCCCGTCCCGGTAAACGCTGCCTGGCTTGGGTTTGATGACCTCTTCGATATTCTGTCTGGGGATCTGGTCCCTCGGTAGCCGTTGGTTCCATTCGTGGATCTCCTTGGCCTCTACGAAATTGCCATGCAAACCGGTACGAAGCTTGAAGGGCAGCTTGATGACTGCGATCGGACCATCCTCAAACGGCCGGGCCGTGTCAAGGATTACGAGGTCGTTTCGAAGCTCATCGAGTCGATTGACGAGACCCATCAAGTAACCATCGCCCTCCGGAGCGTCCGCAGAGCGTGGAATGAATACAGGCTCTTGAACGGTTGAGCAATCGCCTGCGAACCAGACAGACTTGGAAAGCGTCTTCCAGTCAAAATGGCCATAGCAGTTGAACAGGCCTCCAGCAGGTGGGCCACATTTCTATTTCGCCAGTCAGGAGGGGATTCGGGGTAAAAGATATAGTGTCACCCACTTGGAAGTTGTACGGCTTGGTCGGGTCGATGACACACAAGAAGAAATGATTATACGGTTGTCCGAGATAGCGATCATCGGACCTGGCAAACTCGCCCTGTGTGTCGAACAGCTCGTAAGGCTGGTACCGTGTACCGGTGGGTGCCTTGGGATCGAACACCCAACGGTGCATCGGGGACGTAAACTTGACACGTGCGGGGGCGGAAACCTTGCTCTCGTCTTCGGGGAAGAAGTAAAATACATTCCCGTCTGCGACGGTTAAATCCATTACTATCTTACCTTCCTCGTTCTCGTATGCGTTGGCCACTATCAACATATCAGAAAGAATCCAATGAGCTCGATTGAAGAGCGCGTACCATGTCCGTGGAAGGCGTTGTCCGCATAGAACCATTTTATGTCCTCCGATTTGGCGCCATGCCGCGGCAGCACGCCGTAAGCCTGGTCCAGCTGAGGCTGCCAGGCGAAGTGGTTGCCACCGCGCTTGATCCGGTCGATATCAGCTGTGATGGATGTCAAGGGGAAAACTAGGGAGGGGTGAACGACTCATCCATGTACGAAGAATCATTCACCCACTGATATAGTTCTTTGTGATCCCAATATCATGTATCATCCCGCATCACGGTGCTTTAACCCAAACCTCTTCTGTCTTCTTCCCTTCTTTGTCCAAGTTATATACCACAACGTCCTTGCTTCCTTCGCCCTTGGCCTCATAACCATAACATACCATGTCCCCGGTGAGTGGATCGAACTTGGGATGTGCAGTGGAAGTGGGCGTCTTGATCTGCCCCTGGAAGTCCCACACGCCGTACGTCTCCAGTGTTGTCGGATCCATTGCGAAAGGTGGGCCGTCTTCCTTGAGAGCGAGCAGGACGCCGCGATGGAAGACAATGTTGGTGTTACTGATCGTACGCAATACCCCCTCCACTATCGGATTGTCCGTATATGCGTTGCGATACTTGCCTGTGTACACGTTAGTGACTAGAAAGGATACGTAGTACGAATCGGCGTACCAAAGAGCGCGCGTCTGTGTCTCTTCTCGGCGAGGAACCGATGGGTGCGAACCGCCATCTGCTGGAAATCGCATTCTCCGTTCGCAATCTTGAAGGCGCTGATAACACCGTCACCGTTGAAGTGGATTTCGTTCTGCAATGAATGTATCTATCAGTCATCGCGTTACGCGTACCGCCGAAGCGTTGCGTACCTGAACAAAGGGCGGATAGTGGTGGTCTGGCATGACACGATAGAACGTCCCATCGATGGACAATGGGATCTCGCCCCAAACCTCTAGCTGTTCCACACACCCCTCGAATCGACACGGGGAGTTGAATCCTTGGAAGATATCGCCAGTGAAGTGCAGCGGCTTTTTTGACTCTGATCCAGGCAGGTCGACGGGGATGATGTCGATATGTGCCATCTTGTAGTGTTATCGGTTCGTGCCGTCTGTGCAGGAGCAGATATCCATATCACTAGTGGATCCAGGAAATATTTATCCTCATCAATGGACCACAATGTTCATCAGAAAGACGGGCAGACCAAGGGCCAAACGGCGACGCGTGATTCATCATGGGAAATCCTTTGAGGCTCCTCGGTGGGGTAAGGTGACCAGCGCGTTTACAGTCGAGCGGCCAGGAATAGCATTCGATCCCGATCTTGGCGGTAATTCATTTCCCCGCAATATTTCTCTCTACTCCCATCCTGTTCTGACATCTCGCTTGCGTGGCACCAACCAGCGGACGAGCAATTGTTATTTTCTCCACCGTTTTGGCGCACCTTACCTGTTAAGTAACGATACTAGCGTTCACATATAGCTTCCTTCTACATGTTCACCCCTGCCTTCTGTTCGGTGCCTGATTGGTCTCCCACATGTCGCACAGCGGCACATGCTGAGAGCGCCGATATTCTCTATCCTCATGAGTGCCCTTCATTCTCCCCCGCTGTTCACAATCGCATGCGTATGTCATTGCATACCCAGCCTCATTCGTAAATATGGCGCTCCCTCCTCCCGCCTGCCATCACTGAACTGTACAAGAAGATTTTTATCCCCCCATTTATTTCTTACATCGACCTGGCTACTCATGCTATGGTCTGGAATCGAGGCGTTTGATGGTTATCCATGACCTGCTTATTACCCCAACGCTCGACAGCTGAACTTATCACATGTTCACATGTAAACCCCTCGCTCTCATGCCCACTCGAACTGACGGAGGTCATCAATTTGTTGTATTCTGTTTTTTGTCTTGTATTTCTTCTCTCGACAGTTATATTGCATCTTCTATGACGATAATCAGATCGTTTCCTATTCATAGCAGGTGAAAGTGAAGAGAGTGTGGCTTGGTTAGTAGCATGGTTTGTGACGCGTAAGACCCATTCGACCTGAAGGGGAATATGTGGTTGGGGGCGTGTTTCTCAAGCCGGTCTCACAATGAGACACTGCCGTAAACCAAGACGACAAGCGCGTTATGGTGTCTAAGACACCGCGCGACTCTCTATTCGCGGTAGGATTACAAGAGTTACGGCGCACTGTTGTGCGCAACTGCGTTTCGCCACATCAGCCACAGAATCCCTGCCGAAACCAAAATGTTGCACGCGGCCTGACACAAGTCAAATGCCAATCGGAGGCGACTTGGCTGCGTATGGGCGGGAACGATCAACTGCGCTGAAGTGTCAGCGGATGAAAATGGGGGCGGACGATACGGACAGACGTACGCTGGGTGCACTGCCAGGAGGAATGTCGTGGACGAGTGGTTCCTGATCATTCTTCGTTAATGTCAGTATACTCAGCGAAACGGTGAAAGGAACGCGTCATACATGTTTGATATCAGGCGAGGATGCAGCGTTTTGGTTCGTGTGGTGACCGTACATTATGAAGAGCTGAGTGCTGTCGGTGACATTGGAGCCACGTGATACCTACAATCACGTGAGAATTGATTTCTGACGCGTGTGGGACCCGGGATCAAAGGGGCGACGCGTTACCATCCCTGGCCGCCCTTCACACACAGGCGACGACTTCGCATACACGGCTCCCAATCATTCTCAAGCTCGTTGACTGGTGTCCCTATTTACATTGCTTGACATAGCTTGTTCTGGTAACTACTTTTCAAGATGTCGACGAGGCGTGAAACGCGCTCTTCCACCCGGAAGTCCTTCCCTCCCCCGGACGCGTCTACGGAAAAGGAGAACATCAAGACAAGAGCAAAGCGCCATCAGAGTATGGGAGGCGCAGGTGCATCTGAAGCTCCTTCTATTGCATTCAAGGAACTCGTGATTAAGCCGTCTTCGGCAGAGTTAAGCCCGGCAAAGAAGAAAAGGAGAACGGCCGTGCGTTTCCTTTACTCAAGTTGTCGCACAGCAAATGACGTTCAACCCTTAGGTACCTAGGAAATCCATACTGCGGCGAAGAGATAACGAAGATCAAACTATGGACCTCACTCTCGCTCCTGTCACTGCACTATTGCCTGCGACCGCGGACGGGCAGGACTTTACAACGATCATGAACTTTGAGCCCAATACAACGGATGATCGGAGAAAGAGCCTGGCAAGGAGGGTCAGCTTCGCGTCACATGCCCATGTTCGGTGTGTGAATTTGTTGTTATTCATTCATCGTCTAACAGCGAACCAGATTGTTCCCCAAAGAAGCCCCAAAACCAGATTCCTCGTCTCCAGCGCCTTCCACTTCAGCTTCCGGCCAGTCATCTCATGTAGATCCTCCTCCGTCACCCTCTCCTACAATAAAAGGCGTTTCCTTTGGCGGTGTAGAAGATTCCCCTAAAGCAGAGGGTGCGGCCACAGGAACATCGCATGCTCCCAAGCGGAGGTCCAGTATTGCCAACGCAGGGGCTTTACTTGGCCACGATATAGCAGATGATGAAGATGACGACTCTTCCATGGACATCGATGATGATGCCACCAACATGTCCATATCTCATCCTTCGCAAGCTTCTCCAGCCAGTCCCATCGGCCGGGTGTCTATTGCCGGTAGTGTCAATAGCGAAGTGGACATGGATATCACGACAGCCGTTGGACGAGTAGAACAACTGGCGCATGACGACACCGCAGAGCACACTGCGTCAAGCAAATCCAGCGCAGGAAGCGAGTTTCTCTTCCCTCTGGGGAAGAACGTACCGGCGGCCAATCCCAAGAGTCGTCGGGGTAGTGAGCCAAGCGCACGCGACAAGGCTTGGGCGGCGCTTGAGTCCGTCACTAATGGTGTCAACAATGATTCCAGCGACGAGGACGAAGACATGGAATTGATGGACGCAACCGGCAGGATCCAAGCTATTAGACGTGCTTCTGTCATGACCACTGGTAGCGCTATGGATCTGGATGAAGATGATATGGTGACCGGCAAGATCATCCAGGGCCAGGGCGGTGCGGCCCGTATGTCTGTCGCCTCTCAAGGTTCCAACATGGATATTGACGACGATAGTTCGCATTCGGATGAAGATGATCTGGTCGATGACAACGACGCTGATAAAACTGTCAATTTGTCAACGATGATGTCACGCATGAGCGAGCTTGAACAAACTCCATCTCTTTCGCTTGATCGTGAAGGGCGGCGTCCCTCGGCTGCCTCCCCGTATTCTCCAGAGGGTGAGGAGGGCCCCATTATTACGATCATATCGCCTACCAAGACCGCGAAGATCTTACGGACAGAGACGATAACCACTTCAAAGAGTCTCGTTTCCTCCAACCATATCGCCGTGGAGAATAAGAAGCAGACTGTTGGCGACACGCCGACGAAAGCAACACTCCGTGCTATTCCTTCTGGGTCGACGCGTGACACAGTTTTCCCTTCTCCTCTCCGTCAATCGCCGGGCCGTATTTTGCGTTTCACTCCATCCAAGCTTGGTAGCCCTAGTCGAGTTCGGATTGAGTCGCCGATGCGGTCACCGGCACGTAGATCTCCCGCAAGAATCACGCTGCCTTCGTTGCGTGAAGAGCCTAGTTCCTCAGAGGAGCTTGGCAGCGATGATAAACCGAGAAGGCGGACGACCTTGACTAGCTTTTCTCCAGCTTCTGTGTCAGCATCGCACAGTCAATCATTGCTCCAAGGACTCGAAGACATCAGTGGGATCATTGATGAGAATGCGCTGCCGAATAATGTAAGAACCCCAACCGTCGCCTGCCTAATTTGCTGACAGTGACCATACAGGAACTACCTGTTCGCCAGTTATCGATCAATGAGTTTCTCGAAATGACTGGCGTGACCTTCATGGATGGTCTAGCAGTCAAACGGCGATCCACCGTGGGTCCAGGTATTTTAGGGTCGGTGCGGGATGAAGCACTCGATAATCGAGGTGCCAGCCGGGCGGTGGCAGAATATGTCTCAGCCGCCGCTGTTGGCATCCCACAACTCGAAATGTACATCTGGGCTTGCCAAGAGCTGAAAAAGAACATTGCAGCCAGTCAAGAAACGGTTCACAATTTTGACGACCAGGTGGAGAAGAGCAACCCCCTACTATTCCAAGATTACATGGCTGCCAACGAGGAAGAAAGGCCCCTGATGGAAGGTCAGCTGAAGATTATGAAGGCTCACGCCCGACTATGCGCGAAGGAGAAGTGGTATCAATGGCGTCAAGGCTTGGTACAGGACCTGCAGAATACGGTGACGGAAAATCTTACAAAACTCCAAGCCGTAAGCAGTTTCCCGCTCCTATTCCCTCATTTTCTCACCAGAAGTGAAGGACTACGAGTATATCCAACAAGTGCAGTCTGAGCTCAGCATATCGCTTCCGGAATTACGCGCCCGTCATGCTGCCCTGACCGAGCAACTGGGCATGGAGCGACGCAACATCCAGGAGGTAGAAGGTGACAATGCAGAACAAGTCAAAGAATTACGGGAGGGCATTGCGGAACAAAAGTGCGTCATCGAAATCTTCTGGCGCATCTTCACTAATCATGTGCAGCGCCCAAATTATGAGCTTCCGCAGTGATCTCGCCGAAGTCGCAGTGAAAACCGAACGATTGGATGGAAAGCTCGCTGATATTGAGGAGCAACGCAGGCAGCAGTTATCTGTGATTACCAGAGCGGAGCAGCACTGTCAAATGCTGCGAAGCTGCACGCGATCCGAGGTGTTCCGGTTAAAAGGTCAGTATGTTCTAGTATAAACAGGTAATGATTGTTGAAGTCGCTTTTAGAGGACTATCACGCATTGGAGCGGATGCATCTGTGGCAAGTCGTCAAATTTAAGGCTGCGGAGAAAGTTTTCGTGTACGATTCAAGGATCCAAGTCACATTATCACCAGGAAAGCTAGTCGATCCGGATGGCCTGTGCCTCCTACCTGGGCCAGAAAGCGAAGACAAGTTGACACGCTGCGTCCTTGAAGGGCTTTTCAGCATCATTCAAGATGGTATACAGTCACTTCCTGCGTATGACGCACAGCAAGTGGGTCGTGTTCTTCATGGAAACTGAATCCCGGCTAATGCCACTTTCCAGGTAATACAGGTCATTGGGTCGGCGTGGACCGCTGCAACACATTTGCTACTCGAGATCCACCTCGTCAACCAGAAGTATCCAGTATCAATCGTTCCACTGAAGTCATCGATTGCCTCGGGCCTCGTCATTTCTGCTCAAATCATGGTAGGGATGTCGAAAGTAACCCTGAGTTTCATGATCACCGCCGAGACGCTTCTGGATTGGCCGTCAACGTCATCTGCAATCCCATGTGATGCGAAACTTGTGTATGGTGATGTCGAGTGAGTAACTTTGTTCGCTGAGCCATATGCCTCGGCTAAGACCTCAACAGGATGGATGCTTTTGTCGAGGCAGCTCGCAGACGTGTGCGGCAAGCAACACCGAGTCTCTTCTATGGTTACCTGGTGGATACCTGCAGGGAGGCAGTCGCATCTCAGGCATGAATTCTCTCGGCTGCCTAACCCTTTCTGAATGTTCTTTCAACTCTGGTATTGACTTCGTGACGTCATTCATTCTTAACACAATATGTTGTATCTGTATAATGGAAACATTCGTCAATTGGGCAACAGAAGAGTCGAGTCCGCATGTTTGTTACTTGGTCTCAGTTAGGATACCTTCGCTTGGTCAATGCGGACTTCTTCGGAAACCAATATTAAACTGAGTAACAATCAGAGGGGCACACTGACGCTGGGGTACAGTAATTCCCCAGGCAGTGCGTGTATGTCATGTTGACGCAACAGCGTACATGTTCATTCTAACTGTTGCTCAAGGAATTATGCGCGTGCCATCAACGTGACCGCCCCACTCGGTCTGTGAGAAGTTAATGGGAAGACATGCGGTGCTTCTTTTCATTCCTGGGGCCTGACCCTCAACCAACGCCGTTGGTGCTGATTCGGCCTCTTCTTGCCCTCGACGTCACTCTCTCCGCCCGATAAGTTCGTTGAACTGGTGCCACTGCTGCTCTATGCTGAGCTCGTGGTGACACACACTCGGCTCTGAGTCTGTGTGAGCTCTAGACTGTCGTAGCTGTGCCTGTCCTTTCCTCAACTTCATGAGTGACGTGCCTATGACTAGGCGATGATGCTTGCGTGGGATCCACCGCTTCCTACTCTTGGAGGAGTACATAAGCTACTATTTGGACACCTTTACAAGTCTGTCTCTCCCCACACGTCCTCTCCCCGCGACTTCCCAATCACATCCACACGATGCAGCTCATCCGTTTCTCTGCCTTTCTCGCTGGCATGTTCGCCCTCTGCAACCTGGGTCTCGCCCACCCAGCGTTAACCAAAGGCCAGGCAGACCAGTCCCAGATTACCTCAATCATGGACACGCTACAGAGCACCGTCGAGTCTGCTGTCGGCTCCCTCAGTGCGTCTTCTATTTCTCCCTTTCTGCCCAGTTTGGCTCGTGGTAACACCGAGCAGATGGCATTGATCCTAGTACAGCAACGCTCGCCCAAGTCCAGCCCTATGTAACGGACATCGAGGACGCGTTCAGCACCGCGGCGTCTGCTCTGAGCTCCCTCAACAGCAGTGGGAGGAAGCGCTCAAGTGTCACCGATGTTCAAGGGAGACAAACGGCATTCGAGAAGGAAATCGCCCAACTCGTCGCCGGATTGTTGACGGTACGTGACTATTCCTCCGGATCCTCTACCCGCAACAAGTAGCACTGATGCTATATGAGCACAGGACGTCACCAATTCGCTAACTGGATTGCTCTCTGTCCAAGGGCTGGGTGCCATCCTGCCCAATCTGGACGGGCCTCTCAACCAGACCTTGTTAGGGCTCGAAACGCTCCTTGCGGGCGTGCTGAACTTGGTATCTGGGTTGTTGGTGGATGTAGCGGGGCTGTTGACTGCGTTGGGATGGGGGCTGACTCTGGCCACGTTGGGATTGTGAAGCTTCGGTTTCAGGAATGGCCACTGAGATCTTGGACAATGATTTTGGACTACCCGCAGATAAGGTACACTTCCGCGCTCATTTGTTCAACCGGACAAACACAAATATTACATTCATGCCCCGAAAGATCTGACAACACAATTCATCAAATGAAGACAGCAGCTCCACCTTGGGTCATGATACCACTCAATCCTGATAATGGATATCCAGGGAATAGGGTGCACAACATCCAAGTGGGCTTTGTCGGCGTTCTCTTCATGTGCGAGAGCGCTCCATGAGTTTGGAGGGTGACCTGCAGATGCCTGCCGATCGCCTTGGTGCAGGAGTGGTCACGTGAATGATAGCTGGTTGACATGTACGCTTCTTCTAACCTCCACACCAAGCTCTAACCTTCGCATCACTTTGGTGAGTTGTCCTATGTGTACAATCCTGCTCACACGACTAAACCGTCAAACCGTGACAACGGGTTTTGATGCCATGTGGGCCCAGTAACGCAGGCTGTGCAAACATGCCAAGACGCCATCCCAACCTGTTCCCTGCCTCTTTCGTCCCTGCCACAACATATGACCGTCGAGTTACCGTACGACATTTGGGTCGAGGTCGTTTGTCATGTTGAAGATCAATGCGACCTGATCCACTTCTGCCGTACCAACTCTATGCTCAGCCAACTTACGACAAGGCGCTTATACACCTCGGTTTTCTTCGATAATATCGTGGAAATAGCAAAATTCTATCGCACCGTCGGGGGGAATGACCTCTTAGCCGCACACGTTATTGCCTTGCAACTGGACTTGCAGAGGTATGCATCCTTCGTCAACATATCATCTTATCGAAGACACGGCTGCCTGCGAGCGCCTAGCTATCTGCGCCTTATCTTTCGGTTAATCGGGAACCTACCTAACCTGAAGGAGCTCAAGTTCGGTTCCCATCTCACGGACGAGCTTATGTCTCAATCTTTCTCAATCAATCTTGGACAGATGCGGCCCCGCCTAACGAACTTCACGTTCACCAGATTGCTCGAATGTTCAGCCCTTCCTGTCCTCCGCTCCCAATCCTCCTTAGAATCTCTTTGCCTGCACTACTTTACCGCCACTAACTCCGTGGTCGAGCTTGCAGATCTATCATCCGATGCGATTCCCCGACTGCGCCGTTTTATTTGTGATAGTCCTTCGTCTATCCCGCTAGTACGAGGACGACCGGTCGAAGAATTTTGTCTGATGGGCAATGGACCATTTACCGCCATCAACCCAGGTCACCTGTCGTTCTATCTGGCACATTTGAGGAACGCTTCTTCCAGATGCCTACAGAAGTTGGAACTCAGTATCCAGCCAATAGATTCTACGGTCCTGCCTCAAATTGAACACGCCCTTCCGGACATCATGGAACTTTCTATCTCGACACGTGAGCCAGTACAGTGGGTGGTACGTCCGTCACACACTCATCTGAAGGTAACTGACGCGATGCAGCTACCAGCTCTCACTTCTTCCCGAACGCTAGACGCGTTTCGAGGATTTACTCAACTGCATACATTCAAGTTCTACGCGACCAATACTGGCGCCCTGACTCGCAACGATCTTCATGCAGCTATGGACCCGATCTGTGATGCGTGTGATACCCTGAAGATGATCGAAATACAGGAAACAGGGGCCTACAAGAACTTTTTTGCGCTCTGAAAAGTACCAGTCTCTCCGACAGCGTTGGAGGGAAGCGGCCGATTGTCAACTTTTCTGGACAGATGCTTTCACACCACCCAACTCCTGGAGATTGTTACGCGCTTTGAACATCCGGTCGCCGACACGGATCCAGACCGTATGTGCCAATCTTCATAATGTGTGCTTCGGACCTACCGGAATAGAATGTCTCAACCGCTCCCCGCCTTCTCTATCGTACCACGCATGACAGCACCGAGCTTGGTCCAGCATACATTCGAAATACATCCCTCAACGCAGCTCAGCGAGAACCTATCCTTGCACATGAATGGCACCTTCGGTCCTTCTTGGCGGAGCAAGGCACCCCACCTCTGACCCGGCATAGTCGATTGTGAATGGGCGATATTGAGTCAGATGGAGAGGATAAGAGGCCGATGTGCCTGTGTTGTACCGGTTTCTGATTGCTTCTTCGTCGTGCATGTCTGCAAGCTCATATGTCCGCATCACATCGAGAGATTATTCTGGCGCAACACGGTATTAAAACGGGAGATATGACTCAAAGGCCGCAGAGTCGGTTTCGAAGCGCTCATTGAACTGCACACCCTTGTATTGCTGTGCTGACAGCTCATGCGCAACCAAGCGCCTAGCGGTATTCGACCATCTACCAGTGGTGATCCTTCGGCTCCTGCATCCATGACGCAGCATACCTCCATAGCGTTGCCGTACGACATTTGGAACGAAATCGTTCACCTTGCAGCCAAAGATGATTTGATCCAGCTCTGCCTTGTCAGCGCTATGGTCGGCCGAATCGCAACCAAGCGCCTATACGCTTCACTCTCCCTCAACACCATGGTGAACACGGCAAAGTGCTATCGAACTGTCATGGGAAGCTCCACATTGGCTGGCACTGTCACTGAACTGGAGCTGGATTTGGTAAGATATCCAACTTTCAATGTATGGTATTCGAGAGAATACCAGCACCTCCAACGAGCCCCTGCCTATCACCGATTGGTCTTTCGGTTAATCGGCAGTTTCAGTAACTTGAAGGTGCTCCGCATCCACTGCTATTTCCAAAACGCACCCACCAGAGAATTCTCAGCCAATCTCGGCAGTATGCGGCCCCGTTTATTGAGTTTCAGATGTGCCGAGTTATTCGAATGCTCCGCGCTTCCCCTTCTTCGCTCGCAAAGCTCGCTGGAATCCCTGCACCTGGAATACTCTTCTGATGATGATTGGGCGACCGAGCTAGCAAATTTATCACCAGAAGCGGTTCCCCAACTACGGAGTTTCGCGTGTGATAGTTATTCCGGTGCACAGCTCGTGCGAGGACGGGCGGTCGAAGAGTTTTCTCTGAGCGGCCCTGGAGAATACGCTACGATTCAGCAATCGAACCTATCTGCTTGTTTGAGACATCTTCAGATGTCTTCGAGACCGCTGCGAAAAGTTCGACTTCCTCTGTTGGGGATGTATGCCACGAGTTTGCCCCAGATTGTGGGAGCGCTTCCGGATCTGATCGAGCTGACTCTCAGTGTGGAAACACGGTATGGCGACGAGGTACGTCTGTCATAAGGTTGGGTGCCCGATACTGACGTAAAGAAGTTGACACACCTCGTATCTGCGGAAGGGCTTGAGGCCTTTCGCCGATTCTCGCAACTTCAAACTTTCGAATTCATTGTCAAATTTCGTGTTCACGATACTTCCATATTTGAGGAAGAGATTCGACGTGCCTGCCCTACTTTGCAAAGCGTCGCTGTGCATGGGCGCGAATCAGAAGAGTCTAGTGACGAAGAGGAGTGGGAGGAGGGGGACGAAGAGGAAGACGGAGATGAGGAAGACGGAGATGAGGAGGATGGGGAGGAATCCTGGTATGATGAGGAGCATTTAGACGAGGAGAGTTTGCCATTTGGTCTATGAGAAAGTTTAGTCCTGTCCAAGGTGAATGCACAGTCAAGTTAACAATGCGAGGGTATCCTCACGTGACAGTTGACTCTGCCTCCGCCAATGTGTTTCTTACAGAGTGTCTCGACTTGAACATGCCCCTTCCCCCCTTGTCTAACCTCCCAGCGTCCAACAGCGATGTCCAAATCCACAGAAGAGGGTCAGCAACTCGGAAATACGCAATCCAGCGGTCGTTCCTCGCTCCCAGTGCTATCTTACGATGTCTGGTCCGACATTCTTCGATATGCTAAACGTCAGGACCTGATCCGTCTCTGTCTGGTCAGCTCCATGTTCAATCGCATTGCAGCAAAGCGTTTATACCTCTCGGTTCGGTTTTTTGACGTACCGGACTTGTACCCGTTCTATCGCACGGTGAGAGGAAACCCGATCTTGGCCGGTCACGTCGCTGCGCTTGAGCTGGACATGCGATCATACAAGAACGATCGCATGTCAAAGAGGCACATAACAGACGCACCCGCATTCATGCGGATGATATTCCACCTGATCGGCCAGCTCGACAACCTCAAGAAGATCTGCTTCAAGTTTCGGATCCTGAACAGCTTGGTGTGCAAAGCCTTCTCGATCAATCTCGGCCACATGCGACCCCGTTTGTCCTCTTTCAGGTTCTACGGCCTGTTCGAATGCTCCGCGCTCCCTGTTCTCAGCTCTCAAAGCCTCCTAGAGACAGTAGCACTAGAGTACTCAAGCCGATCCGACGGTTCGCCCGAACTAGCAAGCCTGCCCCCAGATGCACTACCCCGACTACGACGCTTTATCTGCAATAGCTATTCCTCCGCCCAGGTCGTCCGAGGACGTCCGGTCGAGCTGTTCGTCGTGGACCGTCGTTCGGCTTACGTCAATATAAGCCCGGAACAACTGCCTACGTGTTTGCAGGATCTGCATATGTCTACACGCGGGATCCTATTGCTTGAACTCGCTATTGATAGCTTGTATGCTACGACGACTTTGTGCAAGATCCAGGAGGCGACTCCCGACCTGCAGCAGCTCGAACTGAACACATCAGATTTCTGGGTAAACCAAGTGTGTCTCCCATCTGCCGTCTTCCGTCTTCCGTCTGCCGTCTCCTATAACCCAACTGCATTCCTCTAACACAACACAGATGCGGGACCTCACATCACCCGAATCGCTAGACGCCTTTCGCAAATTCGCACAGCTCGAAAGCTTCAAGATCGATGCCCGCCAAGCGGATGACATGCCCTTCACAGCATTCGAGTTCGCTATCCGCAGTATCCTCCGGGCGCGGCCTACGCTACGTGTTCTCGCTTTGTGGGATTATGCGCAGGATAAGGTGTATTCATTGAATACTATTGCGAGTATGTTCGGGTTTCCTCTTCGGGGCTATGGCTGATTTTGGGACAGGATATGCTCCTACTGGAGAGTTTCCGTACAGGATTGCACGGGGTCGTTGGGGAGATTGAAGTGGAACATGAGAGGGCCACGCTTAGCGTCGGGGCGAATGTCACTCTAGAACCAAATGAAATCATCAGATACATCATGAAATCATTACATCGTCTTATTGTCTTATCCCTTCCCTCATCCCAAACCAGACGCGTGCTCTCGCCTCCCAACACACCTAGCAGATCACCAGCTCAGCAGATCAGACACTGCCCCTCCTCCCCCGAAAGCCCGTCCATCCCCGTCCCTAAAACTGAGAAATCGGGTATATCACCCATGATCTCCTTTGGCGGGTTTCCGAGTTCTTGTAGCTGTTTTTTTTGTCAGTTCCGGTTTCTTACTGTTACTGATGAGGAATGAGGGATGCAGAACGAAGGAGGAGGGAGGGGGACGACAACCGCAAAAAAGGTGCTGGCTGAGAACGGGCAAAACGACCCAAGCACGACAAAACCCAAACCCCAAAGTCCCAAAGCAGGAGCACAACGCACCTTATTCATCCCCTGAACGACCCTCACACTCCACTCCGGGTCCTTATCCTCATACCCCTCCATGTCGAAGACAGCCAGCAATTCGCGGACAGCTACGAGCTGGGCTTCGTACGCTGCTCGGTCTGTGGGTGGGAGGTGGGGGTGGGAACGGAGGTAGGCTGGGTACTGATTTTTGGGATTAGTGAATGCATGGGAGGGTAAGAGGGGCACGGGGTGGGGGAGCGTGGAGCAGGGCAAGGGAGAGAGGGGGGGGGACGTACGCGTTCTGCTAACTCCGTAAGGGGTTCGTATAGGATCTCTTTACTCATCATCTGCTGTATGAGGCGTTCGATCCCCAACCCTTCAAGTCCCTCCATCGCACCAAGTCCCTCCATCGCACCAAGTCCCCCAAGTCCCAGTCCCCCAAGCCCGTCCAATCCCTCCAATCCCAGCCCTCCAAACTGCGCCATAAGCGCAGCGAGCTCCCCTCCTCCTGGGCCAGAAGCAGAAGCAGAAGCAGAAGCGGCCGCTTCGGAAGACTGCAGCCGGGAGAGAGATGCTTCTAGGGCGGATTGGTAGGATGCACTTGGAGCTGGAGCTGGGAATGGGGCTGGGGGGCGGGGAGGGCCTGCTACGGGGCGTGGAGGGGGGGCGAGTGGTCTTGAGGGTGCTGGTACAGGGGTAGGGGCGGGGGCGGGGGCAGGGGGCAGGGGAGGGTGCGGAGGGTGCTGGTGCTGGTGCTGTTGCGGTTTGGGCTTGGGAGGGCGGAGCGGAGGTTGTAGCAGCTGGTGTTTCGACAGCTTGAGCAGCGGGTGTTGTCGTGGTCGTAGTCGGTGCGATAGCGGCAGCCGTCGTAGGCGGCGCAAAGCCAGCCAAAGGAGCAGGACAAGCATCAGCCGTCCTACTCGCTACAGAAATGACGCCGTCACCCCTCGTCGACAGATCCTGCTTGATCTCCTTCCCTATCTCTGTCGTCTCCCTCTCGTGTGTTTCCCCATTCTGCACTGTCCTGCTAGCACTCCCCGAAGGCCCAGATAACCCCACTCCTAGTCACATTCAAGCTCCTTCCCTCACTCAGAGTCAAAAATAAGACTCACCATCCCCCACTCCCAACCCCTCCTCCTCTCCTTCCAACCCCAGCCAACTCATATCCACTCCACCCAAGTCGACCCCCTCTAGCTGGTCGATATCACCCGACTGCAGGCGCTCGAGCGTCTCTGTAGGGAGGGAGTGAAGCATCGACATGAGTCCTTGTAGTGTTTTCTGGGTTTCGATCTGTGCCTACACAGGTAGGTTAGCCGAAGCGGGAGGGAAGGGAAGGGAAGGGAAGGGACGCACTTGATTTCCCGAACCGGAAAAAAGAGTCATAAGCCTGTCCATCTCCTGCTGTTCCTCAGGCGTAAGAGGCTCAGAACCGACATCAAGGGCAGCGAGCAGTTGGGTCAGGTCTTCTCCTAGTGTACCTGGAGCTGGAGCTGGGGCATGGGGAGGAGGGGGAGCGGGACGGGAAGGTGGGAGATGGGTGGTTGGGGGGTTTGAGGGAGCGGTGGGTGCGGGAGGTGCAACAAAATCGTCTAGTATGTCATCGAGGTCGTCTAGGTCGTCTTCAATTATAGGGGGCATGTTGGTTGATGAGAGAGGGATGGATGGGAGCAGGAGGAAGAGGAGTAAGAGGAGGAAGAGGAGGTCGAAGATATAGACGTGTCGATAAACTCGTGGTACGCGTACCGGTTACTACGAGGGTGAAAACACAGCCACTGCCGAGAAGGTGAGATCACAGCCACATTCCTTCCAAAAGGGATAAGGCGCATCTTGAACGAACACTCAACTCGTGGGATATGCGGCTGTTTGTTGGATTGGGACTCACGCATGGGAGGTATAGACTGGGGATGAAGCCTTTGAGAGTGAATGTGTTAGGCAGAAGATGGCATGCTACACTCCCCCGTCCAACAAGTGCTACCCCCCCATTCCCCTACCCACTCTCCCTCCTTCCCCAGTGTCTCACTCCCTACCTCCTCCTCACAAGACTCGACAAACCCACCGGCACACTCCTCCTCCTCCTTCCCTGCACATGGTCAATCACACTCGCTTCCTCTGTCCTCTCACTCCCTCCTTCAGTCCCTATCTGGTATATGGCACTCTTTGGCCTAGGCGCGTTCATTATGCGCGGTGCGGGGTGTACGGTGAACGATATGTGGGATCACAGGCTTGACAGGCTAGTCGGTACGCCCCCTCCCTCCCCCTCCCTCGCGCACTCACCCCCTCCTCTCCCGCAGAACGCACCCGCACAAGACCACTCGCCTCCAACCTCCTCTCCCTCCCTCAAGCATCCCTCTTCCTCTCCCTTCAGCTCCTAGCCGGCCTCTCCATCCTGCTCCAACTCAACACCCCCTCTATCCTCCTCGGCGCCCTCTCCCTCCCATTCGTCGCCCTCTACCCCGTGTTCAAGCGGCTCACTTACTGGCCCCAGGCCTTCCTAGGCCTTACCTTTAACTGGGGCGCTCTGCTCGGCTGGGCAGCTGTCTCCTCCCCTCCTGATTGGGCTATCGCGGGCTCCCTCTACGCAGCCGGGTGGTGCTGGACGATCGTGTACGACACTATCTACGCCCATCAGGACAAGTCGGACGACACAGCCGCAGGGATCAAGTCCACCGCCTTGCTCTTCAACACCCATACTACCCCAATCCTGACCCTCTTCTCAGGGGGCATGCTCGCCTCCCTCTCCCTAGCAGGTTACCTCGCCTCCTGTACATGGGCCTACTATGCCGGCCTAGCAGGGGCAGGCTGGGGTCTGGCCCGGATTGTGAGAGGCACGGATTGGCAGAGTAGGGAGAGCTGTTGGGAGGGGTTTAGGGGGAACGTTTGGGTTGGGACGGCGGTGATGGCGGGGGTTTGGGCGGATTATATTTGGAGGTGGGGCGTGCGGGAGTTGGAGTTGGAGTTGGGGGAGAAGGGGGAGGGAGGGGAGGGGGAGGAAAAGGGAGAGGAGAGAGTGAGAAATTCAGAGAAAGTGGAATCGGCTGCCTAGATCCCCAGAGTACCTTACTGAAACCAACTACTGGCTACCCCGCCTTTGGTCTATCGTCTTGTGAAATTAACGTTCATTCGAGTGATCCGCCCACACGTCCGTTCGCCGCCAACTGCAGTTGAGCTGGAGCTGTGTTGTCGAGTGCGGCCTTCAGGTGTTCGCCTAATGTCAACTACCATCTATCTCTCAACCGCATAATAAACGGCGGAATCTTACATACCCGCTGTACCTACCTGCCCAAGCAGACAGGTCCAGCTATAAGAGGATAAGACATAATCGGCCCAAACGCCCGCAGTTACCAGCAGTCCCACAAACACGTTCGCTTCAAACCCTCTCCGACAGCTCTCCCTGTTATCCCACTCTGTGACCCACAGCGTGCGAAACATCCACACCCCTCCCCCAACCACCGAGAGTGCGTAATACGCCGGTCCCAGGCCAGCTGCGTGCCCTGCTGCCGTAAGGCAAGCCAGCATGAGCGTGGTAAAACCTGCTAAGGCGGGCACTGTCCGTTCTTCAAAGAGCAGTGCGGTGCTCTTTATCCCCGCACTGCGGTCGTCCGTCTTGTCCTGATGCGCGTAGATCGTATCGTACACAATTGTCCAGCAGCACCCTGCGCCATATAAGGGGAGTAGGACGTCCCATGCCCATGCTGATGCGGGGTCAGCGAGAGCTGTGTATCCCAGTAAAGCGCCCCAGTTGAAGACAACCCCCAGGAAAGCCTGGGGCCAGTAAGTCAGGCGTTTCATATACGGGTAAATGACGACCAAGGGGAGGTAAGCGGTGCCGAGCAGGAAAGAAGGGGTGTTGAGCTGGGAGAGCCAGAGGAACCAGCTTGCGGTTTCGAGCAGGAGGAAGAGGAGGGCTTGGGGGAGGGAGATGGTGCCGGAGGGGAGGGGGCGATGTTTGGTTCGTTCTGGGAGGAGTGAGGTGAGTGTTCTACTTGGACTGGAGTGAGGGGAGGGGGGCGTACCTACGAGTCGGTCTAACTCCCGGTCTGCAATGTCGTTCACCGTACAGCCCATACAGTGACTAATAAGAGACCCAAGGCCGAAGTAGAGCGTATAAGAGCCTGCAAAGGCCGGGGAGAGCTGGAGGTGGTTAGCAGCGAGGGGGACGGACCAGGTGAATGGTAGCCAGAGGAGGAGCGTCCCTGCTGGGTTGTCCACTCGGGCGAGGAAGAGGTAGGGCTGGACTTGCTCCAGAAGCTGGCGGAGGGGCCAGTTGAGCTGCGGCTGCGGTACGTTTGGGCTTGGGCTGGGGAGGGGGAGGGAGAGGGGGGAAGGGGAGGGAGAGGAAGGGATGCTGCAGGGAGGTGTGCTCGGTTGGGAAGGGCCGGGGGTGGGCGCGGGGGCGGGGACGGGTTTCTCCAAGAGCAGGGAGCGGAAGTAGGGTGAGGTGAGGTAGTAGAGTGCTGTGGACATCTTTTGCTCGACTGCTTGAACAGGATGAACAGGATGGGGAGGGAGATGAGTTCCGTATATATAGCGGAGCGGTAGGGGAGAAAGCAGGAAGCTCGAGAGAGGAAAACGTCATCAACTGGTGATAATGTGGGCAGCCTGGAACCCAGCATTCTGGACCAGTATGGAGGGAACTGAGAGCTGCTTTGGAGGAGATGACGCTTGCCGGATGTGAATCGGGAATATGAGTGGGGGATAACAGGAGAACGGCGAACCCACAGGCGCTGGGCCAGCATGGGTTGGAGGAGGTCTACAGACAGGAGCCGAGCATCAGCGCGAAAGAGAGAAAAGGAACGAAATCGTGTGGTCATGCGCGCCTGTGCCCGGAAGAGCACCATGCGCGGGACGGCGTTTACGTATGGGTACGTAGCGTCTTTGGAACTTGCAGTTCTGATAGCAGATCGGGCGACAGCAGAAGGCATCCATATGTGTCGCGCTGCTGCCCGACCGGCGTGAGAAAGAACCGCGTGTCCAAAGCTGGGCGCTTGCAGTACGTTTAGCGAATGACACAGAATACGCCCGCAAGGTGGAAGGCGCTCAGAAGAACACCGTGAAAGCGAGTCATCGTCCGGCGCAGGGTCGGCCCGGAAGATCCTCGCTTCCGTGAATCAAAGCCGATTCGTCAGATGCTGGAGGAAGTTTCGGGAGAGGGATGCTCAGAATATTAATGGCCGAAGACACGGAAAAAGTGTTGTCTAGGGATGTTGATGCTTGTCGGGAAGGAACACCGCATTTCGGGAGCGCGCAAGAGGGCTCCCGAAATCGCGCAAAGAACTATATGTCTGTGTTTGTATTTCAGATTGAGACACGGGTCTGTTCAGCCGAGAGTGGAAAACTTACCCTCATACTTGGGGTACGACGGGCGACGTAGCCAAAAGTACTAGGGTTCTTTGCGCTCTTTGACATCCATGTTCCCAGACATTAGTGAGAGAGAGGTCAGTCAGATACGGTGGCATCAAGGTCGATTAGAGATGACGTCTTTCGAAGAGAGCACGGCTGACTTGTGTGACGGTTATTGGATACGTGATATTTGACATCAGATGATGCATATCGCTCACACGAGGAGCGTCTGGTCGATGGCTAGTGGAACGAAATTTAGTGGTTGGTGCCGTTTGCAAAGGTCTTCTTCGGCCGCACAAAGACATGGAAATGTACGAGTCCGCGCACGGTTTGCAGTTTCTAAACTAATGTCAGTACATATATCCATGTCCTAGAGAGGAAAGCCCACCGGAGGGTTCATGAACCACACCGTCTCCCATTCCACTTCCGGCCATTCGCGCTTCACAAACGCGGTGATGCCCTCTCCGCTCCTCCCTCCAAACCCTTGTCTATCCTCACCCTCTCTGTGTTCCGCACCACCCGTGAACCCCCACATACCTTTCCTCTCCACGTCGTCAGTCAGGTCTCCAGGACCAATGAGGGGCACCGCACTCCACACCACATAGTGCACAACGTCGGTAGGAACAGAGTAGGGCCAATCGTTGGGGACTACGCGGTAGTGCGTTGCAGGAGTTTCAGGGGAGAACGAGGGCGAGGCTGGGTGTATCAGGGGAGGGTTCCAGCGGAGGCGACGCTCTATCAAGAAGTTCTCTACGTGGTATGAGAATCAGAAAGCACTAGGTTGAGATATCGCACCTATGGTGCCGTGTCGCGCCTTCATGCCTTTGGTCCACTCATCGTAGCGTCGCTGGAGTGCTGGCTGACGCTTGAGCAGACCGAGGTCGCTACAGGTCCTAAGCACGACATCTTTGGGTGCAAATATTTTCATACCCTCCATCTTTCCAAGTGCTTTAGATCGAGAGGCATTGATCCGAAAGATGAAGTAACTCACCGACGATGTCCATCAACTCTTCCCACGTGAACATCCTACGATTCTCACATGAGCAAAATTCCTGAGGAATACTATAAGAGACGTACGGCGGCCCAATAGCAGCGATCTCCGAAGCAGTAGGTAATCCTTCTTCAGCGACCATGTCTAAGTCTATAGTCTATGCGTGTTGGGTATATGCAAGTGGTAAGGACAGAATGCTGCAGGCGATGAGCAAGACGTGGAAGGCGATGATGATCACGGAGCCCGAGCTCGCTTCCGGTAATGCATGACGACCTCCGACGCGTCGCGGTCGTCACGCGGCAAACGCGTCGGCCAACTTTATCAACGGCTGGGAGTTATGCATGGCCGACCTTGTCCACCATCCAGATGAACTCTCGCTAAGGCCACTGGATAACTTTCTCCCCGACTGGCTACCACCTAGCAGCGAGCTGCCGAGGAACCCAGAGGATGCCTTCACCAAAGGCTTGGCTCTCGCCCTAGGTCCAACAACAGGGCGGTCGCGAGATGTCCCTGAGCTGGATAAGCCGCTCGAAGGACCCCCTGTTGTGGAATCCAGTGAGGAGGAGAAGGAGAAAGATGACGATCATGTGTGGGAATTGGCGGCGAAAGCAGTGTCACACAAAGTGCGCATTTATGATCACTGTTATCGCCTGTTCTGACCGGTTGTCAGTCAACGCTGTTCACCTGGGATACTTCTTCTCAAGTTTTCCGTCTTCCGCCGCTGTTATCACATCATCCAGAGCTGTTCTATGCTGCTCTTCGAAAGTAGGTTCAAACCAGCTTCAATTTATAATGCTCGCTCACCCGGGTGCAGAACGGTCCAAACCCCAACAGTGACACCGTTCCCACCCGAGTATATTGCCTCGGAGCTGAGAACCTTGCTCACCGGTTATTCTGGCTCGCTATGGATCTGGAACAACATCGAAGAACAATTTGTACCCAGTCCAAACGCTGCGGGGAGCATTGTCGTTGATGGTTATTCGGCCACTGCTTCAACCAGCATCTTCGAGCGTTTCCTGACTATCGGGACTCTGGTTCGTCGCTTGCAGGCTGTCCCAACTCAGCTGATGGGGTATGTGGATCCTTCTCTCCTATATAGCTGGTACTGATATGCTGTAGGGCGTCGGAGTCTTGGATGCACGCATTCTCGCACGCCCTCACTCTGGTGCTGTCGCATATTCGTAGTACGCTCGAGGTCGAACCCATATGTCCGGAAAAGAACCTATCCAGCTTGCATCTTGAGTACGAAACACAGGAACCCATGCTCGTTGCCGTCGCAACTCTTCTAAGACGCGATCGCTCGCATTATCCACCTTATCGGTCTCTCCCCTCGAACATGATATCAGCTCTCTACAAAGCACTGGACCGCGCGATCAACACGTCCGCTCCGCATGCCGTCCAATGCACTCTGTCCTTCCTCCTGCAGCTATCCACTCAACCCTGCATACGAGCCGTGGAAGAAGCCCTCGGTTTAGGTCGAGCTACTTTTCTTCCCGATATGGTAGACGAGTCTTCCGAGCTGGCAAGCCCAAACGAGGATCGCGCCCCGATGGAAGTGAAGGTTATGGAGATGATCCTTCCCAGTGAAGTACGTCAGACACTGGAACGTGGTCGAAAATCCCTTGTCTTGCTGAAAAAGGCATGTCCCGCTCACATCCTCTGTGGCCGGACAATCGAAGATATTGACGATGCGGAACATTTGAAGTGGATATGGGGAGATGATGAGGTGCAAAGGTGAGGATATATGTTCCACATGGGCCAGTCAAGTGACAAGTCTACAGAGTACAAGCAGAGGCTGAGCAGCAGGCAGATCTTCTCCGTGATCTTATGTGCCGATGGAAATCCGGTTTACCAGTCGATCACAAAGCGCATGTCCCTGCGCCATTTCCAAAGTCTACTGCTGCACCAAACGAGTTTGATATTTCCTTGCTGCTGCTCCCCGCGACACAATCCACGGACGACAATGCTTTCAACAGGTTTCTGGGGTCCCATCCCCCACCACTTTTACCATCTTCTGCCCCAACATTGCCCTTACTTCTCCATCATGTATTCGCCAAGATATTAGCAAGATCGAAGGTTATCTCACATGCACTATTAGACTCACTCCTCTCCCCCGCGTCGCAGCAGGGCGGCGCTGACTTGCTTGCCCACTTACACATCCTCAGCAGTTTCCATCTCCTCAACTTCGCCCCCTTCACCGACCTCCTTACAAACGCGCTTTTCGTTCATCCTTCACCCGAGATTGCCCACGCTCCCGGAACTCGTTCCCGCGTGCGGGCCAGATTAGGCATCGCCCCTCTGCCCCATCAAGTCACCGGGGAAGAGTTCGCTGCTGTGGGCCTAGGCGTCGGTCTTACCCAGCGCGGTCAATGGCCGCCTGGCGGAAGCGACCTCAACTGGATCCTGCGACGAGTGGTCATCGATTCTTTGGAAGTTGACAAACAAGGCAGGTTGAAGACAGCCCGGGTGGACAAGGTGTGGGAACAGGCAGACTCTATCGTTGGATTCGCCATTCGGGACATCGAGGAAGGAGACGACGCGTGGTTAGATCCATTAGGCAAGTCGCCTCACAAGTCTGGTACCGGCACTAAACGAGCCACAGCTGTTGAGGCTCTGGATTTCCTCGACCTTCAGTACAAAGTGCCTCGGAGTTTAGCTGTCGTCTTATCGGAACGCGCCATCCAAAAGTACAGGCAGATATTCAGCTTCCTCCTGCGGGTCCTGCGAGGTACCTTCTTCTCATTGTGAACGATATAATCGAACACTAATACGTTCATAGTTGACACAGTCGTCCGGACCATGTATGATCCAGCGATTCACGAGCTTCTTTTCCCCTCCTCCGAGGCCAACGCCCACCTGCTTTTACGCACACGCTTCCTTGCCCAAGGCTTCACCTCTTCTCTCGTGAACTATTTGATGGACAGTGCCTTACGTTCCCCCTGGTCAGCCTTCTACTCCCAACTCACTCGGGTCAAGGAAACGTCTCGCGACCCAGAGGTGCAGGACGTCTTCGCCCTTGCTGCACGGCACGAGCGAGTGATGAACACGCTGCTCGAGGGGTGCATGCTTCTTCCTGGGCAGGCACAGCTTGCCGGAGAGGTCAGAGTTTGTCTGGGCACGATATTACTGCTGGGACAGCTGGTGCTGGACCGAAGAAGGGGAACGCTATCCGAGCAAGAAGGGGGCGATCAGCTCCGCTCTCTGGCGCACAAGCTTATTACAACTACACAGACATTGGTAAGACCAATCTTCCACCATTACGTGGTTTAGCAGAGCTAACCCCGAGCAGGTCCAGCTCTTGAAGGAGGACCAGGCAGGAAAAGAACTGCCTCGAGCTACTATTCCCACAGGAAACGAGGGCGGAGCGAAGCTTTCTGATCTTCTCCTAAGGCTGTGCTTCTATGAACCAGTGAAGAGAAATGGGTGAAAGGACGAAGGGAAAGGCAACGCCAAGTGTGTGGAGATTCATGCTACGATTCAAGATGGCTTGGGTCGATGCTGTACTGTGGTGGATATGCCCCCTTTCCTTCACAGTGATGGTCCGTTGGGTCGGATAATTACAGAAGAAGGCACGGAGTCACGTGGGTCCCAAATAAATGTTTGAGGACAGCAAAGAACTTGAATTTCAATTGAGACATTATTGGTAGAAGAGAACGTAACCGTCCATGACGTTCGATCTTTTTATCGTCCGATTGCAAAGTGCGATTGCGCCTGGCGCACGTGTCTGCCTGCTGGCAGGCTGTGCGCTTCAGATGTGTGCCATTGGATCTGTATCAAACTGTTAGTGCAAGTTCCTTTGTATCTTACCTCATGGCCCTTCAGAAAATTGTCGCGTTGCCATACGACATCTGGAAAGAGATCGTTGGCCTTGTTGAAGACCGAGGGGACTTGGTGCGACTGTGCCTTGTCAACTCCCTGATCGCCCCAATCGCCGGAAAGCGGCTCTATTCCTCACCTGTTCTCAATGATATCGTGAACACTGCGATGTTTTATCGCACAAGTATAGGAAATCCGACATTGGCCGAGCACGTCACTACCATGAAACTAGAGTTGGATTATATCTTTTGGGTTGGCCGCAATTTCCTTGTTGGATGGCAAGAAGTACAAGCACCGGCCTATTTGCGCCTATTTTTTCGCCTGATCAACCAACTCGTGAATCTCAAGGAACTCAATCTCAGGTCTCGCGAAAGCCAGGGTCGTACCATGTCTCAAGCCCTCTCGGTCAATCTCAGCCGGATGCGACCCCGCTTGTCAAGCTTCCCATTCATCGGACTATTCCAATGTTCCGCGCGTCCTGTTCTTCGTTCTCAGACCTCATTAGAGTCAGTACACTTGGCCTATTGCGCCGGCAACGATTACGCCCCTGAGCTGGTAAACCTGTCCCCAGATACGGTTCCCCAACTGCGACGTTTCATCTGCGATAGTCACTCTACCTGCCAGCTCGTACGAGGACGACCAGTCGAAGAATTCTCTTTGAGTGACGAGGGAGGATACAGCTATATCAGTCCAAAAGATCTGTCTTCTTGTTTGGCACATCTACAACTCTCTTTGCGACCACTTCGAAAGCTCCAGATCGGTATCTATGCGTTGGATTCCACAACTCTGGTCAAAATTCAAGGTGCGATGCCACATATCATCGACCTCAACATTAAGACGCGGGCAGAGTTGGAGGCACAAGTAAGAATGTCGTACCTTCACCTGCATGCGACTGATGGGATGCAGCTGCATCAAATCAGGTCATCGTCCGCGCTTGACGCCTTTCACCGATTTTCACAACTCAGAGCATTCAAGTTCACCAGCCTAGTGTTTAACAACCTCCATGCTATCGAGATCTCTGCCGCCGTGGACCAAATACGCCTTGCGTGTCCCTCTCTAAAGACCGTTGTTATACGGCAACCCGAGGAAGAGGACGTCATCTTCGGTTTCTGAACATTCATAGTCCTCCTCGAGACCAGCCTATAAGACTCTTTATCTGAACCACCTCCTTTTATTTGATTTACCCATCACCCATCTTCAAGCAAGGTCAAGTGCCGAGATCCTAGAAAGAAACAGCAAAATCAAATTCACAATGGGGGTAGATGTAAATCATCCATTCCACTTCCGCAGCACTCCTCGCGTCCTATGTTCAATCATTCCGACAGGGCACAGCTCGGTGACCCATGCCAGACATCGCATGCAATGTGATCTGCCCTGACAGCTGCACGACTGATTAGGAGGGGTTGGACAAGTCGCTTTACTCCTCGTGCGCCCTCACCAAGGGCGGGAGGGAGTCCTTCATTCAGCCTGTCATGCTTAATTGGACAAATCCAACTGGCAGGGGAGGAACTCCTTCTTGTAGAATTAATTTGTAAAACAATAGATCTTCCTATATCATCACGTGTTGCAAAAGAACAAGCGATCAAATCTAGTATTACGTTAGCACCGGTGCCTCTGCATATCTCACATCTACATATGACTGCCTAGCCTTGAGTTGCCGTACGACATCTGAGTCATTATCATTCAATTACGGAGACAAGCCCCCTAAAGCGGAATCTTATTCCTTCGGTTGCTGGCAGGCTGTGCGACAACACACCTCATTAATATCTTTGCATCTTACCTCCATGGCAATGCATGCTGGAAATGGTTTGCCGTTCGACATATGGAACGATATCGTCGCTATTGTTGAAGACCGAAACGACTTGGTCCAACTCTGCCTCGTCAATTCCATGATCAACCGCATCGCAGCACGGCGCCTATACACCTCCCTTTCCTTTGGGAAGGCCAAGAACATAGCCAAGTGCTATCGTACGATGATGGGAAACGCAATCTTGGCGGGTCACGTCGTTGCACTGCGATTCGCATCAACACGATACTACACCTTCGACCTCTCAGTCTATAGCGAAGACCGAACCGCAAACTGGCTTCCTGCGGCCGCCTTTCTGCGCCTTATATTTCGGTTGATTGGATGTCTAGTTAACCTTAAGGAACTCGACTTCCCATACGACTTCGGTCAATACGCCATATCTCTAGCTTTCTCAGTTAACCTCGGCCAGCTGCGACCCCGCTTGTCAAAGTTTGGATTCACCAATTTGTACGGATGCTCAGCCCTTCCCCTCCTTCGTACGCAGAGCTCGTTAGAATATCTCCTCCTGGAATATTCTATTTTCCTTGCCACTTAGCTAGAAAATCTCCCGCGAGACGCACTTCCTCGACTGCGCAGTTTCGTCTGCGATAGCTATTTTGGCGCCCAAATCGTACGGGGACGACCAGTTGAGGAGTTTTGTCTAAGCAGCGGGTGGCGATGCGGCTTTCTACCTTATGTACATCCTTTTTCGTGGTTGGCACATCTTCAAATGTCTTCAGTACCCCTGCGAAAGCTTAAGCTTTGTATCGGAACCATGGATTCTACCGTTTTGTCCGAGATTGCGACAAGACTCCCCAATCTGATTGAACTGCTTCTCGAAATAAGGTTTTGGTATACAAGCAAGGTACTTCTGCCCGTCATAGGTTTACATCTGACTCACATAATGCAGGCTTTACATCTTGTTTGTGACGAAGCACTAGTTGCCTTTCGCCGATTCTCACAACTTCGAACATTTCACTTCAATGCCTCCTGAAAATCCCTCGAGAGACGTGAACTTTCCACAATTCTCCGCCAGATTCGTCGGGCTTGCCCTACACTGCAAGAGATCCTCATACAACAACCTTGGGAAGGAGATGACGAGGACTAGGTGCGGCAGGAGTCGAGGGATAGTCAATAGTTCACAACTCTCTAATACCTATGTCGATAGGCGACGACTGAAGCTATGTGGTACACCAGTCCCGTCGCAGTACGTACAACTGAGCGTCCAATACCAGAAGTCCCGGAACATCATGTACGGAGACGAGAGGAATAGCAGATTCGCATTGGCTACAGGATACAGTAGTTTCGAGACTTCACTTCTCAGTCTGGGTCGCTTCGTACAATATATGCGCACTATTCAGGCCAGTTCGACGTCCAGCGCCATTCGTAGCACAAATTTATTCCTTGAAGGGGAAGATATCCAACATCCTCCCCTCGCCGAACAAACATAGTCCTCTGATCGCACATTCTACCGTGAATGGAAGCTCGTGCGCCAGGTCGAGCGTGAGTGGGCGTACGAAAGACGCCTTATCGTCCGACGGGGAAGCGATAGGTGCTAAGCCGGAGAGCATCGTGCTAGGGAGGACGACCGCTTTGGGTGGGTCATATGCCGGGAGTGAGGAGGAGGAGGGGGCAGAGGAAAAACTGAGGCTGGAGCTGCTGGTTCCGGAGAGGGAAAGATAGGAGGCGGACGTTCCGTGAGCTGGACAGCTTGGCGCTTCGCAGCGGGTTGCGTAGCATTGGAAACGTTTGCTGGGACTAACTGTTGTCCCGCTAAGAGAGTTGCTGGGTTGTGCGGGGCTGTCAACGGGGACAGTAGTACTGTTCAAGCTGACAGCGACGTGCTTCATCTTGGTATTGAGGGGTGTACGAGGAGGGTGAATGGGTTTCGGGTGGGGAGCGTACCCCCAAGGAGGCAGGAGGAGAGCTTCGTCCAGTGTGTCGTACTCTTCATACACCTCCGTACAAAGCTGAACGAACGAAGTGCTGCATATATGCGCGTTAGTCAAGCCTAATTCGGTGTATGGGAGAGGTTACGCACCATTGGTCGAGCATTGGGGAGTTTGTAGGCGTCGAGAGGTTTGCAAGGACGAGCGTGGATGCGCAAGTTAGGAGCTCCCCAGGCAAGGTGCGGGCAAGGAGTCGGCGAAAGAGATGAACCATCTTGTTCTACGAGAGCAATGTGGTATTGACGATTAGAAAAAGTACTAAGAGCAGGGAAGGGAGTGTGGCGCCGTCAAACGGGGATAGGCAAGGAGCGACGGGTTTGGGGAGAAGCCTTAGGGAAAAGCATGACGAGCAAGTGCCGATGGCGAGAGTTTAAGAAGCTTTTCAAAAGCCTTACGATCGAGCAAGCTACTGATAGTAAAGGTCACAATGATATCAGACATCGTACGAGCAAGCAAGATTCAGAGACGGCCAAACAGCGAGAGAAACAAGACAAACGAACAGAAAGTTAATGCAACTTTCAAATGAGACTGCACGTGACCTCATTACATTGTCAATCTTATGTAACATGGTCAATTGCCCCCGAGAGGAGCAACCCTATTGGTGCCGCACGCGAAGGAAGCGCGTTCCTTTCGTGCGGAAACGGGTGTCCGATGACATACACTGCGGAAGGCTTCTTTGGGATTTGACACTTCCATATCGACCACGCTCATTCCTCGTCACCCTCCTTTCCTCTTCCCATCCCTCCCGTCTCTCGTCCCCCTCCCCTCCCCCTCCATCCCGTCCCCTTCCCCTTACCGCCTCGCCCTCCCCTCCATATCAACTCCCATCCCATCCTCGACGATGCCCCACCGTTCATCCCGCAAGCCCTCCCCAACAACCATGTCCCACCTCATCAACATCCCCGAGTCCCCCGAGGCACACAAAGCAATCTTCCTCGAGCGCGAGCGTGTACACAACGCCGTCCTCACGCGAAGGGATGAGCGAGTACGCAAATTCGTCGACCCGTTCGAGAACTTCTTCGTGCGCAAGTGGCTCTTGTTCGAGAGCACTTTTGCCCTCAGCATGCTCGAACCGTGGGAAAAGGTCCTCGTCTGTACGTCCTACCATCCACCATTCATATCTTGGAAGAAACTGACGCATTTGCAGTATCACTCTGCTTCTTCCTCTTCTCCCTAATCACGATCGGCGTCTGCCGCTACCTCCCCTACCATATCCAGTTCCTTGCCCGCCGCGCCAGCTTCTACATCCTCGGGGACGAGAGTGCACACGTAAGGCAGCTGGCAACACTCCTCGGAGCGAAGCGGCATTAACAGCTTGTGCACAATCTGCTATGCCGCTATGCCTCCTTTTCGTTTCGCCTTCTTCGAGCGGATCAAACCCGAGGAGTTTCCGCACGTAAGGAGCATCAGTGCTCATGACAACTTACCCACTGATGAGGTACGCTCCCTTCCCACACTATTCCCATCAGGCACGAGCTGACCAGCACTACAAGACAATGTTGCTTTTTAAATGCTTCTTCCTGCGCATGTATCATAACCTTATATCCCTTGGTATGAAGACGTAATAACCACTGCTGCTGAGCGCTCTCATGTCTGATGCGTCAAAACGTCTCTAAAGGCTGAAACAAGCTTGAAGTCCGGGAGACCAGCGCAGTGCTTTACGCCACGGTGCGATCAATCCAGCCCACGATGACTACCCAACCTGCTTTTCCACCCTCCTGCAATGAGAATGTCTGAAAGTGAGCGTCGTCCGCGCATATAACCTGAGATATGTCCCACTGTTCGAATGCGGGATCAATCGACATTGCTATCATTGCTCAATCAATCATTTACAGTTGTGAACTTAAGTGTTTCACAGCAATAGGCTGAGCTCGACCATGCCTTGAGTTTAGGTTATAAGTGATTCAACGACAGATGAACTACAGACTTTGCTTGAAATGTCACGCATCTGCTTGTCTTAGCATGAATCCCACTCGCGGCTGTTCTGTCCCCTTGGAGTCCCTTCCCAACTCCATAACCTGCAGCACGAGTTCGTCCCCCTTCTGTGTCTCTTTCTCCGTGATGGGACGGGTAAACCACCCACCCCACTTAAACAAGTGCCCGATGCCTTGGATGGGGATGGAGTAGATGGATGTCTGCCACAGCTGGGAGTTGTGCAGCACGGGGTAGATGCAAATGAGCAAGGGCAGGAGGATGGAGACTTCTGCTCATTGAGGTAAGCTGCCTGCCGGTCAAAGCATGTCCCAATAAAAATAATACCCACCCAGAGCCAGTCTCCCCAGACCCGTGCCATATATGCCCCAGTTCACCTGACATACAAGGCGGGTGTTGTAGATCTCCAACTCGGAGAGTGGGCAGGTGCCCCCAAGGGTCATCTCGCATGCTGGGAGAGCGGGGCACGGGAGGGTAGTTGTTAGGATGGCGTGGGGGAGGAGGATCGCTGTGGGAGTGGGTTAGCTTGGGTGAGGAGGGAAGAGGGAACACGCGCCTAGATGGAGCAGGATAAGTACAGGCCAGGAGATGGCCCACACTCTGAGCTCGTGTATCACCAGAGTATGGTTTATGGTGCATGACCTTTACCTCTATCAGCTCGTACAAACATTTGAGGAGAGGAAGCGTACTGCAAAGTCACCCAGAGCGTTATGGGGAGGGTGACTACAAAGTTTGCTGCTTCGATGACTTGCATGGATGTGTGCGCTGTCAGGGGGAGAGAGACCAACGCCAAGATGAGGGAGATACCAGAGAGCAATGCGAGGGGGACTGGATTGCATGAGACAAGTAAATGGGGTTCGACGAGCGCACATACTTAGGCATACTTGGGCGACGAGGCGTGTTTGAAACCAGATGCGGTCAGGTGCGGTGGGAGCCGGAGCTGGAGCAGGAACAGCAGCTGGAGCAGGAGGGGGGCGAAAGAAATTCTCAGCTCCGCCTTTGGTGAATATAATTGACTCGTCTGAATCCCAGAGGTTGTCGAGAGAGGAATCATTAGCTTGGGTGCGAGATGGAGAGCTTGTGCGTGTCGGACGATCAGGCATTGACCGGTGAGGACTTTCAAGAAGAGACATGATGGAAGGACAGAGGAGCGATGAATAGAGCACGTCACAGACGAACTCGCTTCAAATACTAGCGGACGATGTACCAGATGAGATTGCAAGGCCATTGAATTGAAGGACAGAGGTGGTCGGTCGGCAAGCTCAGCAGGTCATACCGCCAGTGGTTGGCTTTGAGCTCAGGCCAGGTGGTCGTGATCCAGCCACGGAGGGCCAGGTCAATACTGTCCAAAGGATACTTCATTTTTGTATGCAGAAGTGACAATGCAAGGTGCGGGGCGCAAGAAGCTGGCGTGTGGCTTTCCTGGTTGCCAACATTAATGACCAGAAAGCACCAACAGTGATGAATCGGAGATAAAAGTTCAGAAGAGCGGAGATAAGCATTTGATACTGTTTTCCCCATGGGGACTTTAGGTTCCTTCCTTCTTTCGTCCCTTTCCCACAACTTCTTGGCTGATACGCGCATCCGTTATATGCCAGCTCGTCGATCCATCGCCAATCCTTTTGCGATTTTCCTGAAGGACCTGGGTCGGGAAGCTGAATAGTTTGCGGACTTCGGGCATTCGATCCTGCTGCACCGAGCCAGCGGGGTAATTCTGTCGCCTGAATTTCCAAGACCTTACGCTGGTTTGCCCGTTCCTACCCGGCCGCTGTGCCTTACTCGTTTCAGAAACATCTATCAACATGATGGCTTGATATAACCACCCAACGTGGATCGTTCTGGACGATCAATGTCCGACGCTGGTTTTCGGCGCTTGATGTTCCTATTCTACCGTCCCTGACTGCTAGATGCTATTTCTCCTGTCTCGCCCCACGATCCTGATCTATCATAGCAACCTCTGTTTGGAGCAACCTTATGAAGATCTTTATTGGTATTGGATTATCACTGCTAGTCATGGTGCCGTGCTATTGTGCCGCCCCAGCTACTATTCCGGTTATAGGATGCTACATGGCACCAGACTACTCCAACGTGGGAGAATGAAGTGACCGTGCGAGGTCAGGACCTCACGGTAGACTCAATACGTTGACGACGTGTCCTTATATATATCGCAACCAGCTTTTCGCTCGAATACACATTTGCTTTCCGAATCCGCCTGAGCGATTGACGATTCCTCTCTGTACACCGGATACACGAGAGTGGATAGAACGTCCTTCGCCTCATTCCAGTCCCGATTGACGGCCCCAATTTGGTCGCCGATGATAGGATCTATGAAGGCAATGGAAAATTATTCATTATGGACCTGAAATCCACCGATCTTTCCAGCAATTGCGTCTCATCTTGGCGCGTTTTTTTTTTTCAGGGAGCATGAGCTAATACCGAAGAAAGACAGGAGCAAGGGACCCGAGACTGGTACGACTCTTGCTTTTGAACTTTCCACTACACAACATTGCCAACGCAACTTTCCATGCTTCCATTGGGACCGTCCGATATCGGCTGATTCAACTCCTCTGCTTGAATAATGCGATTACCACCGTTGCATTGTCCAAGCACGGCCTTGTTTAGGACACTGGCACGGCAACACGATCATGGGTACATACCTCGCTCGTACGATCCAAATTCGGACCCAGTCTATCTGACCATCCAGGGGCTGCCCAAAAACTGTCCTCGAATTGTTCCGAGCTTGCGCCTGTGTATCGCTCGCCATTTTTCTCGCCCCAAGCATTCGGATCTTGGCTGTGGCTACCTATGAAGCTGCGATCTGCATAATGGATTTCTGCAATTGCTCTCTGAGCTACTGCCGATAGTACGCCGGGGCACATTCCGCCTAAAATCACATATTAATTTGGTAACCTCCCGAAGACAACCTCCTGAAGACTGGCATCTTCTGGCTATGCTAATGAAATGCGCCGAAAATCCCACCGCGATCTAAGCAGAGGAGGATTGTTTGGGGATCTATCGGCGTGAACTCGTATCCATTGCTAGAGCCGATGATGTCATTTTCATTGATGCGTTATTTTTCCGCCGACCCTTTCATCAAGCTTTCGTCCTGCTTTTCTCCTGGGCCTACCACTTACGCTGCTCTTAACGGTTTGACCTGTTTCTGGTAAAAAAGATTCTTCCTACCCTCTTGCATAGCTACATGGCTACTTATCATGAGACGCAACTCCCTCTGCTGTGGGCGCTGAACCCGCGGAAGATTGATCTTGATGGGTTGTGGGCGATACTGCTTTCTTATATCTATGCGAGCAATCCTCCTGGTGACGGTGTCTGCAGCACTGCAGGTATCCAAGAAAGCCATGTTCTCCATGTTTGTGATTGTCACGGCCATTCTCTCAGCTCCCATTCTGGTGGCCGCCGCCGCTGCACCCACTGTAGCCTCTCTCAATAGCAGCTTGACATTTATCTTTCAGAACAACCTGAACTGTGAGTCTTTTAGCCACATGATCCCATCCGCCTTGTTAATCTGGCTGCAGATAGCGACTATATTAACCACCAAGGCGCAATACTGATTGATGCTGGCACTTTTGCACAAGCATCTTCGACCTGCTCTTCCTTGAGTGAAAGCGTCATTGCTCCGATCAGCTCATACTTCGTCTCCGATTTCACCGCGTCTCTCGCGTATCTTGAATACGCGTCTCTTGCCACGTTCGGAGAGCGATTCTGGATTTCACAGTCCAATGGTGCTTGCCGCACTATTGGTATCGACGGTTCGGTATCTGCGACCAATTGCTCGGCATCTCACAGGGCATTGTGCTCTCAAAGCGCTGGCTTTTCTGCTTCTCCCTCTTCGTCTAACCATATCACGGTAAGAAGCAATGGCCTTACGTTGACCGGGTGAGCATACAATCAACTTGTGATGTGTGCCGAAAGTGTCTCATACATATACGTATGTAGCTACCGCAATCAGGTCTCTTTCCGTTTTCTCGGCATCCCATATGCCAATCAGCCGACGCGATTCACTTATTCTCCAATATATACCGGCACCAGCACCATCAATGCCACTGCTTTTGGATCCCCCTGCTTACAGCTCGGACGTGGTTCCGAGGATTGTCTTTTCTTAAACATCTGGACTCCCTACATCCCTGCCTCCACCAACCCTCCGGCGTCGTCCTTGAAAGCTGTTCACTTCTTTATCCACGGAGGTGGATATATCAGCGGTGCCGGTAGTGATCTTGACGGCGGTGTCCAGAGTTCCAGGGGAGATGTCGTTGTTGTCGGAATCAACTATCGTCTTGGTACGTTAGGATTCCTCGCTCTAGAAGATGGTGTAACCAACGGCAACTTCGCCCTCGCGGACATGGTCACGGCGCTCGAATGGGTCCAAAAGCACATTACTGCTTTTGGAGGCGATCCTAACCGCATTACAATTACTGGTCAATCGGCTGGAGCGGGTGCTGTTCGAGCGCTACTTGACTCGCCTCAAGCAATTGGTCTATATGCGGCAGCATAGCCTGGTAGCAACTTGGATGGACTGGATTATGCGGCAACATACTCCAACTATTACACAATCGCTCAGGAAATGGCAGTTGTCGGAATGCCATTCTGTCCTCCACTGGCTGCAACAAGAGCTCATCAGCTGCTACTTTGTCTTGCTTACAGTCGTACAGTGCCTCTTCGCTCATATTGATGACCGACGTAGCTAGGTACGCGTGTTGTCTGTTGTCTGAACGTCCCTTATTCGTTTTAGTTTCCTGGTCGTCGATGGCAAGTATATTACGTCAAGCCAACTTCCTGTTTCTGGCTCGGGCCCAGTTGCGAATGTGAATCTCATGATGGGTATCGTGAGCGACGATGGAAACTCCTTCATCCAATTTACCAATACGACGGATTTGGCCACTGCCATCACCGAGGAAATTACGTCCGTCACCCACTATGGCTTATCATTGTTTCCAACTCATTCGATTTTTATTTAGCAACAACTCGACTTGGACAAATGAAATCATCAACTCTGGACTCTTCCCGCAACCGAACACTGGAAATACTGCGCTTGACGTGTTCAATGTCACTGCTCGTATCTCAACAGATGTTCAATTCCGTTGTCTTGACCAAGCAACTGTTGTTGCCCTTTCAAAACATCATCTGATGAAGAGCATCTGGTTTTACCAGTTAAACCGGGGCTACAATGGGTATGATCCTAACGGCGTTTGCTCTGCGCCGGCTGCGGCGGGGTACCCGTACGGGAACCCTGAGTTACCACATTTCAAGTAGGCGAAGTGAACATCTGCTGACAGAGTATGATGAACTGATCATTTGATCAGCTGTCACAGTGGTGAGATGTATTGGGTCTTCGGTTACGTTGGCCAGCCCGGCACCCCTTTCCGGGATGAAAACGATTACATCTTTGAACAGACCATCGTTGACCAATGGACGTCTTTTTTCCGAACTTACAACCCAAACCGGGCGATTGGTTATTTGACGGCCCGTGACTATACGACCACAGCGCAGCAGTTGTCTCAAAACGGACAATGGCAGGCGTTGACCAACTACCAGTCGCCCACGCTTCGCATCTTGGCGCAACCAAACTACCAGTCGGCATTCTTGGCGCAACCCCAGTGCGACTTCTTCAACTACCCACTTAGCTACTACGGATGAAATACGCCAAACGGGGTATAATCGAGAAGACCACGGTCTACGAAAGTTAGCAATAGTCGGCAGTTATTGGCCTATGTCCCTAATTTAGTGAAGAATTACCACAAATCTTTGGCAAGGAACTGTGCGCATGAAATGGACAAGAAATGTCAGACGCTTCTTCAAAAACATGGAAACGATGCAAATCATCGTCCACTAGTTGGGCCCATCAAGCCTTTAGTCTTCACGTCTTCCTTGCTATTCTCCATTGATAATGCCGCGATCGTCATCGAACATGTGGTGAACGGCATAGTGTGAGTGCTGGAATTGGAGGCAGAGCAATAACCTGTGACATTTGTCTGCCCTACCTAACCGTCCGCGATGTGTAACATCAACACCTTCAGTTAATCCAACTGCCCGTTCCAAAAGGCCAACGCAAACAAGGCGCACGATGTTAGATGACGGAAATCTGGAATCACATGTCAGGGTGAGAAAGAATAAGGGAGAGACCAACTTAACAAGCATGGAAGCGCTGGAAGGATGGATATGATGAACTGGACGTCCTTGGTTCCTCGAGTCGCATTACAACCACGTGATGTGACAATGGACACATAAGCCGATGCTACAAACCAATCCTTAGTGACGGAATGAGGGCTACATCGTGCACAGATGAAGCGTTCATACGGAATGCCTATGCTAAGAGATCTCGTGTTGACAGGAGAGTGGTTCTTGATCATCTCGGTTCATCGTTTCGGATGGGACGCTGCATTTCATGCCGGTCGGGAAGGAGGGTGCGTATTATGAGTCGACCGAGGGACTGTTAGGTGGGAAGGCTTGTGAGGACTAAATGTAAGAAGGCACTGTCCAGATCCAATCCGTGTGGAGAATCTGCTTATGAGGTGTTGTCGGTATGCGAGATGGCTACATATATGCTTGATTAGCGATGGGGAGAATGAGAAAATAGTGTGGCCTCACGGGATGCAGGTGGTGGGTCTCGTAAGGCGAAGGAACAACGGCTAGGACACATTTAGCACAGATATGTGAAAGGGGAAGAACTCACAGAGGTATATTGTTTGATGTTGGATAGAGGGGAGAGAATACCGCCGAACCTCGGGTTGCAGTCTGATATGAATGGGGAGGTGTGTGTGTGTGTTGATGACCAGCCAGCCTGCCAGCCAGAAGTGACTGCTAGAGGTGGGTCAGAGCAGAACTGGCGTATAGATACGACGCACCAGATCAAGAAGAAAATCCATGCCCATTGACGATACCGATATTCCACTTCGACAGGTAGCAATATGCAAGAAGGCTTGCGACACTTCACCTAGACACTCCCGTACATCATCAATGATAGGTCTCCAAGACGGTAGTCGACCTGCAACATGGGTCTAGAGTACGAACGTATGCAATGCATAACAGACACACCATTATCTCTGTGCACTCCAACATCGTCTCACCCACTGAGTCAAGCAAGAGTTACTGTGTGAGAGGACAGATGACCTAGGATTGCGCATCAGGGATGAAAGAACGAGGGACTGGATAACGACAAACTTTAGCATCCACAGCGTGACAATGCGATCGACGCCGTCATCTCGAAATCTTTGCTCGCTTGCTGAGCGTGAGGGGTGCCGAAAATTGACTGGAAGTGATCGAAGCCATGATCCAGTGATGGAAGGTCTGCTGCTCAATCAATCAACCCCGCTCTGTGTGGAGAGACGGCTCACAGACATAGTAAGAGTACAATGTATCGCATATGAGGGACTAGTCTTCATTCGTTGTTCTTGGAGCAACTATAGGTCCCATCATAGACAAAACAAAAGTGAGCCAAGCATGGACAGGTTGGAGGGGGGGGGGAGAGAGGCACCATCGGCTGGTATCGGGGCATTGGCGGGTGGGCGCGACGAGGGCTGCGAGAACTATCTATGTCGGATGAGCAGGTAGGACGCAGCCAGGGTCCACTGAGGAAGAATTGGCTGTGGAAAATGAGTAACAATGGAACTGCTGTACACCGCATACATTGAATACACACTGTGCCAAATGATGGATCCCGCGGCCGGACACGATGCCCGTATCTGGCTTCGCAATGGTAGCAAACCTGTGAGAAGATGAGCAACAATAGATAAGTTGCTGTGACCCTCGGGCGCACCGTACTGAAACAACGACTGAGGCTCGTGGACCAGGCCTGCCTCCGTAGACGCTGTGACATTACATCCAATCTGCCAGAAGGTTATCGACATCAAACAGTGGTATCAAGAACGTACCCACAGCATTGAATAGGGGATCCAAGGCCATAGACCGCAACGCGATCGCATCTGATAAGGAAAGCGACCACGACATTCGAGCCTGACAAATCTGGAGAGCATCCGTGAGAACCACGATACGAGGGATATGAGAGATTCGAACTGGAACGTGCATCCAAGGGAGACACACTAAACCTCAGAAACCTCAATTGCTTAGTATGAAGAACATGAGGACGAGAGGATAATTAATCGCAGCAAAAACTGTGTTGATCGGTCAGCATTGGTCGTTGGTGTGGAGAGATGAAACGCACAGATAGGTATGTATGGAAGCGTCGAAGGGCGTCGTGCTGGAGGGAAGTGATTAACCTGTGTCCTTTATCCGGCAGAAACGACGAGGATCGTAGAGGGGAACCTGTGAGCAGTGCTGGTCAAGGTGTGAGGGCAAGGCACATGCCATCGGTAGAGTACGGGGGCTTGTTAGGTAGGGAGGACTGCGAGGACGGACAAGGACGCGTGTGTAAAGAGGTGGCGTCGAACCTAAGGGCGCGCGATGAATGCTGAAAGAGGTAAACGGTTATGTTCTACATGGGGTGCAGAACCACTTACATGATAAACGCGATGGAGAGTGGACAAAGGGTTGGGGAGTGGGCGGGGAGTGGGGAGGGAGTGGGCGGGAGTGCAGTGGGCACTAGGAGGAGGCAGCGGTTAGGGAAAGAGTGAAGAGCAAGCGTCTTTGGGGGAGGGGGGGTTAATAAGGCTTCCAGAAAGGCTCCAATCGAAGGCATCAAACAAACTCGTTGAGCTCAGACAGTAAACAGACGCGTCGATGTTAGACATGATACGAGCGAACGAGCAAGAGTGAGACCAGTGAGACGGCACGCGAAGGTATCACAGCAAGATTGTTCTGATGGGACCGACGGGACTGGGGGGAAGACTGATATGTGATAGCATAGCGAGAGCAGTAGATAGATAGATACAGAAAGGAAACTCCGCCCACGTCCGTCTTCCCCTTCTCGAGTACCAAGTACTAGCTCGTACACTGGTACCAACAAAACCAAACTGACTTCGGAATGCCGTTCGCAATAATCACATGCAACGGGAGCGGAATGCACCGCCACCCGTGAGCTGATCCCCTGTCGGAGATTACAAGCTTTTTGGGGACGCGGAGATAAAAAGTTCTTCCGTTTTCCCCATGGAGTTGCTGCCAACCTCCCGACGAGTGACGACGAGAAAGGTAGTAAGTAGCATGTAGTAACGCGCGCGTCGGAGGCAATTTACCTCCGTAATTTCCGAAAAAGGGAATTCTTGCCCTATGCGCCTGCGTGATGTTAGGGTACTGGTTAGGATCCCATCCAGCAGGTTAGGGTGGGGTAGGGGTTAGGGTTAGGGTTAGTGGTAGGGTGATATTATCATATTTTTATCTAAGAGAATTATTTATTTAAGCAATGCCATGGGCAAGGTCCATAGCATTGGTTCGTGATCAAGCTCTTTCTATATTTGGTAAAAGTAGGGTCTTTTGCCTCCGACGCACGCGTTACTACATGCTACTTACTACCTTTCTCGTCTATACTCCCTCCCGACTCTGAAACTCTTTCTCTCATGTTCATTTCGAATGACTTCCTGTGCGATGACGATCTGCCGCAGCCTCACACGCCACGCCACTTGCTCCGTGTTGTGCTGGAAGGACAGAAGTATTTCGCGAAGTCCTCTCTCTGTCAACAACGTTCGCCATCTTCTCCTGCTGCTGTTTGCTGTAGCTTGCCAGTTGGCATCCCCAGTCGCATGACTTTCCAGGTCATTTAATGTCCTTATTCTTACTATCCGTCCCCACCCGCGCGCTTCTGCTCTTCGCTCTGCTGGTGGCCGGGATATCAATCTATGTAAGATGGCTTGATTCTGATAAGCCTGGCTTGTTCTGGACGACTGTTGTCCGTTTGTTTTCTCAGGCTAGTTTGGAGATGTTCTCGGTGCTTGTCCCTGCGATTCTGGGGTTATGGGCCACATTGCTACCACGGACAGTGGCGGCTCCGTCACCTGTGTCGCTCAATTCTGATTTGACGTTCCTGTTCCAGAACAACCTCAATTGTGAGCGGTTATTTGATGTCATGTTTGTGTATCATCTGAGGGAAGTCATAGATACGGATGCACCGAACCATCAGAGCGCGATCCTTATCTCTGCCAGTGATTATTACAATGCAGTCCAGACCTGCGAACAGCTGAATGAAGGGCCTATCGTCCCGCAAACCCCGTCCTTCATGGAAGACTTCTCAGCAGCACTCGGCTACCTCGAATATTCAGCAGAAGCGAAGCCTTTCGAGAAGTTCTGGATTCGTGAAGACGATGGAGTTTGCTATACTATCAGTGCCGACGGTGCTATTGTGCCCACAAGCTGTTATTCCAGTTACCGGGCCTTGTGCTCCCAAAGCGCAGAGTACTATGCTACTCCAAGCTCGGCGAACGAGATAACTGTTCACAGTAAGGAGCTGACTGTGACTGGGTGAGCTGTTTTTTCTTAGTAGACACATGCCCACTCAAGTGTTGTCCTAGGTATCGCAACCAGCTCTCCTTCCGTTTCCTCGGCATTCCTTACGCAAACCAGCCTGAGCGATTCACATACTCAACGTTGTATACTGGGTCTCCGACATTAAACGCCACTAAATATGGCTCGGCGTGCTTGCAAACTGGTCGTGGCTCCGAAGATTGTCTCTATCTCAACATCTGGACGCCATACCTGCCATTATCCTCTAATCCGTCCACCTCAGCTCTCAAGCCCGTCCATGTCTACATTCACGGCGGAGCTTACACTAGCGGCGCGGGAAGCGACTACGACGGAGGTGTTCAAGTCAGCAGAGGAGACATCGTTGTCGTGACAATCAACTATCGTCTCACGACCCTCGGATTCCTGGCGCTTGGAGATGGTACGACGAATGGAAATTTCGGACTCGCGGACATGGTGACAGCCCTCGATTGGGTGCAGAACTACATCACTGCGTTTGGTGGTGACCCCGCACGCGTGACCATTACGGGTGGTTCTGCTGGTGCCGGCGCGGTCAGGGCTCTGATGGAGTCTCCAATGGCCATCGGCAAGTTCGCTGCAGCTGCCCCGCAGAGCAACCTGGACGGAATGCTTTATGCCTCAACCTACTCAGTGTACTATACGATTCCTCAAGAGGTTGCAGTTGCGGCCGACCCGATTCTTGCGGCAACCGGTTGCAACACTACCGAAAACGACCCTGCAGCGACGCTTGCTTGTCTCCGTGCCTATAATGCTACGGAGCTAGTATACATGTCCAATGTCGCAAGATATGTGGTGGTGGATGGGACTTACATCACATCAACCGAGCTTCCGGTTAACGGCTCTGGCCCGGTGGCGGACGTCCATCTCATGATGGGGTCGATGAGCGACGACGGAAATTCGTTTATTGCGTACCTGAAAACCACCGATCTCTCCCAGGCAATTACCTCTCAGATCACGTGTGTTCATTCTTTTCTTTAGGGAACCAATAACTTATATTGAAGACAGGTACAACGAAACAGAGACTGCCGCAATCATTGCCTCCGGGCTATTCCCGCTGCCCAACACTGGCAATACACTAATTGATGTCTTCAACGTGACTGCCCGTATCTCAACCGACATCCAGTTCCGCTGCCTTGATCAGGCAACTGCAGTAGCACTATCCAAGCACAACCTCGTTAAGAGCCTCTGGTATTACCAATATGATCGTGGCTACAACGGGTACGATCCAAATGACGTTTGCTTCGCCCCTCCAGAAGAAGGATATCCGTATGGAAATCCAGAGTTGGCACATTTCAAGTAGGTTCAAGTTCGCAAACACAGGGTTAGTTCTCACGACATTCATCCTTTTCAGCTGCCATGGGGGCGAGGTTGCCTGGAACTTCGGTCAGGTTGGTCAGCCGGGAAATCCTTTCCGCGACAGCTACGACTTCCTCTTCCAGCAGCAAATCGTCGATCAGTGGACGTCTTTCATCCGCACGTACAATCCAAATCCGGACCCTGTCTATCTGGCTGTTAGAGGATACTCGAATACTGCCCTGGAATTATTCCGAGATGGCGCTTGGAAATCGCTCACAAACTTTACTAGCCCTACCCTTCGGATCTTGGCTGTCCCCAGCTATCAAACTGCGTTCTTGGAAGGCCCGCAATGTGACTTCTTCAATTACTCTCTGAACTATTACGGATAGTGTATTGATGTGCCACGTTGCATTGGAATGATACCTTTCATTGGACAACCTCCCGAGGATTGGTGCCTTCCGGCCGTCATCGCAAACAATTCCCCGAGATAAATGCCGCGGCAATTCTTTTGGACGTCTATTGGTATGAAATCACATACCCTACCGAAAAGATGCCATCCTTTAGGTAATATGTTGCATTCCCCCGCGGCACCCAGCTTTCATCCAGCACTTTATCCTCCTATTACCACGTGATCCTGCTCCATGTAGCCTTCCTGGTGGTCCTCCTTCATGGCTGCATGGCTACATGCGAACTCGTCATGGGATTGATCCTCCTGTCTTGTTCCCGCCGAATGTGCCCGAGCTCATTCGAGTTGATCTAATATCGACTTCCTTAAGCGTATATAAGCCAATGTTGCAACGAGGCTGTCTGTCGTACCTCAGATATCAGAGAAACCATGTTCTCTCTGTTCCTCAGTGCTACGGCGGTTCTGCCGGCGGTGTTTCTGGTCCCAGTTGCTGCTGCACCTTCTCCAACGTCTCTCAACAGCAACTTGACGTTCATTTACCAGAACAATTTGAACTGTGAGTGGGTGTTGGACATGACACCCAATGCGTTAACATCAGTGCAGATACGGATTATGCCAACCACCAGGGAGCACTACTTATTGATGCCCGCAGCTTCATCCAAGCGACTTCGACGTGCTCTTCGTTGAGTGAAAGCGCCATTGCTCCAACGAGCTCATACTTCACCTCTGATTTCGCTGCGTCCCTCGGATATCTGCAATACGCGTGTCTTGCCACTTCTGGGGAACGATTCTGGATCTCACAGTCTAATGGTGCTTGCCGCACTATTGGTATCGACGGTTCGATAGCCACAGCCAGTTGCTCTTCATCTTACAGAGCGCTGTGCTCTCAAAGTGCAGCGTTCTCTGCCACTCCCTCCTCGTCTAACGAGGTTACAGTAACGAGCGGCGGATTGACTTTGACTGGGTGCGTACAGGATGCTGGAGATTTGTGGGGACTGCATATCTCACGTAGGTCTTTAGTTATCGCAACCAGCTCTCATTCCGTTTCCTTGGTATTCCATACGCCAATCAACCCACACGGTTCACTCACTCTTCTTTATATACGGCCTCAAGCACGGTTTCTGCCACTACTTTCGGATCAGCCTGCTTGCAAAGCGGACGTGGTTCCGAGGATTGTCTTTTCTTGAACATCTGGACACCCTACCTCCCTGCTTCTGCTAATCCACCGATGTCGTCGCTGAAAGCTGTTCACTTCTACATTCACGGAGGTGCTTACACAAGCGGGGCCGGCAGCGACTACGATGGAGGTGTTCAGAGTTCCAGGGGAGATGTGGTTGTCGTCACTATCAATTACCGTCTGTCGACCTTAGGATTTCTCGCTTTGCAAGACGGCGTAACCAATGGCAACTTCGGCCTCGCAGATATGGTAACGGCACTGCAATGGGTCAAGAAGTACATTACTGCGTTTGGAGGTGATCCTAACCGCATCACAATAACTGGTCAATCTGCTGGAGCTGGCGCTGTTCGCGCGCTCCTTGGTTCACCCAAGGCAATCGGTCTTTACGCAGGAGCATGGCCGGGAAGCAATCTCGATGGAATGGACTACGCTGCCACGTACTCCAACTATTACACCATTGCACAAGAAATGACCGCGGCGGGTAATGCTATCCTGTCCTCCACTGGTTGCAGCGAGAGTACCGCGGCAGCTACACTGTCCTGCTTACAGTCGTACAGCGCTTCCTCGCTCATCTCGATGTCTACTGTTGCTAGGTCCGTATGCGATGAACCGGATTTACCCTCCGCTCAACCTGTCCAGATTCGTGGTGGTCGATGGCACGTACATCACGTCCAACCAACTTCCAGTCTCCGGTTGCGGTCCTGTTGCAAATGTCAACCTCATGATGGGTATCATGAGTGACGATGGAAACTCTTTCATACAATATACGAAGACCACGGATTTAGCGATCGCGATCACAAATGAGGTCACGTACGTGCCACACGTTTGACCCCCATCTATCCCTAATTTTCTTCCCAGGTACAACTCAACTGAGACGACTCTAATCATCGACTCTGGACTCTTCCCCCAGCCCAACAGCGGCAACACCACGCTTGACGTGTTCAATGTCACTGCTCGTATCTCGACAGACATCCAATTCCGCTGCCTGGACCAAGCGACTGTCGTGGCATTGTCAAAGCATGATCTCATGAAGAGTATCTGGGTGTACCAATTCAACCGCGGCTACAATGGATATGACCCGAACGGCCTTTGTTATGCCCCAGCTGCGACCGGGTATCCGTACGGGAACCCTGAACTTCCTCACTTTAAGTAAGCAAATTGGACGTGTGCCCGAAGGAAGTCGTACGCTGACGCTTCTAACTAGCTGCCATAGTGGTGATCTAGCATGGGTCTTCGGTTACGTTGGACAACCCGGCAATCCATTCCGAGATGAGAACGATTATATCTTCCAGCAGACTATCGTTGACCAATGGACGTCCTTCTTCCGGACTTACAACCCAAACCCTGCGAGTGCTTACTTAACGGCACGAAACTACACGACCACAGCGCAGCAGCTGTCTCAGAACGGACAATGGCAGGCGTTGACCGACTACCAATCGCCGACGCTTCACATCTTGGCGCAACCGAGCTACCCGTCGGCATTCTTAGAGCAACCCCAGTGCAACTTCTTCAATTACCCACTTAGTTACTACGGATGATGATGTATCGCTAAGGCTAAACGGAACGAACCCCACTGACTGCGAGTGAAGCTGTCATTAGTTAGGCCTGTCAACCAAGTCGATGAATCCACATTGTATTTGTCAAGCGACCGGTCTGTATGGAAACAACAACAACCTTCCTGATCATCTGTATTCAAACAACAGAGAGACGAGCAAGTAAGAGAAACAACGCAAGGAATTAAGTTGAGAAAACACATCCAGCCTATCGGCTTTCTGCTACACTAAGGAAGATCTGCGAGAGCTAGCATTGTCGGTGGTTTCTGTCGGGGCACTGGCCGGCCCGGATAACCCCTTCATCTTGAGCCAGTCGCCCTTGTCGTGGGAAAATGTCGTCATCGTAGCCGGACTGTCGGGTTCGCGGAGAGTGGTAATCCTGACCGTAGGAGGCTGTGGCTGACGGAACGAGGGATGAATGAAAGGGATGAACTTGATCAAACCGAGCCGAGTCAGCTTTCTCTCCGTATTCGGGCAAGGCACGAAGCGCCAGTTGATCTCAGCGTACGAATACACGCTGGCGTACCATATGCCGCGTTCTGGTGATTGTATTGCCGGGACGACACGCATGATTAACACGGTCAATATAGCGCAAAATTCTATAGATATCCGTCAGAACAAGGCCTCAAACTTCGTCTGAATGCGGTTACCGAGAGTAAAAACGGCAATGTTGGCGCCTAAGAGACCCCAATTGACTTGACAGATCAAAATGTCGTTATAGATATCAAGCTGATCCTGAGGGCAGATGCCGCCAAGAGTCGTCTCGCATTGAGGAAGTGGTGGGCAGTCTAGCGATGCATGTACAGCGGCCATCCACCCGGAAAAAATCGCTGTTGAAAATGAGTCACAGTAATAATGATGTCGTACACCCAGCACACACCAGCTTGGAGGATAAATCCGATGCCCATAAACCAAGCCCATACCCGAGTCTGATGAAGGAAGAAGTCACGATGGGAGATGGTAGCCAATCTGCCGCGCGTAAGAATGGAATAACAAGCGACCGGAAAGAGACAAACTGTAACATCCACCACAGAGCAGAAAAGACGAAAATGATCAACTCGAAAGCTTCAACCGCTTGATATGCAGAGTTCCCGTTGGTGAGGGGGATGCCGACGATGGACAATATGAGACCAACCCCGCAAGCCAAAGCAAGTGGCACTGAATTGATCAGGTAAATCCGGTGCTCTGATGCAGAAAGATCAAGGGCCTACGTAGGCATAGTCGTGCTAAGATGTACCGGGTTGGAGGAAGAGTGAACCAGCCTATCTTCATCCCTTGTTCCGGAGGGGGGCACTGTGGGTGGCATCGTTTACAAAGCAAAAAGGATACAGAGGTGAAGGGGAGAGAGAGGAGGAGGGGGAACGGAGTGTTACAGCAGGAGAGAACGCGGGGATAATGAAGGGCATATCCGCCCATCTCGCATAAAAGGGTGCCAACGCACCGAGGGCCCTGGACGAACAAACAATAAAGAAAACAAGAAGGTACCTAGGTTCTGCGCAAAGCTTTTGTGCTACCCTTCCGGAAGCAGAGCACCATGTGAACCCTTTAACAGTTAAGGGCAGCGTTTTGTTTGCTCCTGCACAGCTTTTGGAAGATGGAAGGAGCATCGTTCGTTTGCGGTGAAAAGCGGAGTTAGTGCAACAAATAAAAATGAACGCAAAGATGCTGTACAAAAGGAGCGAAGGCATGGCCGGATGACATGGCTAAACCACGAAGACAGAAAACATTTCATGAAAAATACGTAAAAGAGGTGAAAATGGTGTAATCATCTCCGGTCGCTTGGTGCGAAAAATGTCACGGACCGCCTGCTCCTCCTTCAATTGGTTCTTCTTGACCGTTTTGTCATGCTGAAGTAGGTGGTTCGCTGCGGCGACAAAATTTCTCGCAGCGTCATCCTTGTTAAACTGTTTTCTGATGTCTCAGATCCCTGCTCATGTGATCCGAACGGTGAGCTTACGACAAAGAGATAGGCTAGATATGCTAGACGACCGTTATCACGCGGAGCAAGCCACATTCCGACCTGACCAGGTTGCGAGATCCACGTATTATGGGTCATGAAGGTATCAAGAACGGGTTTGTCGGTAGAATCGTCGAGATTGGTAATAGCTACAGCACTTTGTGATCAACGAGCATTTGAAACGCATGATGTGGACAGACTAATGCGAGAACGCTCTGTGTTCTCCTCCAGCTCAATAGAGATACAGCCGCAGCAAATGAGCCTGAAATTTGACTTCCCGTTCTTCACATCACTTTCGTTGGCGACATACACTTTGGCATCGGCATTGACCGGGCAAGTCGAGCAGGGTCGTTCGGTCGTTGGCGACGGGGCTGGGTAGATGCGGTTAGATCAGGTTACGGAGATAGTTTAAGACGACGCACGGGGACTGAGCTCAGAAAGATAAATGTCGTCCTCTCGATACGCTTCCATTGTCTTGTCAAATGAGTGGCAACTGCCAGTCGATTCGAATAGACAGTGGACTCGCAACGGCCGTCCTGGCGTTACCAGCTTCACGCCAGTCAAACGCGTATGTGAAGTCTACACACGTGTTCTCCCGCCTTCCAAAAGCCACATTGAAAGCAGCCAGTTGAGGACGTCGACAATGAGGCCAAGGGACCGGACGGAGCCGAGGCCGACCGTGTTATCGCCGTATGAGAACAGCGTACATCGGCGTATGACCGACGACCTTGCAGTAAGGCTCGGGGCACCTGTACCGTTTGAACCCATTATCGTGCATTAGAATCGCTCAAAGCACGCCCGCACAGAAAGGAGAATCGAGATTGGTATCATCAGCTCCGAGACGGTACAGCGGTGAAGTGAGAGACTCTAGCGACTCTCCATTTGCTGAGTAAGCAAGCACGGTTGAAGCACGATAGACCAGTTATCATAGTCACAACAAAGACTAGTGAAGACGATTCACGGGTCGGTTCGTTCAGATACCAGCGAGACTGAGAGGCGAGAGGTTGACAGGACGTGGGGATGTTGAGGTGTTTGCCTCATAATAACGTGGCCGTCACCGGGGAGGTACTCAAAGCGGTGCCGACTCGAGTAACCCTTTGTTGGCCTGCAAGACCATGGTGTCCTACACCTATGACCACTAGGAACATCCGGACTTGCTATGGGCACCATGAGAAATACATCACGTTCAGTACAAGAGGGGGATCCATGCTAGAGCCATAAGGCTCTGAAGAAGTTCAGCCGGTATAATAAGGTGATCCTAGAGGATGTATAAACAGGTTGCCAATTTTCATTCAAGCAATGGGTGAAAGTCAGAGGTTTCCAGATATTAACCCTCTGCAACATCTAAGGATCCGAATTTTTGACTAGTATACAATATGTCAATTGTGGATGGGATGCCTTTTGAGACCAACACACTGCCAATTAACAACAGATGACAGCATGGTCTTGGTGATTTAAAGACTCATCAGTCTTTTTTTTCTGAGGAGATGAGTGTCAGGGCACCAGCTCATTGCTTGGTCAAGAGACATGACTAAGCCTTTATGACATGGAAGTAGCTGGTATACCTTGGCATGTGCTGGAACCTGCTGGAAGGATTGGATGGTCAGGTGACCTGCTGTGCATGGCTGTGCATGACCTCATATGACCTCATCCTTGGTCATATGACCTGATCACCTGACTAGGCTGAGTAAGCAAGATGTTCTAGCAGGTTCCACCACAGAGGTATAAATATAAGGCCTACTCTGCCT